TGAAAGCATTAGAAACTTCTTTCAAATTTTTTCCCGTACTCCCCCTCAGGAAAGGGCCGTAAACCGAAAGATAGTATTTGATTGATCTGTTCATATTTTTGGCATATTGGAGGCATCAATACTCTATTGCAACGGTTCTTTCATCCTTAGCACTTCGGAAACTACTGTCGGGGGTAAAGGGTTAAAAACCAAACAAATGGCGTATTTTACTTGTTCTTTTTACAGTTCTTGGTGATACTTTTAACTTTTTAAGGAGGAAATACTTAGAAAAAGTGGCGCTATTAAAATTACTGCCTTAATTTGAACTAATTGTTTAAGGAAACCTCCTTCCTTTCCGGGATTTCGAGGTCTCGATGAGTAGAGCAAAAGTTATCTAGATTTCGAATTCCCAAATACTTGCTTCTAGAAAATATCTGATTCGTAAGACTGAAAATTGGCGCGTTTTCTCAGCCCTAATACGTCCGACAAAGCTGAAAATTTTTTTCACAGTTACTAGACACTATTTAGAGTGCCTCCTGTGTTTTTTCTTCTTTTATTTATCTTTCTTCCATTCGAATAAGAGGATCAAAATACCGAGCGTCCCTCCAAAAGTATATGTTTTTTTTGTAAAATCTGTCAAAAATCAATGACGCAGTGTTTTTCGAAACATAAAGGTAGGTGTCTCAAACAGTGTCCCACACCCAGGTCGATCGTTCCGGTCACTGGATACTGCAGGAACCGACAGGAAAGATGCGGGAAACTCGCCGTATCCTGCAGGAAAACACCGTAAATCACCGGAACATGGAAGCAGTATTCCGGTCGGAAACTTTTTGGATTTTTTTCCGGTGATTTCCGACCGGTTCCTGTCGGAAAGAACAGGAATTGGCTGGAATCCATCGGAAAACAGTCCGAAAATTTTCCACCCGGAAGACTGCTTCCATGTTCCGTTGACTTCCGGTATTTTCCTGCGGGAACCGACCCGTACTTCTCGATCTGGGTATCTTTTAAAAAGAAGTTTCAATTCGATCGAACGTACTGTATGGAAGGGATGAGCGTGGTTCTGTATTTTTTCTCACATAAAAATAGATTTCAAGAAAAACAAATTTTCTTGTATATAACTAAAACGATCGAAAAGTGACTGTGTTCAGCGATCTATGACTCATGCTCTGGGCATTTTTAGAAATTATCATTAGAAGAATTTTACATACAAAGCATAATTGTAGTTCAAGTTTTTTGAGAGTCGAGTTTAATAAAAGTACTAAGTAACAACGAAGAGCTCTGGTATATGTATCATTTAACAAAGGACACTTCGAAGTTAAATCAAAAATCAACAAAAAAATATTGATTCATATAACGAATTTTGTTTTTCGCAAATAAAATTTTCATTTGTTGTTGTTTTATTTTTAATAGTTTTCAATCAAAACCAGGTACAATCATCAATTGTTGTCTATCATTAAATGAACAAACTCGTACTCATACATGTGATGAAATAGCATCATTCATCGATGTTCTCTATTGTCAAATCGAACAATTAATAATAAAAACTCAACCAACAGCATATCATATATTTGATAATGAAACAATAATTATAACATTATTAAATGAAAATAATGATGAACAATTAAATGTTGATAATAGTTGTCGTTTAGCTATTGAATTATTTCGTTTTATTCAACATGTTAATAATATAACACAATGGAATTTAAAATTAATTATCGGTATTGATTATAATCAAATAAATATATATTCATCAAAATATATTGAAGGTTTACCATATGATTATTCTCGATGGTTACGTGAAGAATGTCTTATTAATAATCATATACATGTATCATCAAGAATTTATAATATTTTAAAAGAAAATCAATTTTATAAATTTTCATCAATAACAAATCATTCAACATATTTACTTTCAAATGAAACTATGTATGAATCATATAATAATAATATATCAATGAATATATCGGATATGATTGATCAATTAACACGTATTCAAGTTGATTATCATGTTAAAAAACATTTAAATACAAAAACATTAACACATTCATTACGTAAACAAAGTTTATTTGAATTAACATCGAAATATATATATTGGTTTAGTTTAAATTTTAAAGAAAACTATTTAACAAAAGATTTTCAATTAATACATCGTACAAATCGTCTAAATTGTTTTATTTATATATTTATATTAATAATTTTAATTGGATCATTATTACAATCATATGTAATTGATTATTTAAATATATATTATTTAATATTATATCCATTAATTATTATTGGACTTATTTTATTTATAATTATATTTTATTCGTCAATGCATATGAATAATTCAGATAGAAATAAAAAATTTTATGCTTATTTAAATATTCTTATTTGTATTACATTAACAATATTAGTTTTTGTTGCTATACAATATCATTCAATACAAAATTTTCAATATTTATTTATTTCAAATCAGTCAATTAATAAAACACTAATAATAACAAAATTAAAAAATTCATCTACTAATCAAATTAATTCAACAATTCAGTGAGTAATAAACATAAACATTGAATCGTTTTTATAAATAAAACAAACACATATGTAAAATTATCGAAGACTCTATGCAGAGAAACAAAGTCGAGTTTATATAATCGGCGCAAGAATTCTGTTATGAGCCAGAATCGGGATCAAGTGATTGAGATCGTAGATATGCATTTTTAAAATCATATAGATGGCAGAAATCAATGAGTTAAACAAAACTCAAAAATTTGTTAGCGTAATCACTGCGAGATTAAAATATGACATATGATGTAGCTGTTATCACTAACTACGGGAAGATTGTTATATTCTATTTATTCCCAGACAACTTCTTTTTTTTTTTTACCATTTTTTTTACTTAATCCTTCAGAAATGCAACAAGACAGTAAGTCATATTATAACGAGACTTCATTGATATACAGTCTTTGATCGTATATCAACAACATGGGCTGCAAATTTCTATCTTATATACTTCAATCCTTCACTTTTAGACCGTATTTCACAACAAGTGACACAGATATGCATATACAACAAGTTCTGATTCATCTATAAAGAAATTTTATTATATTTTTGAATGATGAGCAACGGCTAGGAAGATTTAAAAAAGATACAATATTATGATATCTCATCATGTTTGTCTTAATAGTTACTAACATAAAATCATATCAACACGTGTTCATCTACCTGTCACTAAAAAGTTGTTAGAAAGAAGAAAAAAGTTCATATTGTACAGGCGACAAGTGATTGCAACTAAATATTTATAGATTATAAAAAAAAAAAAGAGACTGAAAATCTGTCAATAATGAGCACCTTCGTAAAGTGAACAGTTTTGGTCAATCCTAATGATTCCTACATTACAGAAGTTTTACTGTAATAAATTTTCTATTTTTCTAGTCAATCATTATTTCATCGTCAATATCATGAATATCTTGTATTAACACCGATATATCCACTTTATTTCTGTACTTTATTTCGTCAATGTTCATGGTTAATAAAAACATTCTTCATTATTATTTGTTCAATTTTACAATTATATATATTAGAATATATTTGGTTAACAACAAATACATATTTTTCATCTATAAATAGTTTACATCATTATACAACATCAACATTGATTATATTTCATAATTTTCTTTTGATTATTTTATCGTATATTCATGAATGGTTAGAAAAAATTGATTTTATTTGGTTTAAACAAATTGATAATGAACGTTTGATAATAATTCGACAACGAAATCAACTTATTAAACAAACATCTTTTATTTTACCATTACGTGTTATTAATTATTATTTAAATGGAAATTCAAATTTATCATTAACACAACATTATCATTATAAATATGATCAAATGGGTTTATTATATATTCGTTTTAATTTAATACATAATAAAGATGAATATTCATTAATTAATTTTATTAATAATATTGAATATTTATTAAAAAATAGTGATAAATATAATAATATCGTTATGCATAAAAAATCAACAATCAAAGAAATTATTTTTTCTATAGATTTATCTAATTCATTAAAGTCAATTCAAGAATTAATTGAATTTTTATTTCAAATCGATGAACATATAAAATCACTTCAAGTAAATCTTACTGCTTGTTTACATATTGGTTGTATCAATGAAATTTTAATACATTTTGAAAAATATCCTAAAATTGATATGTGGAGTGAACATATATCATTTATTCAATTACTTATGTCAAAAATACAAATAAATCATTGTTTAGTAACGTCGTCAGTATATCATTTATTAAATGATTTATATTTATTTCGAATAGCTGGATCGATTATAAATACACCAATGAATATTGAAAATAATACAAATATTTATTTTTTACTTGGACGTCTTATTGGAGATAATATATTTCAGGTAAGAAAATATTTTTGTCTTTTCAAAATTAATTTTCATAATGAATATAATTCATTAATTTTATATTCTTGTCTTTGTTTAAACTGAATAGATAAAACTAAAAGAGTATTCTAAATAAAATTGTACCTTTAATCAAAAATTAGTTAGATAGTAATTTTTTGTTTTATTCATATTCTTCTTCTAGTATAAAATTCTCTAAGTTTATTTATTCTTGTTCTTTAACACAGGGTCGTAATGCTCTTCCATTGACAATTAATCAACCAAATAATAATACTATTCCAAAATCTTCTAGTATAGATGATTCTCAATGTTCTCAATATCAATTTAAACATAATTCTCATAACGATAAAAATCCTTCAACAACAACAACAACATCATCATCAGGTATTCTTAATGATCAACAAAGTCTTCTTAAACAATCGTCACGAAAACATAATCGTACATCAAATACAAATTCCAGTCAATCATCATATCGTCATACGCTTTTACAAGCATTAGATCCTACAGCTAATAATTTACATCAAATAAGTCCAATAAAAAAACTATCACACATGATTCATTCAAATGAAAATAATTCTTGGTCATCGAAAGACACAGCAACAAGTGCTAGTAAATATTTAATGCTTACGCAAAAACTGCTCAATAAATCAACAGGTTAAATTCCTTTTTTTTTATCATATAAACTTATTAACTATCGTAGCATTGAATACACTTCAAAGCTTGTTCTTTTTTTTATTATCAAAACTGTTCAACAGACAAATTTTAACACAAGATCTCAGTTGATAAAAGCATTGGAATAAGTCAAATGATGTCAGGTCATTCTTTAACGAATCGATACAGAAGTGATCCGTGATGGTCAGACAAATGACATAATTTTTCTGAAGCAATCCGAGACCTTTAAATGAAGATCTTAAGCATAACAAATTGTCTCTTATATAAAGTTTCTTCGAAATATGAAGCTTTCAAAAATTGCATATTGTATACGCTATCGATGAAAACAGCTCTATATTTTGAAAGTCTCATATTTCGAAGAGACTTTGTTCAAAACTTCTGGATTTTTTTTCGTGGAAGCTAGTGTAGTTGAGTTCTCTACATAGATGAAGTTTCAGATCAAAATTCAATAGTTTAGTGAGATAGGAATCTAAATCCTTTTAGAGTTTTGTATTAGAATATTATGCAGTATCAATAAGAAAAAAAAAGTACATTAAGACTAGAAGGTAACATATGAAACGGTTTCTCTATTTTCTTATACAACAATGAAATGTATTCGATTGAAAAATATCTAATCAAACTGACCGATGTTGTTTTTCTTTTATTAGACGATAATAATCGTTCTAAATCAACTCCACCATTATCAAATCGTCCTTTGTCTTCTGACCGAAAAAATTCTATAGACAATAAATTTAGCCAATTACTACATGAACAATCATCAAAAGAAATAATTAATCTTTCACGTAGTTTATCAACAACAAATGAAGAAACAAATTCATCATTTTCTGGTTGGGATGATCCAGCTTCTTCATTATTACCAATAAATAATGAAAAGCAAAAGGAATCTATTAAACAGACAACTTCTCCACCTATGATTGATTCTTATTACCCATCACATCCGTGTGATTTATCATTTACTGTTAATATGACAACAACAGCAACAGATCCTAAATTAACTTTTTCTACAGCAACTTCACAACAACAACAACAAGAGATGCCTAAATTTCGAGAAATGCCATTTAATTTAGCACATAAACTAATTGCTGAAACATCTGAAAGTGAAATATCAATTCAACATACACCTTGGACACAAAATATTGTTTATCAATCAAATGATCATCAACAAATACGTATTTCATCAAGTTATAATAATTTATCAAAGTAATTTTTACATATTAAACAAAATTAATTTCATATTTATCAATTTTTTAGATTACATTCAAAAGAAACACAATCACCATCTACATATCATCGTGATTTTTTACAACATTGGCTTGAAGATCAATTAAATCAATTTCGTGGTCAAAATAAACAAATTCCAATATTATTAACAAGAAAAATAAATCGATTTTCTACAATTCAAAATGATTCAACAGATGATGAATCAGATACAATTCAGGATAATACATATCCCATTTTAAATACGAAATCAACTAAACATTCTCATAATCATATTCGATATAAACCAATTCGAAAAACTTCAAATCTTATACGACATGAATCATTGAAACATAGAAATAAACCACTATCATTTGAAAATAATCTTTTAAAAAAACTTCCAAAACGAACGGACTCATCATCAATACCACATTCTGATTTTAGTGATATGTCATCATTACGGTTAGATAATATATCTCAAAGTATTTTATCACATATTGAATCTGATTATGATAATATGTGCACAGAAGGCTTAAATTCTAATCCAACAACAACAACTATTATAAATAATTCACAAATTATAACTGATGATGAGAGTGATGATCAAACAACTTTGGCAACAACAATAAATCGGCATTACTTTTAAATGTATATTTTCTTTTGCAGTTTCTTTTTTTGTGTTTTTGTCATGCATTGCCATGAGTTTACTTTGTCTATGATAAAATAAAGGAAAATGTATGTAATCTACGATATACTTTTTCGATCAGGTCAATGATTATAAGCTCCGAGACGGTCAAAAACTGTACTGTTTACTCTCATTTTATATAGTTTGTGGTCGTAAATCGCTGTAAATTGACTCTATGATAGGCGTAATATTACGATTATATTTTATTGTGTCGTACAGAAGAGTTGATAATGGTCTGAGAATTGAATATTCGACCGTTTACATTTAGTGTCCTGTATGTATTGCAAATCTTCACATTCAAATTTGGATCGAAGCTAATCAAAATTCGGCAGATACTCTCACAATTATCATAGCACAGTTTTCAAACCTTTTCTTTATATGAAAAAGTATAATTTTTAGTTTCTTTCATAAACAACAACAAAAAGAAGACATCATCTTAGATTCCACAAAAAAGTAAGTGATTCAGCATTTATTTGGTCTTTCTGCTTCTAAAATCTGATCAATTTTGCTAAGTATATACTTGTTTGTTGCTGATAACGCTAGAATGAAAGTCACTGTTGATGCCAATCATCATAATTGTGAACACATACATGAATGCTTTCTTCATCACGATAATACATGTTCACATTGTTGATAATTTATTTTGCTCTCCATGTGTTCAATTACTTCATCATATGGTTCCTCATCAGTTCTACATGAGTTTTCATGACAAACAAATTCTCTTAGTAAAACAAAATCGTTTTTCACTTGTATGATCTACTCTCGAGTATAATAAATTACTTAATCATAACCGATCCGGTTTTATATTTATAGCAGTTTAAAAAAGTAAAAACATTTTGAAAGTTCTAGATCTCATATATTGCCGAGTTGTAGAACACTATTTACAATACAGTGATATACGGTCGTCATACTACATCTACCAAACGGTGAAAAAAAGTCTAAAACGGTAGTTTATGACCATGCTGATTTGACTTGTGCGAGATACGTTGAAAAATGTTTAGAGAAAAGAGATCAGTTCGGTTCTGAAAAAAACACGAACCGATCAGATCTCTGTTACAGAATATATGTTCTATATCGATATACAATACCTATACATTACTTTAATTGACTTTTTGGCTGAGTTTAAACGAAACAGCAATTTCAAGTTTCAATATGAAACATTGATCGTACTCATATTTGCTTGCGCAATAAAATTTTACAACTCTTTTTTTATAAATATAATGCAAGGTGGACCATAGATAGCACTACGAGAAAAAACTGAAATACTTAGGACATACCAACACTAGTGGCAGTGATGTTTTAATAGGATAGAGTAAGCTTTAACGAACTTTCTTTCTATATAATCTGATAGAGAAAAGAATACTCTTTTTTTTTCTATGCTATTTGATCATACTTCAACTAATATCATAATAATAAACTTTTGATAAGATTTGTTGCGTTATGATATGTGCCTCGTAGTACTAGCGCCTATTTAGTGGATATTTTTTGACTGACTTTTGATAGAAACAAGATAGAGAGCTGCAGTTTTCATTACTTGAAAGAAGAGATGGAGATGCATCGAGACATATATTGCAGATTTTTTTTACATGACGTTTTTAAAGGTTTTTAATCAACTTGTTTGAAAACAAACCTACTCGTAAGGTGTTTACAGTGAATTCTCAAATATCAAGTCTGTATTGAAACCGTCGATGGAAGTACTACAAGACTGCACGAATTTTAAAATTAATCATTCAGAAGTAATAGGCACCCTAGTCAAAGTTTTGAATGATTTTTCTGGCGATTTCTATAACAGAATTTGTTGCTATTACCTTTTTGATAAGAAACCATTTTTCCACACTTGGAAAACTAATTAAACAAATATGAGACCGTACAATAGGACAATGTATAATACATGATTCGATACATCTTTATCTCCTCTTTCGAGCGATGAAAACCGCAGCTCTCTATGTTGTTTCTATCAAAAATTATTCAAAAAATATCACATAGGCAATAGTACTACTAAGCACATATCATAGCGAAACAAATCTTATCGAAAGTTTATTATTATCATATTAGTTGAAGTTTGATTAAATAGCATATAAAAAAAAAAGCATTCTTTTCTCTATCAGATTATATAGAAAGAAAGTTTGTTAAAGCTTACTATACGGTATTTAGGTGTCATTGCCACTACTTTTGGTATGCCCTAAGTATATCCAATTTTTCTCAGGCTTGAATAAGCTGATGTTTTGGTAAGTGATAGAATCTTATTTGAAATTTCTTTTGTCATACGGATAGCGTAAAAAAGTACGACTATCAAGTTATATTTTTGGCTTCATTAAAGAAATTTCAGATATTTGTCAACAACAAAAAATGCTTATGAGGCGTTTTATTGATAATTTTCGGTTGGCATCTACGAGAATAATAATAACTCAAAATGATGCATACAAAGCAATTTTTTGAAACTAAACACGTTAAATGCTGAAATTCTTACCCCTTTAAGTAAAATGCACAATCACATTCCTTTGGTCACCAACTTCCTTGAATAAAAATAGTGTTCTATATTTGAAAATTCGAAATTCTGTAACCATTGACTTTTAAACTGAATAGTGCTGAATACGCTCGATGTACATTAATAGAGCTTATTTTTGTTATTTTCTTAGATGAAAACTAAAAATTATTTATGAAATCTTGCGCATGCACTTTTCTTACTTGATAACAGGTGAAATAACTTTCATGATACCAACAATAATACTTTAGAAGAGTATTTGTTTATCTTATCGGTTTGAAAAGAATTTGACCAGTAAGAACAGTAGAACTATTTGAAAGACTGGACACAAGAGAAATAAAAATTACTGTGATTGGAATTCTTAGTTTCTGGTTTTTTCTCTATTCTCCTAAAAACTACATTGTGAGTCAAGAGATGTTGGGATTTATTCTATCATATTCAGAAATATGAGAGGAAATCACTGAAAACGTATAGTCTAGGATACTGCTTCCTTGAGATTTTTAGAAGTCACGAGAAAATGAACATAGCTAGATATTTTCAACTGTTACCAGAGATTGGCTTTTTCCATCTAAGGACTTTCAATATGAGAAAGAATGAATATCATAAAAATCATTATACTTAATATGATTTCGTGTTCTTTTATTTATTAACAATTAATAAATAAAATCAACAAGTACGAATATTTTTCAATGATAGTATGCATGGTTATTTTCCTTTGTACGCATTTACAAAGATCAAAACGAGTTCATAACGTGTTCCATATTCTGTTCTTCTTTGTTTTGCTTTTTAAACACTCAAAAATATTATTTACAGAAAAATGAAAACTTAGTATTTAAAAAGAATATTCTACAAATTTTCAATTCAAAAATAAAAAGCTGTTAGCGCAATCCCTTGCAGGATTAAAAATGTGAAACACGATAAATCTATTGTTACTAGTTAAATGGAAATCGTTTTGTTCCATTTCTTTCGATACATTTGTAGCTAACCATTTATCTAATGCTTTAGAACCACAGTTCCTCCGTCACGGTCTATGATGGGTTCTGGGCCTGTCTGTCACCATCCGTGATGGATCCCTGGCCTATCTGTCACGGTCTGTGATGGGTCCCGGGCCTGCCTGTCACGGTCCGTGATGGGTCCCGGGCCTGTCTGTCACGGTCCGTGATGGGTCCCGGGCCTGTCTGTCACGGTCTATGATGGGTCCCGGGTCTGTCTGTCACGGTCCGTGATGGGTTCCGGGCCTGTCTGTCACGGTCTGTGAGGGGGGTGGGTGCAAATTTCTACCCCTAAACACTTCAACACTCCTTTCAGATCGTGTTTCACAAAAAAAATTGTAAGTATGTCTCATTAAAACAATTGAAAGTCAACCAGTTGAAAAATTACTTGATATATTATAAACTTAGAATTATGATCAACTTCATTTATTAATTACTCTCATCAGTCTAGTCTTGTTTTTATTTGGCTAATATAATTTTTATAAAGATACAAAAACAAAATTGTGAGATACACATATAACCGACAGTAATATAAAAAAAAAGAAAAGAAATACAAATGTACAATAGAAACTAATCAGCATTCAATATTATTAACATTTATAAGAATGAATAAAACAACACGGTAAACAATGTCAATATTAGAAGTAATATGGAATGTATATTCGTTGAACTACCGTTACAACCATCACGATCTTCACAGTACTAAAAAGAAATTCAAATGAATGAAAAAAAAAAGTTTCAGATATAACTGTAGGAGAATGTTTGTTTACAGATCAAGGTAATGCTCGACTTCATTTATCATCAATTATGAATCTTTGAAAAACGATAGAAACTCTGATAGTTAAGATGGTGCAAGATTTAAAAGCTCATTGTTTTCGATAACGGTAAGTATCTAACTCCAATCCAGATAGTGATCTTAATAGTCAATGGAGACTTTTATCTTATGCATTCCGTACCAAGATTTCATATGGCAAGGGTTCTAAAAAATTGGGTTCGATCGTGTTCAAGCCTCAAAATATTTCGCCGTATCTAATTTAAAGAGCACAAAATTGTGAGTAAAATGAGGAGTCGCCACATTTTCGTGTGATCTTTTTGTAAAATATTAAAAGCATTTTTTAGCCGACTTTTTGATCGTTTTCACTTTCTCATCATTTTTGTGATATTCTTAACTTTTTAATGAACGGCTGAACAAAATGTGGTGACTTCTTATTTTGTTTAGAATGTTGTATCCTTCTTAACAAGCTCCAGCAAACTCTTTTTTGAGACCTGAAAACTCCTGTGTCCAGTTTTTCACAAAATTTGCCATATGATATCCTGGTATAGAATGTTAAAAATACATTGTTGCTAAACACTTTTCTCGCACTTGATGTTCATTTTATTGTATCAATGCATCGTACTGAAGATAAAAACTTGAATTTCTGTACTTTTCAAACTTAATGGAAAAACCTATATTTATATTCCTAATTGACTATGGTACATATGAATATTGAGACATCCAATCTTTTGATATTTGAAATATAAGATAATGAAGATTTTAATTTTCTGCTGAACGGTACTTTTATCCATTACTAAAAAGTCTTCGAATTTTAGTTTCCATCTGATTGCAATCTAGAGAAGAAACTATTATGGGCAGATAATACCGTAAACAGATATCCATCGAAAACTGTAGTTAATCATATAAGTTTCAGCTAATTTGTATCATAACTGTTATGACTACTAATACATTTACATAATATGTCTATTCAATTTTTATTCACACATACAGTCATTTGAGAAAATTAAACAGATAAAATGAGAATATTTTACTCTTTCTAAATATACGAAATCTAACCATTGTTGGAAACGCTACACATGTGATGTTCTTACATGACAATACGTCAAATTTTTTTTTCGTGAGATCAACAAGAATACTTAGTAGGAGTACTTGCTTAACTTATTCGTATGAAAAAAAAAATTCGAATAAACTAACCAAAAATCAAAACATTAGATTGAGCCAACATGGAGTCATTTCATATTTGTTTTCGTCGCAATACTATTTATGATCCGCTTTTCATAGGTTATAAAACTCTCATTCTCGATTACTACATTTGATTCTCTCCAATAACTTATCAATGGATATGAAACAGACATGTTATGCTAAGAGCTTTTTTTTATTTCGTTCAAAATCAATTTTTTCGAATATTCTTCGTTTTGATTACTATTTCATTTCGCTAACATTCTCATTTAAATAAATAAAACAAAATTTTCTTTATCTATCATAGAAGCTTGACATAAATGTTTTCAATAGACTAGAAACATTCTATTTTTTCTCAGAATCCAAATTACTTACACAAACAGCTACTTCGAGTCCAACTTCATCAACGAAATATCGACAGCCCTGAGCAACACCTAATGTTGATCGTGAAGCACATGAACGTATCACAGTCTTGAATCCTTTTGCTAAAATCAAAACTATTAGTTAACAAAAAAAAAACAACCTAAACATGAACAAATTTACTTTACCATAAAATGTATCATAACTTTCTTTAACCATTTTCATACACATATGTCCCGGTACATATGATTCTAAACTAAAACAATCGACAAGAGCATTTTTTGTTTCATCAAATTTTCCAAATGCTGGACAAAATTCATCTTCTTCACTACTACATTGATAACATTGAATACCATCAACTAGAAAAATAAAATTCATTTCAGAGAAAACTTTAAAACCTCTTTTTTTATTACCAGGTATTTGAATAATATAGATTAAAACAAAAAACAGAATGAATAGTGTATTCATCGTCATCTAAAATTTATTGGATTTTTTTCTGACTTTAAATTAACTTCTTTTTTTTAATTCTAATAGAATGAAATTAAAGAAAAATAAATTAATTTTCTTTTTCTATTATTTATATTTTATTAATGTCCTTTGTTCTAATAAATATAGAGACATAACCTTGAAATATGCTTTTTTTTTTCTGTCTTCTTTCTTTCATTTGACAGAGATTGATTGACCTATGTTCGCCATATATGATGTTAAATTTACCTTCATTTCGTTTTCTTTTTTTTAGTAGTACCTGAAAGATTATTCATTGGAGAGAGTTTTTAACAAATCATAAAATTGTCTAAATCAATATGAAGAATAATTCAAACTTAATTGATATTTTTTCAATATTTAATAAACCTAATGAAAAAAATTTTTAAAATATTTTTAGCATTATATTAATCAATATAGTTGAATTCTTTGATTGACAAGAATAGCCTTTTTTTTTTCCTTCTCTTCAATTTTCTTTTCGTAAACATAGGATGTGATGATAGAAGAGTTGTAGATTGTACAGTGTTGCTCTAAGACAGTCAATATTTGGTACAAATAGCATTTGTTCGAAGAGAACAAATTATCTTTTTTCCTTTTTGCTTTTGTATAATAGAACCGAAGGCAAATTACTGACTTCTTGGAAGAAAATAGAAAATTTTCATCGTCTCATTTCTCATATCTTTTTCTTCTCATATTCTAGTCTATTTTGAGATTTCGACATCTTGCAAGATAGGTTTCTTGATGCAAAACTCGATTGTAGTGTCTCTTAAAGCATATACCAAAAGAGTATAATTAATTTTTCCAATAAAAAACTGTGATAACAAAAAGATCAAGACAAAATAAATGCAATATAATAGATTTTACTATATATTATGAAAAGACTTTTGTTTATTATTGAATAGCTTGATTATATTTCATATTCGGATTCCCTAAGAATGATTGTGAAAGCTTTGTGGGTGAAGATTATGACATTTATTTCCATACTGAAATAAATAATTTTTATATTATGAAATCGAGAATTGATTTGTATGTCACCTAAATTTAGGTTGGTATTTAATCCAAAAAAAAAAAACAGATGTGAAATAAATTTGAAAAGAAATGTATTTATGCTTACTAATTGATAATCATATATTTAATTTATTCTCGGAAATAGAAGATGAATCGAAATGAGTAATGAAAGAGAAAATCTATTGAAACTTAAAAAAACAAAGAACGATAATGCTATTCAGGAAATGATAGAATTTAAGGATAAACTTAATAACTAATTTGTGTGTCTCGCTATCTATTCGAAACCTTAGATCTATAGATATGAACTTTGTAAAACTAGGTTTTTATAAAAATTTTGATAGACATGTAGCGATCTCTATTGAATGTGGAGTGGTTCGGTTAGTAGATCCGATTGGATAAAATCTTTACATCACCTGACTGTCAACAAGTAAGTAATAATAACGAGAATAACAAATAGCGTAGCAAAAATAGGAACAAATCATGTGAGAAGTTCTTCAATAAATCAAAAACCGTTTTTTTTTATCGTCTTTATTCATGTAAAGTAATTATGGCTAATGATATACAACAATTTGGTATAATTGAAAAACCTTTACATCTTAGGTAGGTCAATTCAAGTTTTTAGATAATATATTCAATTATTTTGTTTTTAGTTATTTACGAGATTTTCGAGTTGAACAATGCCAATTATTTCTTCAACATAAATGCACACAGTATGAAACAAATATTTCTATTTGAAATTTGAAACGAAAAAAATAAAAACGAAACAATATTTTAGACATCGACCTTTTTCATGTTTTTATTGGCATTTTCAAAATCAACGACGTCGTCGTCCTTTTCGTAGAGCAGATGGAACATTTTCTTATGATCCTGATTTTTATTGTAATGGTTATGATGAACAAAGTGGTGTTTGTCCAAATGGTGATGAGTAAGTGAAAAAAATATTATTATTCTTTGTGTTTTTTTTAAAATAAACATTTAATAGTTGTCCACTTTTACATCGAAATGCAAATGATACAGAAAAACGTTATCATTTACGATATTATAAAACAGGTTTATGTACACATGAATCTGATGCTAAAGGACATTGTCTTAAAAATGGTCCACATTGTTCATATGCTCATGGTGCCAATGATTTACGACAACCAATACTTGATAGTCGTGAAATGCAAAATAGTGATTTAGCTTTAGAAAGACTTGCCCGATTATGTATTAGTTTAGAAAATGAACGAGCTTTAAATGATGATCCCAAATGGAGTGGTAAGAAAAAATAATTCTTTCTTTTATAAAATCATATTAATGAGGAAACATCTCCAGATGTCAAATCGATCATCAATTGAGACGATATTCATTTGATTTGATGAGTATTAGTGAATGATTTGCTTTTGCAAGCGTTCCTTTTTAAGATGTCGAAATTTTACTGGTTTTTTTGTTTCTTCTTATGTCACGTGCAAAAAAGAGTTTCGAATTTCGACTTTAAACTTTTTATGAATAAAGTTCTCAATGAGACTAGTTCATTGGGTAAACTTTAGATTTTCTAGCATTTCCTATCTTGAGATATGGAATATTTGAAATTCTCTCATGCATAAAAGCAAATTTTGATTACATCTCCAGAAGGAAAATGCTAGTTGCACAATCAACTGCTCTTATGGAGAATTTTATTTATGCAAAATTTTCAAATCGAAGCTCACATGACCTGAGTAAAACTACAGCTAACCCAGTAAAATTTCGATATATGGAGAACAACGATCGGGAAAACTAAACCATTAACTATTAATCATTAAATAAACATTGTCTAGGTCGAAATGCGATTTGACATTTGGAGATAGGTGTGAATAGGAAACCTTTCATTTTTAGAATGAACTAGTCTCTTGAAAACTTTATTTATGTAAAAAATAATCGTAACTTATAAAGAAAGACCTATGAACATAAATCTTTTAAGGATATGTCTAGTTTTAAAACAGGACCGATTTAACGAGATAGGACTCATGTTAAAAGTGATTTATTATGAAACGAGCTGCTCTTGTACGAATAGTATCGATGAGAGATACTGTACGAATATTTACCTAAATGACCGATATAACTATCGTTTAGAATTTTGACAGTCATCGGTTGAAAGTTCTGTATCTTTTTTCTTATAAAATTCAACAGATTCTTAAAATGAATATATTATCGATAGAGAGGCTTTGAAACAAAAAAGTTATCAATGCAAGACTATAGAATTGAAGAAGAATTCTTAAGAGATAGTACATACTGATTTATTTATAGTGCATTAATTTAAAAAAATTCAAATAGAATATTCGAAAACAATTTGCTAGATTCATTTTGCAAGCTTTTATACTATTCATAGTGAAATTCAGATTTTTTTCCACACATAGATGGTAGAGAAATTCGTAAGGTTAAATGAATGATTAGAGCATAGACAGATATCAAATCGAAACCGTTCAAGTTTAGGTCAAAACTAAACAATTGCGTATTTCCAATGACATTAATATCTTTATTATGCCAAAGGTTCAATGGTGATGGTATACCTATCTTATGTACAGCTTTTCACGGATCTAAGCACGTACGCATGGACTAACGATGAAGATATATTCTTGGATTTTTTTGGCCAGAACGACTATTTCAAGAAAATTGCCGAATATCTATATAAATGAACTAAAGGTTTTTGGAGTTCATGAATCCGAATTTATAAGAAGTTTGTCAAAATTCTTCCAAACGAAATAGTCGAAACAAATCTAAGGTCACCGTCTTCACCGTTATTATATGCGTGCCTATCTAGGTTAGTGCTTGGTGTGACCAAGTTTTTTAGCCACAATTATTCTTTTCAGTTTGTCGTTAGTCGCGATCGCTTTTATTTTTGCACGATGTTTATTATAAGAGAAGTTACATAAAAGCAAAAACAAATAGAAATGAGAAGATTAATAACCAAGAACAAGAAAATTATGTTTTTCATTAATTCGATTCGATTCGATTCAATTAAATAGTAACATATAAGTATACTTTCGTTCAACGGTATGTGTAACAAAATGTGTGCTTTTATTATCTTTTGTACTTGTTGTGATTTTTATGTCGCATAAGAAATTAGAACTCAGGGGAATTTTAAATTTTCCTGAGTCATAAATTTCTCCTGTGATATTTACATAAAGTTATTTTGATTCAGAAAAAAATGAATAAATTAGCGCGATAAGTTAAGAATATAAAATGATTCGCGCTGTGGAAAAATTAGTGAAGTTAACACAGTATATGTGAGTATTTCGATACTTCTGACTGTCAGTGATCGAATTTCAGTCACGGTCACGGTCACGGTCACGACCGTGATAAGCGTGAGCCACTTCGAATACGAGTCTAAATTAGTGCAGCACTCAATCTAAGACCGATGATCACCGTTGCACCCCTAAGTTCGAACTTAATTAAGTTTCATAGCAAGTCGCAGACAAACAGTTTGATAACTATTAAATAGTTTTTATTGACAGAAAATAATCTCTTGAACATATATTAGACATTGTTATAACAGGCCAATAATTCATAGTGTCAAATCGCTTTTTGATCAATGCTATATTCATTTGATGAGTACTGGTCAATGGTTTGGTATTTCGGGCATTCATTCTCTAGACATGACAATTTTACTGGATTAGTCGTAGTTCTCCTCAGGTCACTTGAAAGTTTCGATTTCAAAACTTTTCACGAACAAAGTTCTTAATGAGATTAATTGATTATGCACCTAATATTTCCTTTCTTGAGATGTAAAAATATTTGCTTTTTCCCATGAGATAATTTTGAATATCTCACAGGATAGGTGATACAAAAAAAGTTATACTTTGCTCAACGGACTAATCTCATCGAGATTTTTTTTCATGGAAAGTTTGAAGTCGAAACTTGATTTTCCATGTAACCTAAGGAGAATCGTAGCTAAACTAGTAAAATAATGACATCTCGAGACATACTCGGAGAATCAAATTATTTACTAGTACTCATCAAATAAAAATCGTCTCGATCAAAAAACGATTTGACACACCTGAAAAGGTTCCCTTGTTAATCTCACATCGGGTTCTGATCGATACCGAATAAAAAACCATCACTACATTTAGTTACGAATTTCTTCTATTATTTAGATTCTCATTATGTACTTGCAAATTATAAAACTGAACCATGCAAACGTCCTCCACGTCTCTGTCGACAAGGTTATGCATGTCCTCAATATCACAATCCACGTGATCGTCGTCGTAATCCATCGATATTTAAATACAAGTAAATACGAAAAAACGAAAATTAATATCTCATGCAAAAAGAAAACTCTTCACTATAGGTCAACACCATGTCCACATGTAAAACAAAATGATGAATGGATTGATCCAACAGTATGTGAAGCTAGTGATAGTTGTAAATATTGTCATACACGTACTGAACAACAATTTCATCCAGAGGTTTTATTGAAATATTTATTTTTTGAAATTTTGATTATTTTTCTTGGTTAAGATTTATAAATCAACTAAATGTAACGATGTTTCAATAACAAGTTATTGTCCACGTGGACCATTCTGTGCTTTTGCTCATATTGAACGTATGTAAAAGAAAAACGAAATAGATTTATAAAAAAGATTCTTTGTTGCTTTCTTTCTACTTTTTAGAAGAATTAAAATCCTATCGAGATTTTGATCTTCATTATACAAGTGAATTACCATTATCATCATTTATTCCAATACCAGAAGATAAAGAAGTTTGTATTATTGATGTAAGAGAAGATCTTTTATTTTGTTTGTTTTTATTCTCGATTTTATCTTAAAGGCATTATCATCAACACGAAACATTCCAAAAAAATCATCTCAACCATCTATATATGACGTTGAATCATTTCGAGGTGTTACGATAAATACATTTGATCGACATGTACAGATATTTGATTTTCTTTTGATTAAAAAATTTGTTTCTTTCTTTTTAGTCTTCAAGAACAAATAATTCTTCTAATACATCATTTACAATGCACGAAATGCTTTCAAAATTAACTCCATCACAACATATTTATGAACCACCACGTGTATCACCATCATCATTTTTAAATGATCAATTTCTTTTATCGGCTGCTGCAATAGCTGCTAGTCATTCTTATCCACCACCATCATCTTATTTATCATCATTAGCAGAATCAAATTTACTTTCATCGATAAATGCACATTTTCATTCAATAACATCAACATCAACAAATTATTTTGATGAAAAAAAAGATAATCAACAACAACAAATTTTACCAGCAGATGTTAAAAATTTAATTGAATCATCATTAACAGCTATTGGTTTAGATCATGTTGATGATAATGATTTTGATAAAGCAGCTACAAATGAACAAAATACTAATGATTTACTTATTGATAATGATATGGATAGTTTTGAACGTTCAACAACGCCAGCTACAAATAATACATCACCAACTAATTTATTAACATCATCAACAAATCAAATAACAAGACCAATGAATATTCCAAATTCATTTTCAAATGATTATTTTTCACATTCATCATCACTGAAATCACCATTTAATGCACCAAATCAATTATTTGAAGAAGCTTTAGAATCAGTATGTTTAATTAGATTATTTTTATCAAGCAAAATATATTCAATGATTTTTTTAATTATATATCAAATGAATTATGAATATATTGAAAAGAGTTCGGGTCTATTGCTTATTTCTTCTGACATATTGCATTTTACTGTAGTTTTTAATATACTGCAGAAAAACATATTTTCGAATTTCGATTTGAAACTTTGTATAGAACTAACGTAAGCCTTGATAAGAATAGTTTATTGTGAAAGTTTCAAGTATTTTCGTTCGTACTATCATACGATACAGTTATGGTAAAAGGACATCTTTGATATCGTTTATGTACATTTGCAGATTCGAATTTTGTATTTCAGGATAACAGCGAACCAAATGGCCTGATACTTTCATCATTAACCTTTTCTTTTAAGACTTATTTTGATGCAAAGTTTCAATTCGAAACTCGAAAGCCAATTTTCCTAGTATTCCTAAGGAAGATCACAGCATTGTATTGAAAAATATTGTAAAAATGATCTAGATCAACAGGAATAAGCTATGGGTTTGAACTCTTTTCGCAGTATTCCTAACTCATTATGATCTATATGATGCACATAGTCCCAACTTAAAAGAAATTAATTGGTTGGCAAACTTTTCTTGTTAATAAGACTAGCAGAACTCTAAAAAGGTTGATCTCCAGGGGGTCTTTCACGCCAAGTTATGATTATTTTAGTAACTTCTTGACCCAGTTTTAGATATATATTGAAAAGCTAACCATCAGTATTTCAATGTAAAAATTCGCTCATAAATAGTTCGAATGATAAATAGAACATGTTGAAATTTTCAGCCGAAAAGAATGCTCCTCTGTCGAGATATTAAATTTTCAAACAATAGTCATTTGCCACAAATATGTCACAAAAATCGAATTCACTTGGAAATTCAATATCTCGAGTAGAGTCCATCTGGTTCAAAATTTTCGAATATTCGGACTAGATCTGGCGGGCTCTAGTCTGAACAAAATTTGACATCGAAATTCTGTATTTTGATTTAAGTCTGAATTGGAAATTCAGTAAAATTATCATAACTTACTTTTAAATACGTAAGCGAACGAACTTTTTTAGATTTTTGCTAGTCTCACTCAGACGTCTTTGTAGGTACAATATGAGTTCAGTCATTGGATATCAGGTTGAGTGATTCCTTCATAAGAAAAATCCTGAAAGAATTAAAACTGACAGAGTATCTATCAAAGGTTACGGCCATTTTATTGATATTCCAAGTTAGAATAAGCATGTTTAAAAAAACCAAAGAACAGAATTTCACAGTGAATTTTTTGTGCACATATTTAACTTTTACGATCAGTAAAATATTCTAAAAGTTTTAATGGAAGAGCAAGAAACGATATTTTCCAGGCAATGCTGAATTATTAGAAAACTTGTTTTTTCTACTCATTATGAGTCTTTCGAAAAGAAAACATTTTCTTTTTTTGACTGAAACTTCTTGCATTGAAATTATCTACAAGTAGAATTTCTGGTCAAAATTTTGGTTCGTCTTACACATACTTGTGTTCGTTTAAAAAATCAGTAAAATGATCATAAACGTTCGAAAGAAATCTCGTCAATCTAAATGTTCTTTGGATTTTTCTTGAAATAATATCTCCAACATATGAACAAAATCTCATTTGCAGTAGCATAGATCAATAGAGGGTCGTCCTTCATTAGCATAAATTTTGTAACATATGTATAACTGATTTTTTACTGTTGTTTCGAGTAAAACAAAAACATTCTCAACAGATGTTTTAAAATGAACTAACTGTGCTTTGCTTTAGAACATATGTTTGATTAATTCTTAATCTCATGATCAACACATGTCATTATTTGATAGAAACGTTCTCAAAACCTTTGACTCTATTTATTTAAAATATCGATTTTAAATTGAATGAAAAAATATTTTTGTTTTTTCTTTGAATTTTTCTTAATGAAAATATTCATTTTCAGCCAATCGATACACCATTTCCTGAACCATCAACATCAAGTGGTACAAGTAGTCGACCCGGTGAACTCTATAAAATGGCTGGTTTTAGTCAAGACTTACCAATATCACTTCATCATTTACAATCAACATCTCCTCAATCGATGTTTCAACGTCTTAATACAACAACAAGTACAACTTCATCATCATCATCATCTGAAATTGATTTAATGCGAAATCGTATATTACAAATGCAAGCTTTAGTTATGACTGAAAAAGAGGTTTATATCATTTGTTAATATATTATTTTATTTTGTATTTTAATATTAATAGTCATCGGAACATTGGCGTCGTGAAGCGAAAGAAAATCATCGATTAACTGTTCAACTTGAACAAGAAAAAAGTCATGCTATACAACAACGTGATGATGCTTTACATCAAATTGAGCGAATGCGTCAATTACTTGTACATAATGTGCGTTTATTACCAAGTGATCAAGATTTAATGCAATTGACACTTGATGATGTTCGATCATTACAAACGCAACTTCAACAAGAATTATCAAAACTTTCAGTTGTAAGTTTCTTTTATTTATGATATTGTAAATCGGGTAACTCGTAGTAATTGATCTATACGATGTGTACTCTGTTGCTATTATAATCGAAAAAAAGTATTAGTATTTACTCTTTTTGAATTTTTACTATACATCACAATACAATTGCTACTACAAAAAGGAGAATGATGAAGAACTGACTCACTTAAACTATGATCTTTCTCTTTATTTGCGTCAGATAGTTACAAAGTAATAATAAAATCTAATTTAACACTGAAAGTTGATTAATGAAAAGGTCTCTACTGTACTGTTAACAATTAGATGATGAGCACAGCTTTTTAAATTCTTAGGATGCACTATCTGTATTTTAAGCAAAATATCAGACTTCAAAAGTTGCAAAAAAGATTTCATTATGACATCAAATACAAAAAAATTAAACAACACAAAAATATTAATTGTTCGTATGACTATAAAATATTTTCTCATAAACACATCTTCTTCATGTCTCTCTTTTTTTATATTCCTTCTCGTCAAAAACTAAATCTTCTTTCAAGAAAACAAAATTCAACAATAATCGTCTTTTACTTTATTTTAGATTGAACAAATGAAATCAAATAATGTTCAACAGACGCCATCGGTAGATATCAGTCCGGCAAAGCCAACCGCTACTACTTCATCTCATCAACGACATGCTAAAAATCATCATGGCAAACATGTTTTAGTCCCTTCAACGTCTAAACAATAAACTTCGTTTTTCTTCTTATTTTAATTGCCATTATATATTAAATGTTAGACTTATTATATTTTCTTTCTGATAACTTTTTTTCTAACCTCTAGGCGAATCCTTCATATATGCACATTCTTAATATATATATATATTTTTCTCTTGTTGGAATGAACAGTGAAAGTGCATCATTATTTGTGTGTAGGAAAGCTTGTACATAGATAGTATTTTTTTTTGTTCTATTTGAATATAGATAGGCGTGAATATTGTTGTATAAGTAAATGCGCATGACTTTTCTTTCGTTCTTTTTAGTAGATTTGAAATTGTCAAAAAAAAAAAAAGAAGATGCTTCTGTAAAATGATAACGAAACGATAGAAGCATTATTTTTTTTTTGTTTCGTTATTTTGTATGTGAAGATATATGGATTTCATCTCGGTTATTTGTTTTATTTTTTATTTTCTGTAGGTTAATCGTTTAAAAATTGTATTTACTAATTTTAGGAAATTAATCGCTTTTATTTTACAAAAAAAGAAACTTTGTATACGTTATATATCTTTTAGACATGCGCATACGTGTACAACTATCAATCTATTTCGTGTTTTTTCTTCGATATTCTAATACTAATTTATCTTTTGATTTCGTTTCTTTTGTTTTTTTCATCTTCATGTGTCCTAATAAAATCACCATGTATCTCATTGAATTTTCTGGAACTATGGATACTTTAGAATTTATTCTATTTTTATAGACATGTCTTGTTGATACATATTGACAAGATCAATTTTGAGGTTTTAAAATTATATGGAAATGATGTCGATATGTTTTTTTTTTTTATTTTAAAACTTTGTTTATAAACAGATAAACAATGGTAATAGGTTGCTAATAGAGGATGTTTCAAAAATCTATAAAAAAAATTTTCGTGAATAACTTTTAAATAATGCAAGTGATTTATATGTATTTTTTAATAATCAGCGTAAGCAAATGTTAAGGAATTTCATTTTTTTTGACATTGTAACATATGCTTCCTGTCAATGGCATAAGCAAAATCTTTGAAACTTTTATTATAGATAGAGACTATTTATATCTACTGTTAATAACTATAAATAAATTTTTTCGATAAAAGTGATTCCTGTTTTAACAAGCTTTCAGAATATCAGATCAATTCATAACAAGCATAACTGCATCGAATAAAAAACTAAGAGTAGTGTTTGTTACAGAATTTCATCAAAAATATAGATGGTTTTTGAATGTATTATATTAGTTCGTAGATATCTAACATTTCTACGAAGATCATATGTTGAAAGAGCACTTTGTATCTGATCGATTAATGACTAATTGAAGAATCTTTTTTCTGTTGATCGATCCTTGTTTAATGATGTATACTACTACCACCTTTTAAAAAATTTTCGACTTCTTCACATTAAGAAAGATTTTTTGTGTCCAGAACACTCAATGCTGCTCAAAAGATCATTCCCTTTGAACTGTTGGAATCAGCTATCTTCACTTTGAAGTTTGAATCTTCTCCATGTGAGAGTGATCGATGGTTGATCATGCTGTAATATAATATAATATTTTTTGAAGCTTTCCTCTATGTACTCTCAACGACATATTTGTACCTACAAAAAAACGATGTTCTGGAAGATCGTCAAAAATTACAGAAGATCAACGAGATTAATGATGTTTATGGAAGTCAACCACAATTGAGTGTTCGAACGGTTGCAATAGCCTGATCCATATCACTAACAACAGCATACCAAATTATGGATGAATGTTGTTTATTGAAATGGTACAAAATGCAATTTGTCCAAGAAATTTACGAAGACGATTTACAAGACCGAGTTGAAATGATACCTATGTGAGATAGCATCGACAATCATGAGAGATCGCTTTTTTATTGAAACGATTTATTTTTTCATATAAATGATTTATCGATAAATATGAGATGAAAACCTATATGTATCAGGCATATATAAAGGTTTGATTAAATCTAAAATAAGAACGAATAGTGGAAATAAATTAACTCGAAAATAAACTTTCAACAGTATTATTTTTTTTATTTTTCGAAAAGAATAATATACTATTATTTTATTAATAAAGCAAATTAATCGTTTGCATCATATAAGACATATTGACCTAAACTTTTCTCACGGACTTTTGAAACAATCTGTAGAAATGTGAGTTAATCTGCTGATTTAACTATCGATTTATATCTCTAGTCGTGAGATACTTTAAAAAGTTTATCAGATGAGACTAATAACGATAGGCTAGTATGGGAAATTTCTAAAACTTTTGATTTATTTTTCAATCGCATTATCGATCATTTTATCATCGAACGAACACCATTCAAAGACTGAAATGTTGTTCCACATTGAATGAGTACTTAAACTTGAAGAGACACGATTATTGAAAACAAAATTATTTAGAGACATTTAGCAACAGACATACATAGTTTTTAATATAATAAATAGAATGATCGAACAATTTCGTCCCGAGTGTCGGTGTCAGTGAAAATCTGTTGTGTGATCTCAAACACCTACTTACTTTCGATGTTCCTTCAGAATACTTTAGGGCTAGCATGTCAAACGATGAATTGTCATAGCATAAATGAATAAGTCTTATGTAACGATAAATTCCTCAGGATTATACATCCGTCATAATCACTTAGGGAATTCTCTTGTATTACTCTATGCACTTCATTAAGTTTACAGAAATGCTGTAAAATGAAAAGAAATGACACTATTTTCTCCTTCGTCTAAAATATAAATAATGCTTTTAGCAATTTAGATTGATTTTTTGATAAATCTTATGTCAGGATTGATGAGTCAAGCCACTTTTCGAGTCAAGACAAGTTATATTTGCCACTTTTTTTGTTTTCTGTTTATTTTTATAATGAACGTGAACAACAAGCTTTTTATGACACAATATCTTGTTCCTAATTTTTATATAAAAAAAACAAAACAAAATAAGAATAGTCCTGGATAAAATAAAAAAGCATAAATCTTTATAAAATTCCGAAGTTTCTGGAGAACGACGGGTCAGAAAAATTTGAAATTTCTAGGGCAGGTAGATCTTGCAGAGTAAAGCGAAAGTTATTATAGACTCAAGATTCTTGGATGCTGTTTTCTATGAGATACTTGATATGCAATGGCGAAAATGGCTGCCTTTTTTCTTCGAGATTCTATGTTCGATTAATCTGAGAATTATTTTTACAGGCATTAGACACTGTTTCGGGTGAGTATCTTTTTATTTTTTGTCTTCCGAGTGAAAAAAACTAAAATCTTGAGGATACTCTAAAAGATACATGTATTTCTGAATAGAGTTTTTTTTTGTAAGAGCTACCAAAAATGAGCAGAACAACATTTTTTAAAACAAAAACAAAGAAAAGTCATCTCAAACAGTGTATAGTATATCTGAAAGCAATTAAAGCTTGATTGGATCTATCAGGTTAGAGAAACGAGAGCGTTTATCCATTTCTCTTTTCATGAAACAGTTAGTTTGAGGAAGACTCAAACAATGTGCCGTTTTCGTTAATTTGATATCTCGAATTTTTTAACGTTTAAAGTGCTGAATTATCAACTTCTGCTTTCTTAAATGAATAACTCATGTCAACTCCGCCAAATTTTCGAGTCCAAGTCATGACTTTGAACTCGTCCAACACTATCCTATGCCATGTATTATTAATCTCAAGGCAGTATATCATACGTTTTAATAAGTAATATTAAAACAAAATCTTATCATTAATAAAGATAATCATTCGAATTTGAATTTTAACGAAATAATCAATGAATAGAACATTTGACACTATTCACTATTTATCTACTTTTTTTTAAAGTTTGATATTTTATTTGAAGTAAAATAAATATTTGATACAAATATTCATTTCCCTTCTCATACATAGTTCAAATCAATACGTAGAACAAGAATCAGGTCACTCATTGTCTATTCCAAGAATGTACGCATGTGTAACTCTTGATAGAATCATTGGTTGCTTTTTCCTTTTGTTGTTGATATAATACATTGGGATAGAATGCAGAAAGAGGAAAAAAGTTCACCGCATTAACGAGAACATAAAAAAAAAGGAAGCCGCACAAAGTATCGGCTAATTTTTTTTGGTGAACTAAACTTGAACTGAAGTATGTAAATGTGTATAGAAAAGAAAAGAATGCGTGAAATGAAGCAGACGGTAAGCACTATTAAAACAGTTTAACCGGATACTCATATGTTCTCATATTATTATTATTATTATTATTATTACTGTTAATGTGATTATGATGTAAGAAGTGACAGACCTTCTTTTTATTATATACTAAATGTATATTTATCTATTTATTTATTCAATAAGAAACAGAAAAAAAAGCATATGTTAATAGTAAATGATCAACAAGTAAGAAATACCGATACTGCTCAATTATCTATTGACAATCAGTCAAATGATTGTGTCACTTTTATGCTCTATTATTAATATTAAATAAAAGCATGAATAATGTCGAGAGAAAAAAACGCTCCGTTCCTTCGCCCCTCCCCCTCCCTCTATGTAATTACCTGTTTTGAACGATAGATAGACATTGATTTCTCTAAAAGACAATTCTAAAAATGATAATTCATTTGAAGTGTTTTCAACTATTGACAGTAATTATGAAAATGACCTTTTTGATACATATGGCATAGATTATTTCATTGTAAGTTAATTGTCTATATTAGTTAATATGTAAGGCATTAGACTTCGAGTTAAACCGATATGTTTTATTCGAAATACTAGACGCTCCGATATCATCATTTGTTACCCAGTTGTGTTATGATATGGTTGTATATATTAAAATAAGACCATTATTATTAGAGCAATAGTAAGTATATCGTTCTTCTTATGTACAAATGATGCAGTGAAACATTAGACAAGTTCTAATCCTTGTCTGTTGTTGATCCATGATTTATTGATATTAAATGATAAAAAACGAATAATAAACATTTCCTAAGGGCAATGGCCTTTTTTTCTCACTATTTCTGTCCTTGGTCGTTATCCTACTAACCCGTTATTAATTTATGCAAATCGCATATTTGCTTGCTTGCTTTTATGTATGTATATGTCTTTTCTTTTTCCTAATTATCTTCGTAGAAGTCATTTTGTTATACTGATTGAATCAATCGCAGATACTATTTTATATTCGTTCATTCATTTCTATATAGATAAGCATTCTAATATTATAGATACTGTTTCATTCTTTGTTTTGTAAGTCTATGAATACAAATCAGTTGATTACGTTTCATACCAATTATTGTCACATGTGTTCGACTGTTTTAGTTGATGAATGAAATGGATAGGAAAAAAGAATATTACGTCACAATCGATATGGATCTATAGATTGTTATTTATTATGCACTAGCATCGTCACTCCTGTCGTGAATATGATGATTCCCTATGGAGAACTATTGAATTTATTTGAAGCGCATGCAATCATAAAAAAGACGAAGAAAAATTGAGCAATAGATGAAAAGGCTGATTTAGAAAGTTAGAAGAAATTTTCCTGTTTTTCTTTGCGTAATGTCTATAGCGGTATTACTGATTACGTGTAGGCATCTGAGCGTCTATCAGTTGTAGAATAATCTTTTTCTCGTTTGTTCTCTTTAGTGACGTTCAACCATCATCATCATCATCATCATCATTTTGCATTGCGTAATTAGAAGCGAAGTGTTTCATTATCTTTTTAGTTATGACTAGTATCACGACATTATTATAAGTAGAAAAATAAACAAATAAATATTATTATATTTTTTTTTAAATAGTTTTAGACAAAATAAATTCTTTATTATGTTTTATAAAACTCCATATCCATCTCTGGTTTCATTTCTTATTTTAATGATTGGATGTGTTCTTTTTTTAATGTCGACTATCTATACATTATATAAAGTTCAACATAGTGAAAAATGGTCATGCAATCAATGGTAAGTTAATAATAACAGAAAAAAAAAGAAAGAAAAAATACATATATATATGTATATATTTATTGTATTTCGATTATTAAGTTTACAACTTAGTCGACTTGTTATTGGCTGTGGTGTTGTAATAACATTTCTTTTTGGTTTATGTTCGGTCTTTTTAGCAAGTGTAATTACTGGAAAATCGAGTCAAAAACATTATTGGGGCTATAAAAAGAATATATGTGCAAGAATATTAAATGGTTTTGTAAGTTTAAAAAAAGAATTTTCTATGAATATTTATATTTTTTTATTTAGTTTTTACTTATAACATTTTTTTTAACAATTTCATGGTTTGGTATCACATGTCTTACATTTATTCCACTTTATGGTTTTCTTTATATCTATTTTGTTGTATGTAATAATCGCTATGGTACAGCTGGAGGTAGTTTTGTAAACAGTAAGTAATTAAATGCTTAAATTTGTTTGTTTTTCTTTTCATTAGTTGTATTTATATATGTTTAGTTCTTAATGAAATCAATCAACATGCACATCGATTAGATGAAAAGCCAGCAACTTTTAAGCTTTCTGATATTTGTCAACCGGTATGTATCATTAACATCTGATTTTATTTTACTGATAGGAGAAACAGTCTTGATCGTTTTTTTGTGAATAAATAATGATTGAATGTTTAAAAATAGAATCAGGAACTTAAGTGATTAGGAGCGGATTGTTTTATAAATAGAAATGTGTGACATTGTGATAAAATACTACAATTAGATTCTGTTATTGCTGTGCAATTTTCCTGCTATATGAACATCAATCAAAATAGAACAAGACATTTATTAACTGAAATAATTCTTTGATTTCATGTAAGAAGGTCAAGAGATAATTTTTCTAAATGTCGAAAGCAGCTGTGTTTTGCACAGTTATTTTTCTCGGCAGGATGACTAGTAGTAACTCTTGAGAGATTACGACATAGTTCGAGACGGAAATGATCATGAACTTTTTTTTTTGAAGATTCAAACTAAAAAATTTGCTTTCATATATCAACCAACAAAGCAGGCATATCTATTATGCTGAAAGTATGATTATCAATACATCATCTCTTATTCTTTTCTTTTAGTCTTATCGTGATTACTTCAGTTTAAGTATTGTCACAACAGCTTCATCAATATTGATTATCTTAAGTTTGGTATGATACTAGTAATATATATTATAAATCATATCTATTTTTTTTTGTAGATATTCTTAATGATCGCTCAAGGGGCCAATCATGCCCATATTCATAGTGATAGAAATCGTTATGAATTAGCACAAAATAGTGATCATGATATTGAAGATACAAAAATGTGACACAGAAACAAAAAGCGAAACTTAACTGTTTAGAACAGTCAATCAATGTTGTTCTCTTTGTATGCGTATTTTTCTTTTTATCAAAAATTAAACAAAAACATTCAGTCAAGTCAGTTATATTTATAATTGAATAAACATCGTTCATAGCACAGCTACATTATTTTTTCCTCAAATATAAATCAATGCATGTGTGTGTGTGCATTTTGTTTTTCAAAAAGAATCCATTATAAAAATAAAATAAAATAAATAAAACTGTGTCAGTATATAATTGTTAACGATAATGAGAACGATGTCGATTATGAGAAGAAAGTCGATATTGAGAAGAATGCCGATTATGAGAAGGATGTTGATTATGAGAATTATATCGATTATGTGTTATTCTTGATGAAGTTCTTCTATGTGGTGATCGTCCTGCTCTATGTGAAGTTCTTCTATGTGGTGATCGTCCTGCTCTATGTGAAGTTCTTTGGTGTGTAGTAACACTATGAAGTGGAATGACATTTCGCCTTCCTAATCCTATTACACTATAAGGAGAATTGTATGATTCTGGAAAACGAGCCGTCCATGCTCCTGTACGTTTGTCACGTTCAAGTATAGCAAAATTACAATAATTAACTCTCACAGCTTCATGTTCAAGATTTTCAGGGTTTCCACGTCGACTAAATACACCACGCATACCACGTGTTAATGCTTCAATTGAACCACCATGTGCTGATAATAAAACTGTTCCACCTTCATACCTATGAGTTTGAACTATTGCATCAATAAGATGACGAGATCGTTGATAAAATTGTTTCTCATTTTCACTTGGATCAACACTATCATAGATTGGTGCATAACCTGTATTTATTTTAAATCTTCTATCCATAGCTAAATATTCAGGAGGTATAAATACCAATGGTGCATCATTATACCAAGATGGACATTCAAATAGACCTTAGCGAGAAATAAGATGAAAAGTTTATGATATATAGATTATTTATTTTTATACCAGGTTCAATGTTACTAGGTACAGCTTTTCGTCCTTGACTTTCAAGAATTCTGTTTGCCGTTTGTATTGATCGATATGCAGGTGAAGAATAGCAATAATCAATTGGATAACCAAGTTCAAGTAATTTTCGACCAAGAGATGCACTTTGTTTTTCTCCAGCAATAGTTAATGGTGGATCAAATTTCCATTCACGAAAATTTGGTCGACGTGGTAAGCGTGATATTTGTGAATCATGATCACCATGTCTTCGTACTTTTCTTAACCAATTGTCTCCCAATGCCAAATCAGCACGTTCACCATGACGTGTGATTACAATTCGAAGATTATCAGGTGCTTCGTCCCCACCAAAAAGACGTCGTAACATATTATCATAAACGGACTATATGAAAGTATGCGAAAAAGTAAACGGCAATAGACTATTATCCTTTTTAAATATATAATGTATCTAAGGTCTCTAGTGTTTACTACTTACTTGCTATGCGTTATATATATGTCGACCGCCGTCAGTGCATATTTATTCGAGTAAAACATGAGACACTAAAAAAAATGAATCAAGCCGCTGATAATTATCATCTATTCGTCGTTAGAATCCAGGCATAGTTTCTCTTTCGTTTATATGTGTATTTTTTATTCATATTTAACTGATGACATTAATGCACATGAAATCAAATCAATACGCACGTGAATCAAAACAGACATAATCATTCATACTGCGTTGTGAAAATACAGTTATTGTATCGTGTTGATTTATTTTTTTATGCAAGGTTTTGAGTAATTAGCGTCTTAGATTGTCAAGGTAGTCTTAGCTTTGTAATCACATTTTCATATTGAGATACAAACTTTCTATTTGTATGGAGTGTTTCATGATTCATAGATCGCTACACAACAGTACCTAGTAATGCTTACGTAGCGCAACACAGACGTAAATACAATTAGCAAGTCGAAGGATGAACATAAAAATATTTATAGGACTCAAGGAAAACATGATTCATATATGAATTGCGTCATAATATTTACGAATATTGATATTATACATCACGTGATTATTAAAATAGATTTTAGATAAATCGATTATTATCAAAAAGTGTCTCATGTCAAAAATAGACTATTTCCATTCAATTTTTTAGTAATTCTATTATTGTTTAAGTAAAAAAACAAAATAAAATATCGACAATATAGTTTTTTGCTTTCATATCCATATCTATGAAGAAAAAAGTGTACTTGTGAATATTCTTACTGAAAAAGGCATTATTTTGGCTATTCTGAATGTTGGAATCGTAAGAGAACGAATGGTTAATACTCAACATTCTGTTATTTTTTCAGTTCGTGGATATCGCTACTCTTATACTATTAAATAATTATTATTTTGGAAGTTCTATTTTTTTTTCTAGGACAGTAACAAAATCTTCAAGATTCAATAATTGACTTTGAAAATTTTCTCCTGGTATTCTTCGATTTAAAAATGTTTTCAGTGACAACATATTTAATTTACAAAAGCTGGTTTAGTGCATTTTTTCTACATCAGTATCGAATGTCTCTTGTGAAATAATCTTCGATCTCATTGAATTTTTACGATATAGTAACTGAAATAACATGAATTGCGATCTGTTTGGTGTCGGACAAAACGATTGAATTAATATTTATTGCATTCATACACATTTTCATAATTATTGATCAGGTAACCTCGCTTTCTAGAGACAAATTAGCACATAAAATACAATGATATGATTAGGTCCCGTTTCGTCGAAAGCTTAATTGATTTTCCTGTTTCGTCGAAAATGTATTTTTCTTCCATTCCCGTTTCGTCGAAAGTGAAAAAACGACTATTCCCGTTCGTCTAAAAAAAAATTCTGATTAATCAATGAAGAATAGATTATACGTATCATTTGATGAGATTTTTTCGTCCTATTAATTACTCGTAGACAAGTTTATCAAAAAAAAAATTATTATAGAGAAGATTTAGATACATAAATAAGAAATTATTAAGAGAAGATATTAATATAGAAAAGAAAACAATCAATATTTTTTTTATTCCGATTAATTGCATAACTTTTTCAAGTTATAATGATATTATTTGTTCTCTATAACTTTTTTTTACTGGTTGCGGTGAATCTTCAATACGTCGTTTTAAATTCATTCTAAATTCTTCCACTTTACATTTCATTTCATCACCATCATGATTGTGTGATTTATTCATGCTTGGTGGACTTGAACCATATTGTATAGCACGTCCAGGACATGAACGATGTTCACATTTTCAATAAATAGCTGTGTTTAAAATGTTATCTTGTGTGTAGCAAAAAGTATCAAGTAATAATGTTGGTTTATTACGTTTACTTTCAACAATAGATAGCATCTTTTTGTGTAATAATGAATGAATATAACAAAAAAAAAATGAATTTTCCTTTTTTACTCCACATATATATACTTTTGCAAAAATTACAGATTACTAGTATAGAGATATCAATTAGTTTCTTTTTAAGGAAACAGTTTAGGTCAATCAAAGAAATTGAGATTATCACTTTGATTATACTTTTTTCATTACAATTTAATTTTTCGACGAAACGGGAATCTACCGAAAATACACCTATGAGTTTTTATTAAAAGTTGAGTTATTTTGAATGTAAAATTGCAAAAATAACTAAAAAATTCGTGAATAACAGAAACACTTGTATATGAATTCAAGCGCATGTGCAAGAATATCAAGCAATAGAGCAAGAAGTTCAAGAGCTTGAGCTCGCCGAAAGGTCTCAAGTCTTGTCTCAAGATTTATTCATAGCGCATGACTTTCTTGATCAAGATTCTCAAGTATCTCCTGCGAACACTAAAAGAAGTTCGTCTAAGACAATTACTTGAGTAAACGAAAATTCCAGTGTTCTTCGAAAAAAGACAACTAAAAACCTTCCTGATTTTAAGTAAGAATCTCCTGGTGAACTCCTGGTTTTGCAAATTGGGATTTGGCAGCCCTGAACTGTACCTATCTATATATAGTAAAACGACGAAAAGTAATAAATAATAGGTAATGAAAATTCTAACAAACTTGTCGATGACGAGCTATAAACGTTTTCAGCCTGATTGTGACAATTGTTCGTTTTCGTTGGCTTGTGCCTTTTTTTTTTTAAATTCTAATATTATGATGATATTTAAATGGAAGCAACTAGATTGTCTTTATAAAAAAGAAGCCAATGAAGTTGTGCATATCAAAATAACATTTCTATACAAAGCATTTATTGATTTAATCGTAGCTTTCAAATTACGACCACTTTGATAAATTAGTTATTAAAAAATTATATTGTGAGTTCTTTTCTTTTTTTGACAATATTAACATACAATGGTGAGAACAAATTCTGATCTGTGAACGTCCATTAATGAAGTGAAAACATTGGAAGAGCCTGTTTTATGTCGTTATAAAGAAAAACAAGTACAAAACATGACGACAAGACCAAGAAAAGGAAAAATATACAAGATAATAACAAATTTATGTTAGCGAAAAAAAAATAAACAAGATAAAAATTTTGATCCATATCAAAAAGTTTTACGAACTGTTTCTCATCATCACATCAGCATTATAAAAGATGCTAAAAACAGTCTATATGAGCAATGTGTAATGCTGGAAAAATCAATTTTATGGAATGAAACTGTTTTAATTGTGTAATCGTGCAGAATATTTTGGAATATATGAATGATAAAATTTTCACACGTATGGAACAAATCATTTTCGAGAAGTCGATATTTTTCTAAACGGGTAGATATTAATGATCGGCTAGCAAAGTTCTATGAAAAACGTTTGTTTCTTTAAGGAAAAAAAAACTCTGATAGCTTTAAAAGTTCCACTTCCTGGGTAAAACCAGATAGGTTAAATTTCGAACAGATGTAAAGTGCTCGATTGCGCAGCTCACTGGAGATTCGATCGGAAAGAAAACAAATAGATGAAGATGAATAATAATGCTATGTTATAATCGGCATTCTCTAGCGAATCTAAACAGTAACATATGAAGCAATCATAAGTCTGTTACGAGTGGATCCAAAACTATCACGTGTATATATATAGGTGATTCGTCCTAAGAGAGTCAATGATGCTTTTGGTCATATGTGGATTAATGTAAGAGGTTTATGAATATTAGTTACTTATGTTAGTCTCTAACTGACTCAACCACAACATATTTTAAGTTTTATAGTAATTCTTATTATTTCGAATGATAACAGATATTGCAATATGATTTTATATTGTGACTGATTGATCCATAAGTATTTGGTTTAATCATGTTTTATTTGGTTTGTTTTCATGTGTTATGAGAGAATAAAAAAAAACAACAGAAATAAATTTATTATTTACATTCTTTAAGTTTTAACTGAAAACGTAAATAACTTAGAAGAATAGTCTAAAAAGTTACATTTGTTCGTTACTGTTATTAGATGGAATGGAAATATCTTTTCTTTTGTTTTTCTTCTTCTTCTTCTTCTTTGTTTTCGCCTGTAATTCTGTATTGCTCGTTGAATTTTTATTATTTTGATCGAATATTTCCAATAGTACAGGATAAACTAACCAAGCGAAACTAAATAATCCATTGAATCGTGCTGATTGGTTTGTTTGTTGATTATTTGGAAATATATTTTGTTTTTTCTTTTTACTTTTTCGATATTTATTGATATGTATTTTCCACGGTTCATAAGTTATATGAAACCATGCTGATGCTTTTTTCTTGACTTCATCCGATAATGTTATTTGATCATAAAATTCAAATGTATCAAGTTGATTTTTCCATGTTAATTTTTTCGATATTTCGGACCATTTGACTTTTTCTTCTTGTGATTCATCTGCTAATGGATAGAATTCTTCCCAGAAGAGACGCAAATATCTAACAGAAGAGAAAAACGAAATTAAAGAGTGTCATATATATACTGATTAAAACAAGCAAAAAAAAGTTATTAGCACACTCTCTATGGAATTAAAATGTAAAACACAATGTAGCTGTTGTTGCTAATCACAGACAGATTGTTTTATTCTATTTATTTTGCGACACATGTCTTCACCATCTTTTTACTTAATGTTTCAGAAATGCAATAAGGAATAAATTTATACATGATAAAGAGATGTTATTAATATACGATCTTTGACAATATATCAACAACATCTGTCGAAGTCTGTGTAGGTGGGGGAGGATGGATTCGATATCTTATCCTATGTAATTCAACATTCTTTTTAGATTGCGTTCAGGACTGCTAATTAGATGGAAATGGAAAGCAGTGGGCTTTTCCTCCACCATAAAATATCTAACTTGCTGACAAGTTTTTATATCTTTGTGGTAACTTTGTACACAAAACCAGATGTTGAAACATTGTTTGTCTTTCTCGGTCAGAAAGTGAAATAACAATAGGTAGACAATGTCGTGGCAAGGTGAATAGGATTTAGAAGGAACGACCTTATTAATAGGTCGTGCGCTGTGGGCGGGGTCAGGTCACAGTGTGTTTCACCCGTCTTTCGGTCACCATTTCTAGCACTTTGACGATGAAAGCAGTTTCTGCGAAAATTTTTAGATTTTCTGCCGTAGAAAATATCGACAATTCTAAATCATGTTTTACAAAAGAAACTATACTTACTTATCTTGTATGACTCTATATGCATGTATAATTTCATTTCGTAATTCGAAAATTTTACTTTCTTTTGCATATTGTTTTGAAGTAAATTTAAGAATATAACCTGAAACAACTTCAACTTCATGTTTGATACCATATTGTCGCATGATTCTTTTTATATCTCGATCATATTCACTTTTTATAATGCGAGCATCTTTCATATATTCATCATTTCCATTAATAAAAAAATATTCATAAGGAAATGATGATGTAGCAACGGTTTCTTCTTCTTCATTAATATATAAATTACTACTGTAATGTTCAACTTTATCATAGAGTTTACCAAGAATTGTTGGTGAATGATATATTGACTTGTCCTTCTTTTCCATATAATGTGGATACTTCGTAGGACGAAGTTCACGTTTAAGACGAGGTGCATTGACTCCTTTCTTAGCAAAATCCACCGCCACACTATATAAAACAATACTTGAATTTTTCAATGAAATTAAAATAGATATTAGTAGTAAAGAATGAATAAAAAAATCAGAATGTTTTTTTAAACTATTTTCACATTAAATGCATCATTTTTGATTCAACATCATATTATTGTGATATTTGTATATTCAATAAAAATTTCCAATACTCAGAATTTGTAGATATTTAGTTACACATGGCATATGGAAATCGATATAATATCGATATTTGATTTTGAAAAAAAAAGAAAATGAACAAGAATGCGATCTAAAATTTGTAGTTTGATACTTATTTTTAAAAGATATCACATTTGAAATATCTAGAAATTTTCAAGTTTGAAAGTTTTGATGTTTTATACATTAATATTAGACGCTAATGGTATGTATATGGATCATTTCATTCATTAACAGCGTGACTTTATTAAATAAAAATGCATATATCTCTGGGCTGTGCACTTCTCTAAAGTTAATTTTAATGTTTTAAATGTGTTATGTTGAGTTACTCTAGGTAACTTGAAAAATTCAGTTCTTGAGTCTTTTATTTGGACAAGTCAACTAGTGTTTGTGACGTGACATAAAGAAAATCAAGACTTTCACTACATATAATTCCAGTTAAAAATTCTGGTAATTCAAACAGTATTTTTGAATACTAAATAATACGCTTTGTGAACAAGTCTTCAGACTAGGCAAATCTCTATGGAAAGTTTTTTTTTCTGAAAAAGCTAATGTTTTCAAGTAGTTGAATTTGTTGTTAATGGTGTGACTGAGTACGAATATAAAAACGTAAAATGCTTCTCTAACTGAAATTGAAATCTATCATGAAATTCTTAGATTTTCCTGTCATAAGATTTGAAATCGATTTCCTAATTTCGTCAGAACTCAAAGAATCCACATTTTAACGTATAGTCTTAATACAAAAAACATTTTCAGAAAAAGAAGCCTTATAAAAAATTGAATTGTAACAAACAACAATTATGTCCACTTTTGGCTAATGTTGTTCATATAAATTCCGTTTATTACGTTAATCATGAGCAAATACTTCAAATATAATTTTTTTTTCTTTTCAAGTAATGTTTAATGTTCATTATATTTGTAATTTAACGTACCTGTGCATTTTAGCTAATTCGAGACATTTTTCATTTTTGGCACCCTTTTCTAATTGATCGGCAAAAGCCAAATGACTATTGGCAATAAGACCGAGACTAAAACAAAAATCAATGACTAATATATAATCAAAACTTTCTAATTCACTTGTCAGCTGCGATATATTCGCCAAAAAAATTGCACACATCTTTAATAGTATGTTGAACTATTGTTCCTAATTGTATGTTGTAAGCTTCATCTTCTTGATCTTGATAATCAAATGGATCTTCGTTTTTTTCGAATATTAAATCTGGATGACGAGTTATCCAGAATGTATCTCCATCGAGATCCCCACCAGACATTTCCTTAGGATGAGGACGAGGTCCTTTCATAGGAAAAACAATAACATTTTTTAATCCATGCAAAGCAGGTATATCAACTGCTTGGAGTTTTCGAATGTCACCTTTCAATAATAAAAAAAAAAACCCACAAATATCATTTCATAAAACAAACTATGATAGTGGTGACCTATTGAAATACATACCCGGATGAAAACATGGATTTCTTGTAACTACTACGGGACCACGGAATATCTCTGTTGTTAAACCTTCTGTTTGTTGGTTACTATTATCTATTTGTATAAAAACTTCACCATAGTTAAGTGTTCGAGTTTCATCAATTACTCCCAATAAAGACCATGAATTTGGCACACGAATTTTTGCTTTTGTTCGTAATTCTTTAATAAGAAATGCTTTAATAACAAAAAGAAGTTGTCGAACAAATGGATCTTTTCGTTCACGTAAACGTTTTAAATATTCAATTAAAAATCTATGATATCCATTTCCACCAAATTCATTTAAACCTTTTAATGATTCACATGCTTCACGATAATTTTCTGTTAGTGCTTTTAATTGTTCTAGCATATGGTTTTGCAATGCGATAAAAGTTTCATCAGGAATCCCAAGAGATGATAAAAGAAGAATAATTTGTCTGTTAAGATAAGAAATTGAAGGATTAAGTGATGTACGTATAACATCAATGGAGCGATTTTCTTTTGCAATGAATTTATTCATCGATTCACGAAATTGGACGTCTTCATTGTGATTAGTAATCTTACCTGAGACATCCAAGCAGACCATACCTACAAGAAATTTATATATATATATATATATATAAATATGGTTGCTTTAATGTATATTTCAATAGTTTATTCAGATAAATATTACCTTTATAACCTCCACAACGAATTTGAAATGCACAAGGACAAACTTTTTCAGATAATTTCGTTTCTTTTGCTAATATTTTGGCCAATTTTAGTGTAATTATACCAATACCATCTGTGAAACAATGTTCGTATGTACGTTCACTAGTTCTTTCGAATTGTTTGAAATCGGATATTTCTCTTATTTGACAACTGTCAAGTTGAATACCTTTGATACTTGTCGAAAATGATTGTCCTAACTAGAAAAAAATTCTCATAATGTAGATTTAAATGTTTAATTTTACTTACACGGGCAGCTAATTTAGCTACAGGACGAACATTACGAAAGTTGCCCATCCATGTACGAATTGTATCAACTGTGGTACCATCATCAGCTGAAGAGAACATCCAACAGGAATGTTCACGTAATTGTGAACTTGAAAAAGCTAAAAATTCATAATGTCTATCACATACATTAACTCCATTAATCAAGATTTTCTTGATACGCTCATAGATCTTTGTCATATTATCATTGTTATTATGTAATACACGATAATCTGTGTAAAACAACAATAGAATATAAAAACTTTTTAATTGATTTTTATGAAATCAATTCTTTTACCTTCATCACGAAAAGCTACACGAAGAAATCGATTTTGATGTTGTACAAAGTAGCGTGTTACAGCACATTTTTCTTCACGATAAGGTCCTTCATATAGAACCGTCGATGGTGTTATGTATATCTTACGAATTAAAAATGGTTCCACATTTGCAGTACGTAATTCAAGTTTCGTCGCATAAATTTCCGTCGTTTTTGTTCTACAAAGTTCATATTTTTTGAGTAATTGTTCAAGGGCACAAATAAGTAGACGACTAAATGTTCCAGGATGATGTTTTGTTTGTACGAACAAATGTTTTGCCGTAGCTGATGTAATTGATATTCTCTCTGTATTTGTAGTATTGATGAATCTTCCAGTAGTACATGAACGAATATGTTGAGAAATAAATGAATTTTCGGTACTATTAGAAAGATCTTCAGTAGTAGTTGGCACTTGGTTTTCTTCTTGTTCTACTTGTTGTTCTTCGTTCTCATTATTCCAATCTTCATCTTCATTATCACACGTTGTAGCAAACCATCGAGGAGCGAATTCAACAATTTTATCTGTAAAAATATGAAGATAAAATATTATACCGTGAAATTAGATTTTTATTTTTATTTGTTTTCTTTTGAATTTACCTGTAAGAGCAATTAATGTATTAATTGTACATTTCTTTAAAATATGTTCAGCTTTTTCATCAACAATTAAATCATTAATTGTAATAATATGTTTTGATAAAAGTTTCATAATTTCAAATTTTGTTTCAAAAGGATATGATGGCCATCGATGATTAAGAAAATTATCTACTTTAACTTGATTTTCTTTTATCCATTCATCATTGGATATTAATAGGACAGATTCAAGATTTTTTCTTGCAGCTTGTATTGTTCCAATTAATTGAATTATATTGAATTCAGAAAATTCTCGTGGTGATAAATTATAACGACGTAAAATCTCAAATAATTTTATATAATCATTACGTAAATTTTGTGAAGATAATTTAAAAAGCCACGCATTAGCATGACCAATAAGGCCATAGCCAGGTAAACGATTCTCATCGAAATTGTCAACAAGTGAATTACTTTTGTTTCGTACTTCTAAAATTATTGGAGGTCGTTTAAATTCAACGAGTAAAAAAACTTCATTTTCGTTGATTAATACTGGAGTTATTTTTCTAGCTTTCAAACTAAAATATATAAGAAAGTATTTTTCAAATAAATCAAATTATTCGAAATTTTCTTTTCAATAGAACATAACGAAAAATTTATAAATTAATATTCACAATCGTTAATTGAAATCAATAGAACTTACTCTCGAAAGTTCCATTGAAATTTCACTTGAATATTAATAACAAACTGATCCGTCATCATTGGGTCTAATGCACCAATAATAGTTAATTTTTTCTTTTCAGTATCGATATTCAATCGAAAATTGTTACATTTATCAGTTATAAGACGATGAGCTATAATGCCAAATTGATCAGCATTATAAACGATGCTGTTTTCTGTTTGTATATTTTTCATCGCTGCTCCTGTAATGAGCGTACCATAATGAATATCTGTAATTTTAATATTAATGCTTGTCGCTGTATCAATGATTGCTGTCGTAGTAAGTAAAGTATTACTAGGCTGTTGAGAAGATCGATTAGTACTTTTAATATCTAACTTTTTGCCGTTAAAAACGAAAGCTGTTGGTTTTGTTTCACTTCTATATAGAACCTCAGTCGCAATTTGAATAGAATCAAATCGAGTAAAAGCATAACGAGCACCTTTCTAGAAATAATTTATAGCTTTCAGTATCAACAAGAAGTAAAATTATGTTTTTATTCCTACTCTATTCGTTTTCAGATCAACATGGCTAACACCGTAGCCCTGTTCGATGAACCACTTTTTAAGATCATACCATTTAGTGTTCGAAGGTACATTTCCAATATATAGTTGAGAAGTTGATAAAGATGTTGTTCCAGAATCATCAACTGTAGGATCAATTGCTAAACAATATTTTCCTGTATTTCCTATTTGACGAATGAGTGGTGGAGCTGTTAAATATGTCAGAATTGAATCATTGACAAATTGTGTTAATAAATTTGAATTAACTGAACGATGAGGTTCAGAATGCATAGCCAAACGGACAGAATAATTTAAAGGAATATCGACTAAAGGAACTTCGAAATGTTCAGATTTACTTTCTTCGAATATCATATCCTCTAATGATGTAAAATGATCAGTGTCGTCGAAATCACAATAATCATCATAATCATTGTCATCATCCATGTCAATCATTCGATCGTCGACAATTTCATCTGCCATAGTATCATCAGACGAATTATTTTCGAATTCTGATTCGGATGTCGACATTTTTCCAACTTTTTCAATGAATACAAAAAATTAATGAAAATTTTTCTGTATATGAATTTATTTGACAAATTCTAAACTAAAAATAACAGTTCACTATTCTGATCACTAGGGAACAAATATATTTTTTCCCAGTAACGATGACTAATAAGACACTTGAGATTTAGTTGACATTTAATCTCGTGTTACATGTATAATGCTTATCGTAATTTTCTCTTATGCATTACTTTCTAAATTTCTTTTTACTATTAAAGAAACCAGCACTTGAATATGACTCTAAACAGGGAAGAAAAAACAGTATCATAGACAGCCACATATGTCGAATGAGTCACCATTGGTGATCAAATGTTTGACAACCAAGGAATAGAAAAAATAATATGAAATAAAAAAGAAAATATTGCCGGAAAAGTTTTTTTATTCTGTTAATAAGAACAGTTTTTTGTAGAATCTTTGTAAGATATGTGAATATGACGTTATAAAGTTAAAGTTCAATTCAATGTTTAAATCCAAGATACATTCTTTTTAAGAGATAACTTAATGTTATAAATCCCATTGAAAATATTTAATAAGTCTTTCGATAAGTTCAAGCATATTCATTTTGTTTTTTCATTATGATTATTTATTTTTCATTGAAGTTTTACTTTTTGTTTTTGAGAGACATCTCTATGCAAATTCATTACTATATAATTTTGAATTCTTTTATTCATATGAAATATTTAATTACAAGATGTATATATCGGGTGTCCCAAGAGTTTTGCAACATTTTTTATTTCGTATTTATCTCGACTAGAGAAAATGATAAAATCTTGATTTTTTTTCTTAAAAAATGCCACGTGAAAAGCTCTACAGAAACTGTATAAAGAAATCTCTATTAACTAGTCCTGATGATTTTCTAGATGATTAAAAGAGAAGATATGCGTGACTTTGTTACCAGATGTTATAAATTTTTTTTAGGGAAAAAGTACTTTTGATCACCAAAAAACTTAGATACTTTTGATCACCATTTTTTCATTTCTATTTTCATGATTTCTTATTTGATGTAAATAAACGATAAAAGTGTAAATCTGTAAGTTCTGTTTTATGTGCTTAAAGTGAGTTCGATTTATTCCGTACACACTTGACACGATGTATATCAGAAAACGNATTTTAGAAAAAAATAGATCAATTTATTTTTTTTACCTTTAATTTGTTTAGCAACCCAAACATGGTCACATGTTTCAATGGTCCATGCTTCTTCAGCATCGACAACAAGAAAACTATTATCATAACCGTAAGACATATTTGCACTTGCATCAAAACAAGCTCCACCTTGACCATATTTTTCAATTAATTCACCAATTATTTTAACAGCAGATTTGGCTGTTTTAGCACGTTCCAATGCCAATCTAAAAGAAATTTCATAGGAAATATTTATTCTAATCTTCATTTTTTGATTATCTGTACAATGAAATTTATTAAATTATTGATATATGTTCAATTATCCAAGAGAGAATAGAAAGTATCTTCAAAAAATAGTTTTAGCCATTATTGAATTATGTCAAAATGAACTTGATATGTCTTTTTATCCAATACAATAGTTTCTATCTTTTATTCAATACTATACTTTTCTCCAAAGCAATCTTCTAATAGAAGTTTTCAATTCATGAGCAAAATCATTCATTAACGAGGTGATTTCGCAACATTAAAATATACACATCTTGAAATAATCAACTTTCCTAAAGCTAATTTGTATATATTACATGTATGTTAAGTTAATATAAATATCTTGAAAAAACCAGAGCTGGAGCCTGATTGTTCAAAAGAATAATTACTAAAAAACAAAACTAGCATTAGCAAAACTGCAAATTATTCTGAAGTTTTTGGGCTTTTTTTGTCGTATGATTAGGAAGATATTTGCTAATCATCTTTTAATTAAACGTCAGCTGAAAGAACCAACAGTTTTACATATGTCTCTGCTAGAAGAACTTATTCAGAAAAATAATCCTTCTAAAGAATCTAAGTCAAATATTTATATATTAGTATAAAGAACTCATTTACAATTCATCTGCATCTACTTAAGACATGCCAAGAGTAGTAATTTTGGCAGATAAAATCCCAGAGGAAGAACTTAATCAAGTTTTTGCTTCAACAAGTATTTGAGCTAGTAGCTATGCTTAATCGCGCACAATCAATTCGTTTGAAGATATTTGTTGTAGCTATTTTTTAAATAATATTTGATTAAAAAATTCATCATCTTAAAATAACGGCATTTCATGTGATGATTAGAGACCGCTTAATTGATGAAGTTTACCAATTAGATCGAGTACATGAAAAATACCTAGTACTTTATCTCTAGAATAAGGTAAATGACTTTCGGTGTCTTGAGCACTGATCAATGATCTTTGTCTTCCCATTCCATTAATAAATAGTTTTAAGGAATTGATGATAAGAAATCTCTGTTCTGTCCATATGTTATGGTACATTTGCTAGATGTGTCATACGAGAAAACGTTTTATGTAATATCCATGCATATATATTCGTTCTCTTTCTTTTGTTTGATATATATATATAATTTATAGTATTTGCCTTTTCTTTCGTTCTGTCAAGTGTTTTCCCTAGTGTGTACTTTTGTTTTGTTTCGCTTGGTTCGTTCTCTCAGTTAACAACTCTTGTTCGTTTCTTTCGTGCTTATGATTATTCTTGTTTCTTTTCTTGACCTTGAACTTAAAGTTATTGCGCAGTTAGTAATGCATGACTATATGTATGTGGGTGTAATTCTAAGGGAGTAGGAGAGAGCGATGATTATGTTTTTTTGATTGAAAAATAAATCTGATAAACAAATTTAAGTAACATCTAAACAATAACCATATACATATTATGGGACGTAATACCATATCTATCAGTTTTTTTAAAAAGACTAGTTGATTATTACTGCACCAAAATGTAACTGATGAATATTGTTTGATTGCAGTTCTTTAAATTCGAAGAATTTGAACCGATTTATGTGTGATGTATCCAAAGTTTGTCGCCTAATATCACTTCATATATTCATTGTATTTCTTTATTCAGTCATGTTCAACGAAATTTAATTGATCAAAATAATTGCTAATTACCGTATTGAATGCTGTAACCAAGATAAAGAATTTTCAAATAAAATATTATTTGAAAAATGTTTTTCAACTAATCGATTATGCGTAATTAAGTATGGCTACTAACTTAAATATTCGCTGGAACAAAAAACTTCATTAACTCTTTCTTATAGGTTTTTATCTACACACTACTTTTGGTATAACCTAAGTATTATCATGACAAATCGTTATAATAAAGCATTTCAAATGACAAACTATTAGTTATGTCAAAAAAAGAAATACTAGTCAATATCTCATTTATTGTTGAAGAAAAATCGAGAAAAACTTTTTCTCTTAAATTCTTACCACTAAAATAGAACGAATCGAAATACCATATATTCTTTCTTCTAAGAATTTCTATTGCAACTAATAAATGTTTAATCATAAATACTAACCGAACAACATCAAGACCAGTCAATGCGGGTTTTCGTGTCTCATATGGTACTTTTGAAAATACGGCTTCATTACCAATACATATGCCATGTTCATTAGCACCCATTTCTGCACCCCAACACCAAGCTGGTTTTGATAAAATACATCGATAAGTTGTTGATATCTGTGGAACTTGAATATGAGTACACTGAATTTTGAAAAACAAACAAATCGACTTCAAAGAGAATTAAACAAAACCAAATAAAAATCTTACTTGAACATAGTCCTTATTATCACTTGTATGTTCATTGGAAACAAAAATAATTTCTTGAACTTCATTTGCTGGTCGATCAGAATTTTTAGCAAATATACGAAAATTTGAATCTGTTAATGGTGGTAAAACTACAAATGTATCACATGAATAAGGAAGATTTCCATCCGACATGATTATGAATTTTTAGTAAATAATCAAGATATTACTAAAAATAAAAAAAAATAAAACAACCCAGTCTGTCTGTCTATGTGTTTATTGACAAAACAAAACACCAATCAATTTTTGACTATCAACAGATGGCATACTTATATTATCGACCTGATATAGTAATTTAATCGTGTGCAATGTCATCGTTGTTCTAAACTTACATCACTATTAGATTAGACTTATATAAATGTTGTCGAATTGATTGTATAATGTTTCTGACAAATATATGAAATTTTTTCTTACGTATTCGATCAAATACTTAAAATAATATCGTAGTAGCAATATTCTAAATCCAGTTCGATCGTTTATTTGACTGCTGGTCTTCGTCAACGTACATTTAGAATAAAAGCGATTCAGTTATTACTGTGAAAATTGAGTATGCGAACGAACTGAAATTACTTGTACCTTCAAATTAACATAATTATGTAGAATTAATTCAAACTTAAAAATCATCATGTACATTTCATAATAAAATTACGTTCAAGAATGGAGTTGGCTATTTATATTTAACATTAGTTTTGATTTGGTAATGCTCAAAAATTTAAACTATTGTCATAACCAATAATATCGAATGTTTCATGTTAAGTTAATACTGAATAAAGGATATACTATGTAAAAGCTTTTCTGATGACATATTTTCATTTCTCGAGAAAGTTCTATACAAAACAGCTGCAAACGATAATATTTATTGAGACTACTCTTGTGTCAAGAGATTCGATAAAGAGAAGAATGGGCTAATCAACAACGACAAAAACGCACGATTCAAATACTGATTACGGTGACTTCATCATTAATATTGTTTGTTCTTTTTTTTTAGTAATCTTTTCAATCTAGTTTTCTTTTTTATATTTGAACTGCTCGAAGTATCGAAAATCACAATTTCTATAGATAGATATCCCGCAAGTTATTTTCTTTCGATATCTAGTTTAATAAAACAAATTTTAATTGCTCTCTCCAATGTACACGTCTTCAATGAGTTTCTATTATTTTGCTTTCTATAATTATGTATGTAGCTCATAGACAAAAACATTGTATGATATGGATGTGACTACATTTTCTATTCTTGTTAGAGTTCTTTCAATCAGTAAGATTTATTATTTACTATTTTAAAGAAATATAATTGAAGTCAATAAAGTATCCAAATGTGAATGTTCTTAATGAAGACGATCGAAATTATGTAATCTCGAGTATTTTAGCACTTATTTGTAGACTTACCGGTATTGTTTAAGTCATATGTAAGTAAGTATATTGATCTATTGAAAATTATTTGTATCTTTAGACTTCAAATTATTTAGATGAAAAGATCGAGAGAAAGGCAATCATTTTCGATTCAGTCAATGTCATAGTCGTTTCAGCATGTATTCTTATTGCTTGACGTATACATATTTACCTTTAGTGAATCTTGAATGATGTTTCAACTGAACTTCTTTTTCTTGCCGTTCTGATATTTATCTGTTTCGAAATTTAGTTTGATTTTTTCATTCTAAGATGGCATTGAAACAGTATAACGTTGATTGATACTCCATCAATAGCACAATTTCGAGAAACATAGGATCCATCTTGTATCTGACACGTTCGTTATCTAAAGGAGCTCGCGATTGATCCTTTGATCCTGCAACGAATTATTCATATCATACATAATTATTGTTCTGATGTAATTGCAAAAAAAAACAACAATATTTGATACAAGCTGTTCATTTCAGTTTGAATTATTTCACTGATATTGACATCGATTTATCACGTTTAATGTCGTCAATATTAGCAATAATACAGCTGTACAGTTAGATTACGTTGTCTGCCAGAAAATCTTAATAGATCTACGTACTTGTTAAAAGCAAGATAATTTATATCACAAATACAAGAGATTCATTCTATCGGCAGACGCTATGTCAGATGGAAGCATCGTATAGTATATGCCGAAAATTATCTAGAAACATAGGTTGATTTTCTCATATATGTGAATAATCTTAATTAATGATCAAGTTTTTATTGTTAAAATAAATACTGTTTTCGATTATTATCAATGTTTTCTCTGTTTTGTGTTAATGTATCTTTATCGAAAAAGAAATAAAAATATCACAAACTTATATAAAACATTTTTGTTTTATATACGTATAAATAGGAGAAAGTCAAGTTCTAAACATTTTTTTTATTCGGAATTTAGTTTAAAATGTTCATTTACTAATTCCAAGACGTCACTCATGAATTCATTATTGGGTAGTGGTTGAGTATAATTATAATGGCCGCACGACTCTCGTGGATTCATACATACAAGTTTCTTGCCAATATCTCGATTTGTTAAGATGATATATTGACACTTTCCACATTCTGTAAAATAATAAGGATTTGGTTTCTGTGGTACACCCAAGTTTCTTGATGGGTTCATCAGATTTTCAACAGAAGCCACGAATGAACAAACGTAATTCTCAAGATGTTTGGCGTCAAATGCTTGTGCATCATACCAATCATACGTGCATGTTGCTAAACTATTATCTTCAAACGTGTCGATATATTGACGTTGTTGTAGATGTATGGGTGTTGATGAGTCACGTGCAATATTCACAAGTTTATCACCATTATTAGATAATATAACCTTTATTTGTTCTTTGCTTGTTGACATCTGAAATACGAGAATTTAAGTAAGTAACACATGTTGTTTACAACTATACAATACTGAATTTTACTCATTGGCGGACCGAGGCTACTAGCGACTCGCTGGACAGGTGGGGCAAGCCAATCAAATTTGAGAGATTTCTTTCGTTCTCTCAAATTTGATTGGCTTGCCCCATCTGTGCAGCGAGTCGCTAGTAGTCCTGGCCCGCCAATGAATTTTACTTCCATTGAATTTCTATGATTAATATCATTCAGAAAAATAAATGATATGTTAGTCGTGCTTCAATAGCTCAATGGTTAGAGCACTGGTCCGGATAACTAGTAATCATATCGTGGGTTCGATTCCCGAACAAAGCATATCATTTATTTTTCTGAATGATATTAATCATCGAAATTCAATGGAAGTAAAATTCAGTATTGTATAGTTACATATACTCCTTTTCTATTCTTTAACAGTTATGTTATTTACAAATGAAAAAAAATGATCGAACATATAAACAAGAGATAATAATACAAATATCATTAAACTCTTTTAGAAAGAGTGAATAATTGATATTGACTATACTTGTAATAAATCAAATTAATGTATTGTTAAGAGAATATACAAAATCCGAGTAAAGTACAAGAAAAAATATATCAATTTATATATAATAGTTCAATTTCAAGAAATAAAAATAAAAATCATTAGTTAATACATTTATTGTATTCATTATAAACTATACTCCTTGAACTAAATATCAATATATGTCATTTCTCTATGCATAAAAAAGATTTTGAATGATTGCAATGACGTCAACATTGTCAACACAAGTCATGACATAAAAGATAAAGAAGAAAAACTGACTCATATTATTGTCATTGTTTGACTTGACACCAACGTATGTTTGTCAATATTTAAGCAGCTCGTACATTATTATTTTACGATCTGCTTTTTTTAAGAGACAATTCAAGGACAAAAACTAAAGGAAATATGACAATGTCTTTTAGAATAATCAAATTAATGTAGATATTTCCTTCTCATCTTATTACATTTATCTATTCAATCATTTGTCTTTGTAAACAATCTATTGTTATTCCGATTTATCAGTTGCATTCATTCTGGTTTACAAAATGAATGAATCGATTTAAACTATGGATATATATATATATGAAATTTCGTTTTACTTATTCTTTTTAAATTTCTTATGAAAACTATACAAAAGACAACATCGATTAAAATTTCATTGATTATCATTCTTGAAATTTTTTTGTTATGATTGAAATACTGTATATTAATATCGAATCAATTTCAAAACGTTTTACTGGAATGATACTCATTGTACCCTCAACATTAATATCTAACAGATGAATAAGTTATTATTTTAATGTTTCCATTTATATTTATTACATTTGTATGTTCAGGTATAATTAGATTTTAACTTATAGCAAAATATTCTTTCTTCAAACAAAATTGTATTATTTTAATTGAAATGAAAAACCATGATGCAAAGCAGGGAACAAGAAATTCATCAACTGATAAATCTATGTTATTATTTTATTTTGTTTAGACTTTTACTTGATTTCATTATGTTTATGATTCAAACTTATGTAAACAATTATTTCTATTTTTTTTTCATTCCTTGTGACTAATGAATGTTTCTATAGAACGCTCTTGTTTCGTCAAACAAAATGTTTGATCAAAAATAATATCTATTTCTTTAACGGAAAAAAGAAACTAGAATGACGACTATAATACCAAATATGCATGACAGAAATATCTAGAAATATTGACATAATTATACCCATTATCGCTAAAAGTTTGTCGTCTTTAGATTACTGTATATTTCTGATCATTCGGTTCTTTTTCTTCAAAAGAGCAAAAATATCAGAATAAAGTGAAATATTTACTAAACAAAAAGCACAAAATGTAATAGTACCATGACTAAAAAATTCAACATCTTAGGAATTGAAGAATCATTTTTTACTTTTACATCGACTACGAAAAACCAATTCGTTCATATATACGGATCTCAAAGTATGATGTGAATAATAAAAGGATAAGATCACTTCATGTTTCATTTTATACAAAATTTCTTTCTAGTTCAACTAAATGTCAATGTTGACAGAATTAATAACAATGATTATCATAGCACAAGTATCTAATCACTACAAATTATTAATGTACCAAATGTCTTTACTGATGTCGACCAATGTATTCATTTCGTTACAAATGTCAACGACGAGAAGACTGTTATGACTTTCCCCAGAAGCATTTTACCGAATGATTGTATCAGTTGTTCATGATCTAGCGATATGGTAATATTATCCATATCATTTGTAAAAACAAGGTAAACGAGGAAAAGTGAGCAAAACAATGGCTGAAAGTCCATAGCACCTTCCTAGTTCAGAGCAGACAAGTCCGTGTACTCACACACACATCCTTCATCTGTACATAAAATGAGACTTCTGCATTTCGCAGCAGATACGTTTTTCACGAACTATCTACAGCGAAATTTCCCGATATTTTTTTCCATGATTCTGTATAATACACAGAGAGTCTAAGTTTGAACTTAATTCTTAACTATAATGAACATCATAGTACGTAGGCACAGTCTTTCTGAAAACATAAAGGCTAGAATCGCTTAATTGTTCTTCTTTTGTGACACATTGAGATAGTTCTTACATGCTTTACCGATTGTAGCTATCTCTTTACCATTTCTCACATTTGACATCTGTTCGATCTCATCTTTTTCAAGTGTATCATTTTTTCATATTCATTATTTTTCGAAGAAATATAAAGAATTTCACAAGATATTCATGATTCTACTTGACTTTAGCCATTTTGAATTCCTATCATTTACACAAAGCAATTCAGGTTACGAGCAACGACACAATGACATAACTACGTAATCAAATCGCTATTTGGAAATGATAACTACTATGCATAAAAAAATATTCACACAAGAAAAATATAAGAAATACGTCACAATGATAAAAAAACACTAAGATAAGACAAGTGCCATGGATGCATAAGATGAATCATCATTTCTATTCATTAACAGCTGCTACCTTTTAAAATAGAGTTCATTGTACCGAATGCTGGTGTCTATATTAACATGGCGATAATGTATAATAAATATATTTTATTGAATATAGAAAAGAGACAAAAAATATCAAAATTTCAATTTGAATTTGAGATCAAAGAACTATAATATTTTCAAAAATAATCTCTTCGATTTCATTTACATAAAGCATAATCACACAATAAAACCAAGTATAAAACATTTAAATTTTCTTCCTTTTTTCAACCTTTTAGTTAACATGTTTAAATTTATTTATTCATATAGTCTATACTATAATATGATATTAGTTGATAGTGTTAGCGGCTACATTTGATAAACTATAATTTAATGGATTTAAATCAGGTGAAGATGACCACCAATGATTATTCAAGACGGACACACAAAAATGGTCTCTATAGAATTTTTAATGGAGGTAAGATAAAAATCACCGAATATCATTATGCTAAAATCCAGTTTGCAAAGTTATCCCTTGTTTGTGGATCTTAGTACAATATCAGCTGTATATTCATTGTTTCAATAGGCATTTTATCTCTCGAAATATTGTTTTTGTTTTATGTGAATTGACAAGGAACCACATCCGGGTTCCTATGTACTGCTTGTCTAAAGTGATGACCTTTTCACTAGATTGTTTACCCTTGGTAAGTGTAATTATAAAAAAATCCAATAAACGATTTATGTCCTGAAACTTTGTTCATCGATAGTTCTTGAAACCATTAGAATATTCTAAAAGTTTCAGCTAAAAAGAGCGATTCATTCTTGAAATATTAAGTTTTTAAAAAGCACCTAGATGGGCTGCCCTTCTTTATAGGATATTATGGTTTTTTCAAGAATTTGATATCTTAAGAAAAAATCGTTCTTCCTAGCTTAAATTTTTAGAATATTCTAATGGCCTTAAGAGTTGTTTAGGGGCAAAGTTTCAGATCAAAATTTGTTTGTTCAATTTTTTTATAAATACCGTATCAAGAGTAAAAAGTTCAGGAAAATAGTCATAACTCCAGAAGAACAGTACATGAGGAGAAATCCTTCTTTACATTTTCTAGTCTCAATAGAGACCACATAATGAGTCGTGTCTCCTCTCAAATGCGAGGTACTCCCTAGATTGGTTCTCTGGTGAGTACAGATAACCGAACGAGTGTAATAAGTTGATAGAGCTAACGTTTTTGATCGTTCACTATTTACAAATTAGTCATTCGTAATGAAAGTACATCAATGAAATCAGAATAGATTTTCGTTGATCCATCATCATTCTTACATTTATCCTAAAGTTATATAAATACATGTGAACTAATATTCAGATCTCATCAAATTAAATTGTGTAATCCGTTTCAAATACAATCTATTGATAAAAAAAATATGTCAACAAGATGAACAATACGAAAGGAAATTCTAAATTACTATCAATGTATTTCTTTATGTGCAATCCATCAGATAATCATGAAGTTAATTAATTCGCACTTCAATATTTCTGAGAAAAAATCAAAAGATATATTTACACATTCTCATGACTAAATTTATTCTTTATTTAAACTTGATACAAACTACCTAAAGATAAAGTTACAGTGACTATCTACATTATCATTGTGACAAAACAAAAACATACTGAAGATAGTAGATTACAATTTGAAAAATATGAACTATGAAAAATCGATTTGCATTGAGCAATAAGCATGCATATCCCATATATAATATAACAATAATATCTTTGATGTTTATTCTATCTGATCAATAAAAATTTGTTGCTTTATCATTAATCATTGATATAAATTTATTTTCTGGTATTTTTGCATCTGAATGATTTGCTCGATTATACAAGTCGAATACAACATAGATTAATGTTAAACTCATGAATGCTAACAATGATGTCATAAACAATAATAATGATTGACCCAATATTAAATGTCGTTTTTGTTTATCATATTGTTTGACACGTTGACGATTTAATTCATTATAAATATCATTACGAATTTTTTCTTGGCTTTCTTCAGTAAATATATTTGGTTCTAATAATGGTAATTCATCATCATCATCATTATTTAATTGAAAATGTACATCAAATATATCTTGTGCACGTACAATTGTTCGTTGCTTTCGTCGACGATTTAAATCAATACGTTGATCAATGGCAATATTTTTTGATTTTTCATGTAATTCTCGACGTTTTGCACGAAGTTCTTGAAGAAATTTATTCGTTATACGTAATGGATTTGTATCATAATTATTTGATTGTACTGTTGAATATGTATCAGATTCTTCAACTTCAGGAGCAATAATAAGATCTATTTGACTAGTTGCAGATGGAGGTGTCGATTTCGATTCAGTTTTATGAATAGCATCAACTGATGAACTCTTTTTTAATTGATCACTAATAGATCCAACTGCTGCTGCAATTGTAGCACGACGACGAATGTCTAAAGATTTTCGTAGTAAAATTGTATTAAAAAAGCGTGATGATGTTCGATTTTTATTCTTTTCATAGACTGACGGAAGAGCAGCAGGTAATGGTGGTGGTGTTGGAATTTCATTTTCAATATGAATTAATGGAATTATTTCAGATCGTTCAATTGATGAAACATTACGATTGGGTTCAGGTACAACTGTTACTTCGAAACGATGTGACGCCATTTATCTGAAATATTTACATAAGAATAGTTTTGTTATAAATTCTATATATTCTTATTTTTTGAATAACTATCCATAGATGTTTAGTTATTCTCTCATTACTACTCTACTACGGTATACTAATACTTGATCTCTAACCACCAATCTACTACTGGTATACCGGCAATAATGCAACATGAATATTCATCACTGTTGTTTTGTATTCATACAAGTATTTGTCTACAGCAAGCATTAGAAAAAAATGACTTTTATGCTTATCATAAAAATCGTAACTATCTCTATGCTTATATTTACAATCATGTAACCAGCTAGTAACATTGTAGAAATCATTGACTTTTCTATTGATATACGTCAGAAACTGACTTTTGAATATATTTTGTATGAAATAAAAATTTTCTAGTAGACAACAGATTTTTAGTAGAAAAACAATTGCACTAGTTCAAACTTTTCTTATAGAGTTCATTGTTTTAAAGAAAAAATGCACACCGTTTTTGAGACTAAGTACGTTGTTTTCTTACAAGTTATTTTGGTCCTTTGTACTTTCGAGCATTATTCGTAGATAAGAACATGTGCGTTATCAAATAGAAATACTTTAGTTATAAGTATATATATCAGATAAAATTGAAATTTAGACAAAATTAAAGAGATTTTTTTAAAAGACTTCAATATTAAAAAACATAATGGAAAAAAATACGAGTAAAAAACTTCTCAAGCAGAAAAGAATTTCTAAAAATACATTTTGAATGTCCTAAACGCGATTTGCGTTTGAGTGCTTTTTCACGTTCATTGGGAAAATACTAAAATCAACTAATTTCATCATAAAATATGCATGAAGACGCAGAAAAAAGCAATGCTTGCATCTGGAAAACGTACAAAACTTTTCTCTCCATATTTCTAACATACATCACACATAAAAGATTTATTCTCATCTGCACATTACGTCAAAATATTGTAGAAAAACAAATTTTACACGTTTTTCAAATGTAAAAGTTGCCTTTTTTAAGCATCTTCATTCACTTTTTATGATGAAAATAACTGATTTTTCGTGCTTTCTAAATGGGCGTGAAAACACTCAAACAAGAACCGTGAATGTAAATATCAATGAAAAGAGGACCTACAATCACGCCCACACTGATACCCTTTAAGCTTATACTTTCTTTTTTGATTAGTGTTTCTTTGCGTTCGAATTCAGCGCGATTCATTTATGATATGTAAATCACATATATATGACCTGCTAAATTTTGTTGAATTATTTTTTAACCCGAAAAAAAAAGGATTTTTTAGCTTATGCAATCTCTATAGTAGAAAAATCATTAGCTGACGTCAATGCAAAAGAAGTCATTGGTGTATATATTAAAATATGAATAAGTGAAAATGAATACTCTGTCTAATTAAAAACGAATTCTGCCTACGTATAATTTTATCTATGGCATATATCTGTTTTCCATGCTATTTGCAAGATGTTGTAATCTTACATGAAGTTGCAAAAGACTCTACTTGTAGCCTCAATAAAAGGTAACTCAATGTGAACATATCCTTATTCAATTATTTTGAGTTTCATTGCAATATGAAAAATGATTAGATCATGAAGTAACATGTTAGCTGATGTTTCTAATAGAAAAACATCACGTTATGTTGATCATGTCAAGTGTTCTGATAAGAAAATGTTAATAATTACTTTACAGTCAAAATAGTCTCATAGCAGACGTTAATATCCACATTTATGATACAGCTATAACGAATGTTGAAGCCATGTTTCTATCTATCATAAATGTCATTTTTGTACATCTATTATACGATAAAAACTTCTTCGCTGCAAGAATACTCTTCTAGAATTTATTTATCTCAACACGACTGATCAGAAGCAGTTAACATCTGAAAGGCGATCACAATATTTTGAGAAGGTGAAGGCAGGAAAAGTTTTCGGTTCCCCTGGGAAAAGAGAAGAAGCTTTCTTGACTGGTTGGGTGTCACATGTTCCCTCCCCCCCCCCTCCCCCCGCAATCGAGTCATCCCTATATTTCAATTAGATAAAAAATACTTATCTTAAAAAAGACTGGAATGTTTTCAGAGAATAGATTCTACGCTTATAAAAATTATATTGTAATCACATGATAGATTTAATTCTATAAGAAAATAAGCATAGTAATAAATTCTTTAATTTTAAGTAAATTTTCATTGGTCTATTTAGTCACTAATAAATAATTGGCGATATAGTCGTCAAAAAAAAGTATTCATTAAAAAAGTCATTGAATTAAATTTTAAAATCATTCTTTGATCATTAAATATTTTTCAATTGAACGAAAATTTACGAAATTCTATTTCATCATTCCAATTGGTTCATTTATTGCCGAAAAAAAACATCTACACTTTTTCAAATAACAACATGTAAAACTTATCAACAAAAATCTCAAGAAAATATTTATGCCATACTATTTGATCAATTCATAAGTTTCGTTTTTTTTTCTCTTGTTTTCTTTGAGATTAAACTCAGTCCATTTTATCTCGATTTCCACTTGAATAATATTCTAATTATATTTTTGAAGGACTTGTCATGCGTCAACATACTTATTCATTTTATCATTGAAAAAAAAAAAGCACTAAAATAAAATCTTGTTTATAAAAAATATAATCTAGGTTCATTTCACCTTTGTTTGCATTGCAAAATAATATTTTTTTTCTTTCGTTTGTTTGTTTGTTTTGAGATATTATATAAAAATAAAAATAAAAATTACAATGTCATTATTCGATCGTGTTGAGCTTCTATCAAAAAAATGAATTCGATTCTTATCCAGTGGGTTGACAAATAAATTATTCTGTAAGTTACATATTTCTATTTTTTCTTGTGTTCTCATTTGTACATATTCGTTTATTCTGTTTTTTCAGATTTTGCCTTTTTATTTTCATTTTTTTTGCTTTCTTCATTTCTCATCATTTTCTTTTTTTTTTCTTCCTTCTGCTTAATACTCACCGTGTCTCTCACGTTCTTTTTGGTTCGTTTAATATAGTACTCCTTATTTCTTTTACCTCATATCATTAATACTCACGATGAGTAGTCCACGTAAATTTGCTGAAAAAATTGCTCTCATTCAACAGAAACAAGCGGAAGGTGATGCAGCATTTAATACAATTATTTATGAAGTTGAAGCTGCTAAACAAGTATGACACAATAAAAAAAAATTCTAATAAAACAGAAAATTATTTCAAAACAAAATAATATTATTTCTAGAGGGCTGATCATGTTTCATCAATAAAAAGTAAATTGGATGTACCTGCACGGAAATATGAAGTAAAGCTAATATATATTAAATTTTAAAAATTTTTATTTTGATATTATTAGATACCAAATGGGATAAATGATTCAGATAGTAACAATTATATTAATCAACCTATGAAAGTATGTGGTAAATATTTTAACCAGTATAAATCTAAATTGCTTTTGGCGTAGCTTGAAAATAGCAATGGTTCCAATCGATTATTGCTACCACCTGATAATTCATCATGGAGACGGTAATAGAAAAAAAAAAACACAAATAAATGAAATTCCAGTTGACTATTTCTATTCTCATCATAGAACTCATTCAGATTCATCTCTTCATCAAACTGTGATGCCACAAGTTATTACACATTATCATGCTCAACTTGATAATGAAGATAATAGTTTGTATTTCAAGGTTTTTTCTTTCTTCATACAACTTTCATTTATTTAGATCAACAATTAAATTTTGATAGCAATGATATTAAATATGAAACAACTTCATATAATCTTCATAATCAACCTCATTATTTACAAACATTAAATTCACAATTTCAATCACAAAATTATTATGATTTAAATAATAATAATTATGCTAATAATGGAACAAATATTTTTTATCCATCAATACAAACATTATCAGTACCACAACAAACTCTTATACCTCCAACAAGTAATACAGTTTTAAATTCACGATATAGTGGTGGAAATAATAATAATTCAAACATTCTTTTGTTACCACCAAATCAACATTCACGTGGTGGTGGTTCATTGCCTGATTTACGTGTTGACAGTCCGTATAATAATCAACAATTATCATCATCATCTACAACACAACAATTTTTTCGTTCTTCTTCACCACAACAAAATAGCGATGGCGATTTATATGTTTTGGTATTAAATATTTATTTAAAAAAATTAGAATACTTTTGTATATGATAAATATTTAGGGTCCACAACAACAATCACCATCAAGAATAGGTCCATTAAAACAAAGTCCAAGTATGCGTCGACGTCATAGTCCAATTGGTGATGTTAAACAAGCATCACCACGTCGACAAAATTCTCCGTCACCTGATGTTTCTTCAGTAGGTTATATTTGTTTTTAGAAAATTTATTAATTGAAATCATATAAGACTCAACAAACTCTTCATCGTATTGAACCACAAAGTCCACAATCTCAATCAAGTTATTCACCACAAAATTCTCCTAATTTTTTATCAAGTCCCGGTAATGAACTTACATCATATTCATCACAACAACAATCTACAGATAATCAAAGTACTTATTTTACATTACCAAATAATTTGGATCAGATTACATTGGTAAAAAACGTTTGCTTTTTTTGTTTCATTTGAATTAAATAGAAAATAAATAAATTTAACTTTTAAGGATAATAATTATTATGCTCAGCAACAACAACAACAGCCATCTCCACCTTCATCACAACAACATAATAATTCATCGTCAACAACATCTAATATTCCAAATGATCTTCAACAACAAAGAAATTTTTATCAACCATTTATGGATGATATGTAAGGTTTTTTCTTTTTTTTATATATCTTTTATTTCATTTAATCAAAGAAATATGCTTTGTTGTGTTTTTGATAATTTAGGTCGTCATCTTATTGTCATAATCAACCGTCAATGAATATGACAACAACCAATCAGAAAAGTCCAACTATTCCAAATATAATTTTAACTGGTAAAAATAAGAAATTATTTGATATTAGAACAGTGGATATACTGTTTTATATTAGAGTATTAGATTTATTTATTAAGACACATTAGAAAAAATAATCATTTTTATTGAAGCTATATTTTAAAAAAAATAATGTTAAATCACATTTCTCAGCCTAAAAGAAAAAACTCCCTTGATTTCGCGATCAAAAGAAAAGCATAAAAATATTTCTTTACTTCAATAATCGTTAATATATTTTTTCTCTTATTTCAAAAGCGATTATATTGATCAAGTACATATAAATATGTATTAGATTTCGTTCGTTGTATTTTTTTTTGCTTATCCTTATTTTTAATAGATTTTCAAGGATAAAATATACTTGCAAATTCTTATTCTCATATTCATATCATTTTCTATATATATACACGAACTAATTTTGAAGTACGCTGTTTTTTGTATTAAACAGAGTACATTTGTTTCTCGCTATAGACAGGTATATCTCGAGGGGATTCACGGAAAAGGGGAGGGGCGGGAGGCTGACCCTTCACAATCTTCATAAGTTTTCGTGTCTCAGAAAAATGATAATGTTCGACTGTATGTTTTTTGGCTCATCAGTTCCTGAACAAACGCTCAAATTTCTAGCCTCTAATCCTTCTACCGGTTTCGGGACACTCCCGAACATCAATAGGTACAAATAGGTTTTCAATATAAATAGAGAAAAAAAACATTTCGAATGAATAAGAGGTTGTTTATATCAAATACCCTTTATTTGTTTTGTACTACAGAACAGAACAAAAGTTACTTGCGATTCACTGCCTTAACTACATAAGGGCAGATCAGGAAGGTGTTTGTTTTTTTCATTTTCAAATAGAATGTTGTTTTTGCTTATGTAACTAGTTATACTTCTACGAATTATTTTTCGTTACTTAGAGCAACAGCTAATAGAAAATCAATTGATCGAGTTATATCCAATGAGAATCAAAAGTTTTCTACTATTCGATTTTGTTCTTCAGTTATAAATGAATCAATTGTAGATTTTTTGTCTGTTATCTTACAAACTCAGATATTTCTCTAGCTAGTGATTTTCTTTGTATATTAAATGTGTAATCATTACTGACATTCATCAAATCTTCCCTACGTTTATTTCAATGTCGAAGATGTCTTGTTGAATTTTTAATTGCATACACCAACTCTAATATTTTAATTAACAGTTCACTTATTCACTATTGTGCTTCAATGTAAAGTACATAAGAGCATATGACAAGGTAGTGTTTCTTGTCTTTACTTGTTTTGATGAATAGCGGGACAGTACGTCAGAACGACACAAATTCTTGTCCTCTACTCTTATATATATATCTCATAAAAAATTATTTTTACCAACGAATAATTTTTAATGTTTATTACTATAGACATTCAAGTATAAAAGGACAATTTATAACCTGGAAAAATACCATGTAAAAGAGAAACATTATCGCATGTTTCGAGATTAATAGAATTCCCATGGTATTAAATTGCAATATTGAAAACAAAAAAAAATAATCTTAGGAATGTTTTTATATTTGTAAATTCTAATTTCCTATGAAAAAAATGCACATTTTATAGTATGTTACAGCTTAGATGCTTCATATTTGAAGAATAACTGTGACTTTTACTGAGAAGTGATTTTTTTCTGTATTATTTTTAAGAAATAGACTACGCACTTGCAACAAAATAAAAAATTCTGTTATGCTTGTCAACATTGACAAGTCATTAGGGAACACTTATTATCGTTGGCAAAGTTTCATTATAACATAACTCAAGTAAGGCTACGCTCTTAGATTGATTGTATATCGAAGTATGATACACAGATGTAGATTGATCCAAACTATTTACTGAAAATAATCCCGTTTTTTTTTCATCCTCAAAAAATGACTCGATATGTTATTATTGGTAACCTTGGATGCTAATTCACTTATGATTTATATGATATATTTGATATGGGTTTTCGTTTAGAAAAATACTATAGACGAAACTTTAAAATTTTCTTAATCATTCGTTGTTGCTTTTTTTCTTTCGTAGATGTTGACAGTGCGAAATTAGATTTATCGAAAGAATTGGCCAATGATTTTTCAAATCCATTTGATGGTTTACTTGATGCAACTGATTTACAGTTAAATGCCGATGATTTTGTAAGTTAATTTTAATCTTAATGTTTTTGTTTCTTTTTATCTTCGATTTATTATTCAGTTGCTCAATGCGGCTGATCTTTCCGTTGATCCAATTAATTGTGATGATACATTTTGTATGGAGCGCTAATATGAAAATGACATCCAAAGCTCAAATGGCATATTTTTTAAATATATATATATATATATATACACAGATGAAAAAATTCTATTTCGTACTCTTTTTATTCATTTTCAGTATTGACAAATTTTGTACATAAAAAATTGATTGTTTTTTTTTATGCATGTTAATCTTCTTCAATAACTGATATTCAATACAGGCGTGTTGTTATATATCACGAAAAGAAAAATAACAAGAGACAGAAAAAATAAGAATTCTGTTTTATATTAGTTGAGTGTTTAGTGTCTTTCTCTCTTTCTAAATTTATTTGTTTTTGTCGTCAGATGCGCACAGCACATAATCATGTTTCCCTATGAAGAAAAATATCGATTGTGCTTAAAAATAGAAGCAAAAAAACAAAGAAGTGAAAGAGAAAAAATTAATAAGAGAAAAAAAGCGAACAATATAACTCAGGAAATTGAATATAAGTGTGCTGTTAATGGAATTTTTCTTTCGTTTTAGTGTTGCACGCTTTTATTTACTTTTAATTTCGTGTAGTTTGTTGTTGTGAATTTTTAATGCGTATTTCGCTTCATAACATGGTTAACATGACGTATAACGTTCGTTTCTTGTTCTAAATGTAAATATACACTAAGAAATGTTCTATTTTATGACACAGTTTATAGCTTATTAATTAAATTTTTGTAGTTAGTTTATTTGATTTTCACCTATTTTGTGTATGTACATTTACCGTTGTTTTTTATGTCGTTTTCTTTTCCATTTCTCAGGTAGGGTCAATGTAACTAACCGCTGCCAATTTTTATTTGTTTCTTGCTTGCGGATATAACAGACAAGTGTTTATATTTCTTCTTCGCCTAGAATATTTTTTATTGTGCTATATTTTTTTTCTTTTTTGTTGTACAGAACTTTAAGAGTTAATAATAATAACAATAACAACAACTAACAAAATATTTCTATATCCACGTAAAATTACTTTATTGTCGTTTATTTAATGTTCTGTCCTCTTGGAACAATCGAAGTACATTTATCTATTAGAAAAAAAAAATCAAGAGCAACGTTTGACTTTGATAGCAATGTGCCATTAGTATCGTCGAATTCTTTAGTGTCACGTATCAGTTTGAGAAAAATCATGACAATATTTAAGACATTAGCTACTTCTTGATTTGATTCTAAAAGAAATTTTTAATGTCATTTCAAGTAGCATACAATTCAGATTAGATAAAATACAACTAACATAGTTATAATTAGTCGATGCAATTGTACCCACGAGTAGTGTTCAGAAGTCATCATAATTGAGGAAGGGGGCAGGGGTGATCCTTGTTGTGAAGATTGATGACGAAGAAAATCATTCAATTTTGCTGGAGGAAAAAGGAATATTTCTCAGGATTGGGGTGGGGATACTCTCTGCTGGGGGATACCCCTAATTGTACCCATGAATTCTTTCTTTCTTTTCGATTTGAATAAAAGATCATAATTACACAAGTTTTGACTATAAAAGAAAACAGAACAAAGCATGACATGTGGTAATTATTATTACACATATTATCATCAAGGATAAAAGTTAATCGAATAATTGATCCCATCATGTTGAACAGAAACCTATCTAATTGATTACAATGGCCCAATTGAAAATAGCAAATGTTGACATTTGTAAAACTAAAATATTCTCAATACATTCTGTATGTAATAAAAAAATGATGCTCTATATAAATAGTGCATCATTATTCATTGCTAAGCATGCTTTTTTTCTTTTAATTATATTGTTAGAAAATAGAACGCATCTCTTGTTGCAATGTTGAGAAATCGGCTTTATGTTTATTAATAATTAAACATGGAGTATCACGAAATCAATATCTCGCTACTTTATCATTGAATAAAATGGAAAAAACATCATTGAATTGGTCATATTTGACAAACGAAATGTATTTTTAAGAAAATTTGAAAATCAGTTGATTAATAATGAAAAAAACTAATTAGTAATATCTAACAGAGAATTTATGTTGCAAAATATATTGTTTTAAATTATTCTTTAATAAAAAGAACATAAGCATGTCAAATAATAACATCAGATTTTTTTTTATTCTTCTTGATAAATAGAAACAGTCAACTTTAGTTTGAAGAATTGATATTAATGTAATAATGGGATTGAATTATCGAAAGGTTGTTTGATTCTGTGTGTATATGCTGCTAAATTGTTAATTTTATTTCAATTATAATGATGTTAAAGCTTTTTGAACATACCTGTTCATGTTCAGCATCGATTTTTACTGTAGTTGCAAGAAGTCTCACACTAACGAATAAAAAGCATTTAAACAGCAATCATTTTGCCCAATAATTTTTACTATAGATAGAACTGAGTAAACTCTTATTGCACGCAGCAATCTTAAGTCGATAGATCTTCATACAAAGGATTCATGATGAAAACAATGGTTTTTCTCCATTATTTAAATGCATTAACAATTATTTTCTTATTAACAAATAATTGCTCACATATCTTTATTATGTCATAGATAGCGTACTCTAATTCACAGTAATCTCTAAACACAGGGAAGCCTCCATTGTCTGGAGCGCTCTCAGCATGGATATCTCTTCGTCATTAATGACTGCAATCGTAAAAATGTTCAAGAAAAATTTGATTAGAACAGACCGCTCATCGAAGAAAATTTCAAGACTAATGATTCAAATTAACCGGAAGAATAGATTACTTTTCGCCAATTCCCATAAACTTCCTTGACGAGACTACTACTTCAAGAATACTTCATTAATCAGGCAAAGAAAAACTATTTGACATGGAATTTTTATTAATGATAGACACAGCACTGAGCTATCAAATGAGACGTCTAGCGTCATGCGATTTATTTTCTATAGGGAGATATCTTCGTCTGAAGAAAAATATCTATGTTGACCTTCTAGGTTCTTTGCATGAGAACCGATCAAGTCTTGATTAATTCTTGCAATCAGAATTCAGCATGCTCTATTTGTAGTCAAGTTATGAGACTAATATAACTAAAGTTTAAGTACTTTTTACCCAGTAGCAGAACATTTTACGACAACTGTAATTGGTTTGTCAATTACTTATTTATGTCGCTATCAACTAAAAATCGGTGCTAAAGATGAACTGGTAGATTCGAAAGCTTTACCATCATTATAATGATAATAATGTTTACAATTTAGCTGCAAATACATACATAAAACTAAACAATTCTTCAAGATTTAGCTTGAGTTTTTTCATTGTAAATACTTCTCTAATTTTCATATATTTCATATTTTTGAACATTCTCTAATAGTTCAGATTTGCAATACAGTGAAATAATTTAGGTTAATTGAACTATTTTTTATTAATAATTATTTTAAGAAACTTCATTATAATATTTTTTTTATATACGCTTGTTTTTTTTTTTGGGAGAGGGGCGGGGTGATAATTATTATGTTTTAACGGAATATTACGTTGTTTATCGAAAGACATTTCATCGAAAACTAAACATATCAAGATGGGTGAAAAAGAACAATATTTGCTGAATTCAAGAATGTTTCAAAAATTTAACTGTTCAATACGTGAAAAAAAAAAGCTACACTCATTCGATATCTCGAAGGTCCTTCACTTTTGGTCAGAAAGAAAAAATAGAAAACAAAATATTTCTTTTCTATATGTTATCATTGTTCTTTTGTGTTTCTTCACTTGTATCTTCTTTAATAAAATGTTTGTATAATATTTAAATTATGGAATTTATATTCTACTATAAAAATAAGAACATTTTGTTAAAATCGACTTTTTTTGATAAACTACTATCAATGAACTGCTTTGTCGGAGAAAATTTTTCCGCTAACAGCATGCTTACTTTCCTATTGAATGCCGTAAATTACTAGAGATTAGTGACGCAACTAAGAGATAATGAATGATAGGGCAGTATCTAACAATCTTGATGATAACTCATGTAATATAGTGTTAATGATGGTAATTATTGCATTTTTCTTCGTTTCGGTAGTAGAACGGCACCCAACCTAGCCCACCCTTGATTACGCCATTACTAGAGATAGTATCTTCATTGAAAGTAACTCAAGTAAAGGTTTCATCGTATTCAACATCCTATTGGTAATTTCAAGCGTCATATGACATTTTATCAAGGCAGTTATTGTTCAATAGGAATGATTCATAAATTTGTCCTTTCAGATTTTGTTCTAAAATAATCTGTTTTATCAGTTATTTTACTTTCGTTGAACGAAACCTAATTGAACTATTTACAATCTTATCACATTTAGAGGATTACTTTTGATCATGTATTTAACATTGAATATGAAAAGAATTGCATGATCAACTAAGTATAATTTATCTTGGTGATTCGATAAAATGAACACTTAAAAAACGATTATTAGTAAAATACTCAAGCATTAATTACGTAGAAAACATAAAGCGATTCAATAATGCTTCTGCTTCTCTAATTACACCATTATTGATCTTTGAAGTGTCATTGAATAACAAGAGAAGATTGAGACTTGTCATGAACAAATCCTCTTCTCGAAGAATAAATAAATCATTAAAGGAACACTGTTAAATAATTGGAGAAAGAAATTGAATGTTCAAGGAAGGAAAAAATGATCATTAAATGTGTTCAAATTTTTATTAATGCTACAACTTAAAGTAACCTTCTCTTGGATTAGATCAGATTGAAAAGAAGCCTGAAAAAATATGTTCGTTTGCTAAGATCAGCATATCATCTGGTATATATACGTGTACTTTCATTGACACTTGTGTGCCGATGACAGATCACTTGCGCAATCTTCTATGGCATATGTCTATAGAGGAGATGCCAATCATCGACTTTTTCTTGCGCTTGCCTATAAATGGAATCCATATGAGAGAAGGTCATACAGCACTTTTATTGCTTATTGCAACCGTTTTTGATTAGACATTTTTATTTTTTCTATTATGTATATGTATACGATATTTTGTATATGTCTATTTTTGTCATTGATAAGAATAAGAACAGTGAATGAACACATAAGTTTCTCGTTGACACATAGACGAAACGATTTGTTAGGCGTTATGATTGATTTATATGTGTAGGCAACATTGATAAAATCTTTGGTTATTACCTGACGATGTTAGGAGATTCTCATCTATCGGATCATGAAATCATCTAACAGCAAGTAAAAGATAAAACAATAGAGATTAAATGAGAAACAGATTTGCACACTTGAACATTTCTCATTCTTTTCTTTTTTTGTTTATTATTTTTATTTTGACTAGCTTGCAAACTATGAATGCAATCTCGCTCATACGATAACACACATATATATCTCTATATATTCTTATTACGCGCATGATTGATTCGTTTACCACTGATTGTAATAAGTAGAAAAGAGAAAAACGAGATATAAAGATGAGACAAACCGAAACCTATTAGAACACATATCTTACAATCGCTATTGTCGATACCTACACATCATATCTCGTTTGTACTTTAATTAACTTAACATCTGTCACAAAATTTATTGGCATGCAGGTATTGATAATGTCTCTTTTGTAACTATCACTATTATTGATTAAAGCTATGAGAAAGACTCCACAACATGCAAGTAGTTGTTATACATTGTCGTGCAACAAAATGTCATGTCAATAGACAATATGTATATTGGGATGAACAAATTGAGATATCATTAACCATTCTCAATGTGAGAGAACGAACGAGATTTATCGTTCAAATTGTTTGTCTGTCTATTTTACACGTTGAAAAATGTTTTCTCATCAAAGAGTTTTTTCTTTTTTTCATTAGCTCATATATGATTTTATCATTTGAACCAATTAATATAAAAATATCCATTTTATCTGTACTATTTCAAGGTTATTATTCTTAGCGTTTATTCTCTCACAGAAAAAAAAAAGAAAATTTGTTCGAGATGAATATATGTCTGTTGTACTGTTTAGCTTAATGTGACATTGATCGAAATAATTTTTGTTTTTCTTTTTTCTTTTTTTGATCATTTTCTTGGTTTCATTCTGTCTGGAAAGGAAGATCAAACATGGAATATAACATAATTTGTTGATCGAGAGACAATACATTGTATTTAATACATATATACACCTACACTTGTCGTTTTGATACCAATTGAATTCAGGTTGAAGGACTAATATTATAACATTGACATATATAGGTAGCTAATGTGTGCTCTCGATCGTTTTCTTTTCTTGTACACTTTACTATTCATGTCCATTGTACAATACATTTATCATTCGACTAATCCTTTTCTCTTTTTTGTGGGATACTGCTGTCGAATAGGTTCTTCTTTATTTTTGCTTGCATAACATTAAATTTCAAAAAAAAAAAAAGTTTATGAACACCTGCTGGGTTTTATAATTTCGAGTCTTAGTGAATAGTTTTGACTGCAGTTACAGTCTTCACATGAATACACAAAATGTTTGTCACCAATTCAACATGATTAGGCAAGAAGACTTTCGCCTTGTATACATACATGTATGTTTATTTTGTATGTCTCTTTCTCTCTCTCTCATTTTCTCTTGTCGTACAGTTGTATATTGTCTTTCAATTTGTAGCTCTTAGCCTCCTTTTTTTTTTTTGTTCTTCATTTAACTATTTCTTTCCTTCTACCGTTGTATTTCTGTATAGAAGTAAGACATTCACAGGCAAAGAACAACATTCAATGTTAGTATCGTCATTTGAGCGGATAATACTTTAACTAAATCGAATATTTGAACAGTAGAATGCTGTGATGCTTTCAATTTTCTTCTTCAAAGAAAGTATGAAAATATTACATATATCCTCTTTTGTTTTCCTTTCAGTTTTTTAAATGTTTTCGATATGCTGATGATTTTAAATAATCGTGCAGTCACTGAGAAACTTTTTTTTCTTCTTCATTTATTCTTTCTCTTTACTATTTATGTAGATTTCCATAGTCTATATGTCACCAGGATCGGACATCTATGATCATTTAACAAACAATGTGCATCAACAACCAAGACAGATTATAAAAAGTAATTCTGGTAAGTTATATGTATCAAATCCAAAATCTAATTGTGAAAGTTTACACATGTTAACAAAACGAAAATGTATTCCATTTGATGAACATGAACAATCAAAACGTCGATATACAATTACAAATAAACCTATCCCAGAAACAATTATACATTGTTCAGTAAGTAATCAAGTGTATGAAAAACCAATGATAGAAAAATCTTTAACAAGTCAAACTATTCCTATAAATCAACAAACAAATTCTAAATTTAATCGAATACCGACATCATTATCGAATTCAGAAATAAAACCAATGGATTTTCGACCATTAATTATTAATGGACGCCGAAAATTAGGTGGAATGCCATCATCATCAATGATTATTATTAAAAAGAAATCATTATCTCCTATGAATAGTATCTCATTCAATCAGGTATATTTATATTTATGCATCTAAATATGAACGAAATATATGTATTTTTTTTTTATTCTTTCTATAGAAACCATTAACTCGTTCGATTCCAGTTGATATTATAAATAGCGATATGGCAATGGTTATTAGTTCTACGATACCATCATCATTATCATATTCTTCTTCATATTCTTCTTCGTCTTCAGCGTCTGTATCTTCAGCAAATGTCGGGACCGTTTTCTTACCAATCCAAGTAACAAAGAGTCAAAACAGCAAAAACAACAATAACAATGACAGTATTAAGTATAGTATCATTGCCACAACAAAAGAAGGTCAAAGGGGTTATCGTTATGTTCAAAAACAATCTGAACAACAAAGACCATTTGCATGTTTAAAAACAGGAAATCAAATTCTATTGGTAGGTTAAGAAAATTCATCAATTTTGATCGACGTTTCTGTTTTCCACAAGATATGAATTGACTATCGTAAGCATTATATCTTGGGCAGTTCAGGGACACATACGGTGCTCTTTCTTTCTTCGACTATTTTATGGATGATAGCAAGACAGCAAGACGATAATGGATAATGATGATAGTGGCTCGCTGTTATTTCTATTGCCATTTCTTGCTTCTTTTCTTCCGATAGCTATTGCTACCATATTCTTTTGGATGCACACGCGTCTGATCATTAGAACAATCTGTACGTACGTATACGTGGGATGCCAATATCGTTTTCCCTTCGTTCTTTCTTCTTCTTTTTTTCTTTTCTCTGTCTTTTTTTTCCTATCGACGCTGAGTTATTTGTCGTGTGAAAATAAAAGAAGAAAGATGGACGAGCAAGATTTTTTTTCTAGACCCCCTTTCTACTTCTTATTATGAAACAGACTACGATATGATGTGCATTATATACATTCTAACAACTAGTTCAAGGTCATAATTTATTTAGATATCTTTTTTTACTTTTTAGAATGTTGATGTTGATGAATCAACAAAAATTCCTTCTTCATCCTCCATTCCTGGAGAAGGTAATAATCATAAATCAACTATTATGATGGATTCAACTGTTCTTCGTTTAATTCGTCGTTATGATCCAGTAGGTTCAAATATTGCTGGTATTCAAGCACGTCGTTCACTTGAAAATACACGAGGCATATGGAATACAGTTGCTTCAAACACACCTGATTCGTCTCCATTCTTAGCACGTCGATCATTAACTACTACATATGAAGATGACATACCTGTACGACAATCATCTATACCACGTATTCAACGTCAACAAGCTATAAATGAACCTGAACCTGAACCATCCACATCTATAAATAATTCATTACGACCAATACTTAAATATAATGCATTGAAATCACATACAGAACTTATTGTTCAACCTCATCAAACAGAACCATTAAAAATTGAAATTGAACCACATATTCCATCAATAAATGAAAGTACATCTGCTAATTATCAACCATTAAAAATTGAAATTGAACCACATATTCCATCAATAGATGAAAATACATCTACTAATTATCAACCATTAATTACAATTGGAACAAAACGCGTATGTGCAGCATTAAGTAAATCTGAATGGGATTTACGTTTACAACAAGAACAAATTCCTAATCGTTCACCTTCACCGTCGCCAATTGTTAATAATCAACAACAAGAAAAAGAATCTCATCGAACAACAACAACAACAACAACACTTGGTCGAAGTAAAAGTTCAATAGGAATTAATAACACTAATTATGAACAAGATGATAATATTGATGATTTTGATGAAAATTCAGCACCAATTATTAATAGTGGTTCATGTGTACAAAAATTAAAACAATTATTTGTTACAAAATCATCACTTGATTTAACTAATAATTCATCTTTAAATAATAGTCATCGACATGATTCAATTGATTCAAATCTTAGTCAACGTTTAACTTTTAATAATAAAACTAATATAGCATCTTCATCTGTTAAACCTTCTCCTCCAAGATTAAGCTCAATTGAACCTCAACAACAAATAATAAATAAACCAACAACAATTGTTCAAGATGTCACACCGACATCACCATTTATTAATAAAAAACCAATACTTAAAAGCCAAAAAACAATTGAAAGGTACGCAATTTAACAACCTATAAATTCATAGATAAATATAAACAATCTATAGAATTGATAAGATCAGAGTACAGAAAAAACATATGCATATTTGATTGACAGTTAGATCGGGTGCTATGACGACCTTGTATTATACACCAGTGAATGGCATAGACAAATGCATCATCCATTAACACTTTTTCGCCCACAAGTCTTTTGGACAATCTTTTTTTATAATTTTTTTCTCCTAATACATCACTCATCATTTGTCAGAAAAAAATCATGTTTCTCAACACTACGATCGGTACAACGGATAATTATTTAGATTTTTTCTGCAAATGATTAAACATAGGCTATCTCGTCTTACATAGACGCAGATTACGAAATAGTAGAAGATAATGATGGAAAAAAAATCTGATGTAGTGTTGAAAGTAAATGTAGAACTATTAGACCATTTGTATGTAACACTCGACCCCCTTTCCTCTCCCCCTAAGCAATAGCAATCAAAGAAAGCTGAAAGTTCTTTTTTCTTCTCTCTTTCATAAGAAACTAATCAACAAGAAGATAATCAAAGAAAAGTGATCTACAATTTCTGTTAGTTATCTCTTGAACTTGAACATACAATGAAATAGACAATGCGTATGTTGATTTAGTCATATACATGACATGATGCAATCAGTTGTCTATCGTTCATTGAATATAAAATAACATCAACAAATACTATTTTGATTAATATTAACTTGTGAAGACCTTATTTTGCTTTGGAAGAAAAAAATCACGAAATCAAAAATAAATACAATAGAAATTCGTATTCATGTTGTTCTCATTGATGTCTAGTCATAAACATGTTTTTACTTTTCTTTTTTCACATACTGTTATTAGATTTTTGGGGTTTATTTTTGAGTTGACAATACTCATTCTTCAAAGCAAGCTTGGTGTTGTCATTTGTTATGCCTTAAGATAGTGTTGATCTGAGCAATTAGTTTGTGTAAGCATGTATATTATATAAGTCTTTTTTTTCCTTGTTCTATTATTTTCTGTTGACATATTAGATATGATTGATCAGCATTTGTTTATTTATATATCTACATTTTAGTCCAGAATTGAATAGTTGTCCAAACAATAGCAGCTTTATGCCTGTATCAGAACTTTCACATGATGCTTATCGTTTTCGTCGTTTAAATGATCAGGAGTCAACAACAATTCGTCCAAGAAATGTAGCAAAAGTCGAACCTTATTCAATAAATACAAATGCAGTTCGTCCACTATATCAATCAACATCACAACCAATGACAACGACAACGACAATAACGACAGCAGCAACAACAACAACCTCAGCTGTACCATTAAAAGCACGTATTAATCTCGATAGCATGGGAAATACACCAACCAATTCATCGACATCCTCATCGGCAGGTTCCCTTGGTGGCATGATTCGTCATCCTAATGTTCATCATTCAGATTTTCTTACACCTAATCCTGCATATCCAACACTTTCTTCTCAACCTCTATCTAAATCTTCATCATATATAGCACCCCCAATATTACTGTCTGAATCACTTTCGCATGGTTTATTGCATCAATTACCATCTGCTAATATTCCATCATATAATGGACGCACTACCAGCTTGGCTTCATCAACAAATAATTTTCAACGAAAATATTCATCACCTAAACAGGGAGAATTTCATTCTAGCATGGTAAGAATAATTATCAGATGCCATGTTCGAATCCGATTATTTCTTTTATATAAAAAGAAAAAACAAAAATATAATTGGTTTCTTGTTTCTAGCATACATTTTCACCTACATTAAATCATGATAATTATATTCCATCAACTTCATATCATTATCGACCTACATTAACAACTGTAATAAATGATTATCAACAACAATTAGAAATACCAAAACGTTCAGGCATTATTGAACAACAACAACAACAAGAAGATGAATTAATAAATAGTGGACAACAACAAGCATCTCGTCGTCGTTTTCAAAAACGTAAACAAATGAAACGTTCGAAAAGTGTTGATTTATATCAAGAACCATCTTCATTTATATCTCCAACCATGAATAATGAATTAAATAGATCTTATCGACAACCAAAATCAACAAGTCGAGAATATCTAGGCGGAAAAGAAAATTTATCATCGCCATCATCATCTTCCTCATCATCAACAGCTGATATTGAACGTGTTAATCGAGCTGTTTTACTTCGATATAAATCCCTTGATTCAATGACATTTAATAATCAAAAACCGAATTTAAATGGAAGAAATAATAATATAACTAATAATCATCGAAGAATTATATCTAAACCAGCAGAATTTGATTTTGACAGTGATGATTCTGTTTGTGGGATACCAAAACCACGAAAGTAAGATATATTATTATTTATTTCTTGTTTTCAAACGTATCTAGTTGACAGCAATTGTTCCATCATCAAATTAGACCGATTGATAATATTTACATAACTCCTGCTCATGCTTTTAATTCGTATAAATATTTTCTCACTTTATTAATACCTGTTTTTTTTTTTCAATGAATGTTGTACTTTTAATTCAGCTAAATATTGTTACCTATCACATGCATGATATCTATAGTCATATATAGATTTATGGTAACATTCGCCATTCATTATCATTCCACCCTTTTCTCCTGTTATGTTGCTCTGTAGCACGATCGCATTCGCATATTAATGTGCTTGTATTTGTGTGATTGATGAAATTCGACTGTGACACATGCATATTTTTGCTGTCAACTAGATAGGTGATTGCGCATCAATCATGGTATCATTAAAAAAAACAATTCGTCTTCTCTCCGTTATAGGACAATTGGACGGTGAATGAATATGCATCACGACGTCATAATGTATCTTCACTTTATATGACAGAATATCCTATCTCTCTTTGTGTTTTTTTCATATCATATCATTCTGATCAGTATTTGTTTGTTTGTTTGTTCTACATAATGATAAAAAACAAAAATAACAGTGTGCATTTACTTTTTGCCTATATATATAAATATACATATATATGCATATATATATTTTTTTTAGCTGTTATCATTTTGTAGTTTTTTGAACATGAATTTTTTACAGCTATTTTGATTTGATCATAGTTAGACAAAATCATTGAGTATAAATCTGATCATACATGAATTGAAATGTTTTTGTTTGTTTTGTTTTTATTTTTCTAATCGGTCTAATTTGATGATGTAACAAATAGGAACCACAGAATAACCTTTAAAATACAAAATACAACATTGTTTTATGCCTGTAATATTGATATATCAATCAATGTCAATCTAATATTTAAAATATCAATAACAATAATAGAACAAAAACCTCAAAGTCGTCTGCATTATGATGAGATCAATCTTTGTTTCTTTTTTTTCTATTATCTATCAGTATAAATACACATCTGCTCATCGAAGAACAACGAAGAACCTTGTATAAATATGATCCTATCGTCCTTACTAATTGCTTTTTTTTTACATATACATATAATGACGTATATATGGATGAAACAGAAACACAACCTTGTATATTACTTCCGTGTAAATGAAAGGTTTTCTGTTTGTATTAGACAGATAATCGTTCTTGTCATCGAACAAGGCTACTATATATTTCAACTATTCTTGTTTGAAACTTAAAATATTGACAGACAAATATACTCAACATTAATTAATGATAGACAGATACTTGAATATATTAAAGCTAAATGTAGATAAACTCAGCTTGACATTATCAAGAAATGATGATTAATGCCACATTACTTTTCACTTTTGTTCATTCTTCATGCCGTCATTATGGACTTAATGTTCACACTTATGATTATATGTGTGAAGTATAATACAGTTAAAAGAAAAAGACCTTAACAAGACACTTTAAGCAATTGTATAATACTGAAAAAAGAAAGAATAATACAATTACATCGACAATAGGAAAAAATGGAGAGGAGGATAGAAAAACAGAAAGCGAGGGAAAGAAAAAACGATTCTTTATATATATGTATAAGAATGACGTTTGCGCTTGGTTCCTCCACCTACTATCGTCATCTGCAACATGGAGATATTGACGCATTGCGTTTATCAAAAAGAACTCTACATAAATAAGTTGCTATTTCTTATTTCTTCTTCGTCTTTATCTTTCCTAACTTATTCTTATATACAATAAGGTTTATATAATCAAGAAAAAAATACGACTGTTACTAGCCTACAACGTTCATATATTTTCTCTAATAATAATATGACTCTCTTTCTTCTTTTTTTTTTTGTTGCACGTCTATAGCCTATCATCAATGGTAGTCGAGTTCCGTTGCGATAATTGTTTTTTTCCTTTGTTGGCTGACTACATTCATTTGAATGATAGGCTAAAAACCATATGTTGATGCGTATATATATATATATATATATGTATATATGTTACTATCTAGTCTGATTTAGTAAAATAGATAAAACGGAGTAACAATACAAACAAGTTCTTTTAAAATTTACTCCTCATATTGGCAAAATTTTACTCTTTCCAGTTAAACTTTCCATCGATACACCATGGGAGCGTGGTATGTATATATTAATATGACTTTTTTTTCTTTTCATTATACTCATGCAAACTTGTTCTTCTTTAATACTCTACGTCCATACTTAAAAGGTCAATTAATATTATAATTTTATTTCTTTAGGCTCTGTACAAGCTCAAGAAACGTAGCAAAATCGGATGGAAAATTGCCTGGTAAGTTTTTTGATTGTTGCAAAAAAAAATAGATCCATAGACAAACACAGATTATAGTATCTAGTTGAGATTTGCCTACGCAAATATTTTGCAAAAAGAAGAACAGTCATCTCTTAGTGTTATCTTAACAAGAGATCCATCTACTTATATATATATATATGTATTTATACGTCTTAGAGTAGTATTCAGTCGATATTTATTTTTCCAATGAGAATATAAAACTTGATGCATTCTTGCTGTGATTATACGTCATAAATGCAAAGACGAGCGGCTAAAACCCAAATTCATTGAGACGTCAGTAGAGGCTAATATATGAATTTTTTTGACGTCAGATTGACGAGGACCCTTTGTTTTAGCATTGTATTTAAGGCCACCATGATCTGAACACATCTGGATGAAAGTGTCAGAAACAAATGCTCTGGGTTAAATCAACATTACCCAAGTCTTTGTTCTTTAAATGATCTAGAAAGGTCATTGTTAATACAAGGCTTTTTTTTGTCAAATAATTCTGAAAAATAAGAAAAGTTTCAATTGAAAATAGAATATAAACAACAAATCTCTTTTTTTCTTATCTATAAATAACAAAGATACTAAATTATTGTTTTTCTATAGTATTTGTCATTGTATATTTGAATAAATAACTTTGTTAATCATATTTTTCTATCAGTTGCCAAGACAAATAATATTATATGCGGCCATAAATTCGTTGAGACAGTTTTCTTTTGTATTTTTGTCAATATTATTTCCCTTATGGCTATGCAAAGAATCATTCTTCATGTTTTTTGTTCTATTCATACTGATATATCGTCGTTACGTTGCTCGTTTATCTTACAGAAAAAACAATATTCTTTTTATACTCAACAGATCTGTCATCACCCGAAAGAGATCCACGTAATAATACACGACCAATATCAGTACATAATATTGGTAATGATGGCACATGTACAGGTATAACCAATGCAGTTCGTAAGAGTGAAACAATTAATGATCAAACATATGCCATCGTCGATTCAACTCCTTCTACAACAAAAATAAAAATTATATCAACAAATGAAAAAAAAGAAGGAGAAGATGTCATACAACAACAACAACAACAACAGCCAACAGAAATATCTCTTGCTGAATCTCAATTTTATGCACGATCTTCTGGTACACCATATACAAAACGACATGAATTTATTGATGAAAAAGTTAATGAAGTTTATTCATCACCACCTGCTGATGATACATTTCACGATGCTATCAATGATTTTAATATAAATAAAGATCAAATAATGCATGAAAAAGGTAAGATATTGAGTTCATTCATTTAAAATTATTCATATATATATATACTTAATCATTAATTAACTATATGAAAATATGTTTAAATCAAATTCTAAATATTACTTTATTTTTCTATATAGTTATACCAACCGATTTAAATGAAGAAGAAAACGTCATACAGAATCAAGAATTATTTATCAATGAACCAGTTAATAGTAAGTGTTTGAAGTTTGTTTGTATTTTTTTTTGTTATTTGAATTTTAAAAATATGTCTAGCTAATTCATCATTACCTATACAAACAATAAGACCATTATCAAATGTAGTTATTGTTAATCCTTTTGAACGTCTTCGTACAATGAATGTTCGAAAGGACCAATATCCATCAGAAGAAGTATCATTACAAATATTTGAACATCCATCCTTTTTTCCAAAACAAATTGATTTACCACGTGAAAGTCCATCGAAATCAATGAAATTAATTCGACCACTTCGTTCATCTGTTGAACAAATGTGTGATCAATTAAATGAAAATAATGATTCATCAACATCATCAACAGCAACTACCAATCGTTCAGTACATTTACCTGTTGAAAAACAACGTGGTCTCTCCGAAATAATCCGAAAACGTAATAGTCGATGTAAAGTTGAAGATTATAAACGTTCAATTCAAAAACCAAATACATATGAAGAACAACAAGAACAACAACAACAATTTAATCGTACATTACCAACATCAAAAAGTGATTATGAATTAATGTTATTATCAAATAATTCAACATCATCACCATTCGATATGAATTCTAAAAGTTTTCAAAAAGCTCATTCAGTTGAAATATCAATTGATATTCAAAATAATAATGATAAACGAGCTAAAATGTCAATTGAACGATTAAATTTATTATTATCAAAAGGTGAACAAATAGAACAAGAACAAATTTCAAATGAGTATGTAGAAACAAAACATTAATTTTCAATAGACTTGATTTATGTCTATAAATTTTAGAATGGATGAAAATATGAGTGTTGCTGATAAAAAAAATTTATTTGAAACAATTTCAAAAGATACACAATTTGGTGGTACTTTACCACGTTCAAAACCATTTAAACATGAAGAGTAAATTAAATTTTTTATATTTTAATTAATTTAAAGATTTATTTTTTAGATCTTCATTGGTATCACCAATAACAAAAAAATATGCTAATGAAAAACAACGTTCACAAACAGAAAATATTTTTCTTATACATCAAAATACTGAAAGTTCATCAGATAAAAAAACTGAAAATGATACATTTGATGATGATATTTCAAAATTATCATTTAAAGAAAAAATGACTTTATTCGATAAAAATAAATCTGCAGGATTAGCACCAACATCATCATCAAAAAATAATCGAATTCGACTTACACAGGTATTTTATTTATGGATTCACTTAAAAATCAATTGTTTTGGTTTCAGCATACTATTTTACATGAGTTCATACTTTCGATAATTTTAATAAGGAAATATCTCGAAGTACTAAAAAAAGAGTCTTTTCTTTTTGAATCAAAACTCTGCTATTTGGTTTTTTTGAGAAGTAGATAAAAATACGAGCACAAGTTGCGTCTAAAAGGAGTTACGAGTTTTCTAATTTACAATTAAAATTCCAAATGCTACTTCTGAATCTTACTTTTCTTGAAAAAGCAAAAGTGTATATATCTCCAATAATAGCTTTTGTTCAGTTTCCAATTTTAGTAAAAGGAAAAGTGTTTAAAAAACAAAACAAGAGGCTCAAAATTTTCTTCTGAATCTCCTAGTTTTCCATGTTACACTAGCAGTAGTGTAATAATTCAAATTTCAATAAATTTATAGTCGTCAGATTTAAATATTGGCTATTCAGTTGTCGAATTGCTCTTCGAATGAGTTTAGACATGTGTTTAAAGACTCTATAACACAATCAATTGTTGAAGTACGCTCTAAATCAGAATGCATGTATATGTAAAGAATCTCTAGTATTACTTCACCGATGAATATTTCTATACTCGGAACTTTATGTATTCAATTATTAAAGGTTGCTAAAAATGAATTAAGATTTCAATTATTATATGTATGATTAGAATCTGTTTTGCACTTACCCCATTTCATAATCCGCTGTTCTATGCTTCATCGTGGCTTCTTACTTTTGATTATATGAAATTCTTGTCTTTATAAACTCAAATACATTGAATAATTGTTCACCAAGCTTTTCCTTTTTGACACAGAGTAAATGATAATAGAACTGAAAATTTCTCATACGCTTGTTGCTAAAGTAATTGCGTACTTCTTTTGATTGTATTGATTGTCTATCCTTTAGGCCATGATAAACCAGTTGGTCTTTCTTATCAATATTTTCGAATTCTGTTTGTTTTTCTTTCATACATGCCCGAAAAAGCTACAGGCATGCTACAATAACAGGCACAGTTGATGAACGAAAGTCAGTTCCTTCTATGTTCTCTCGTCTTTTGTTTTTATTTGACGCTCATGTTTACATATGCATCTTATTACAAACAATTTTGTCCAGATCGATAAATAGAAGAGATATCAAATTAAAATTTTTACAAGAAACAGTCTGGCTGTACGCAATAAATTATGAAAAACTTCGCTCATATGAAGCATTAATTACTAAACAAGAAAATTACAAGATTAGAAATGTTTGGGATTGGTACAGTATAAATTTGAGCTGAATACCCATTTACTTCTCCAAAAAAATTAAGATTCAAGAGTATATTTTGAAAAATTTATAATTACTGCTAAAAACAATTTGTTCTCAAGTTAACTACACTGTTTTATTCTTACCTATACCCTATGTAATCATCATAAATTTACTCGAAAAGTTCTTTCGTAAGTGAACGTCAAAATATAAAAATTTCATAATTATTCTTATATGAATTTCTCAGTAGTTCTATCAAATAGTTATTTCAATATTTATAATAAATTTAAAAAGATAATCAATTTTTTTTTTGGTTTTAACAGATGAAATCTATCTTTCTTTTTTAGCCAATTACTGCCGAAGAAGTTCAAGCCGCTGCTAATTTAACACCATCATCAAGTTCACAACAATTAGAATCCATAGTTCCTGGTATGTATTTATCAAGATACGCATGACTATCTTTCTTGTATTTTGTATATGTGCAGTGAATGATGAACATCCTATGCATGACGCTTCTCTATCATTATCAGATGCATCATTTTCATTTGGAAAAGAGCAGCATGTCAGATATCAATATGCATTCGGTATGTGTTCGTTTTATTTTAATAATCATTAAATATTGAAATTTGTTTTTTATTTACAATCATTCAGATGATGCGGTTATGTCGAATCCAGAAGAATCAGACAATATAATACCAATTAGTAAAAGGTATTTAAATGAATATCGAATAAATTTCACATATGAAATTCTGATATATTTTTAGACTTGAACAATTCAAAGTATTTGATGAAATAGAACGAAACAAACTTAATAAATTATCATCGGATAATTCATCAGAAAAACTTTTAATATTAACAAACGAACAAAAACAAAGTTCAACAAGTACACGTAAAACTCCAACATTAAAATATAATGCCAAAAAAACTAATACAGATAAACAACAACATGCTAAAACAGTCGATATTGTTCGTCTTAAAAACGGTAAACAAGAAATTATTATATATTACTTTGATATTACATCATCATCTCTTCCCATAATCTATTTACTGTTTTCACACTTATCTAACCATGTTTGCCGTTCATATATTGAAACTAACTCATTGACCGATTGCTGACATAGTGTCAGTTAAGAACAGTTACTTCTATAGTAATGCCGCCAGCTATTTCTTGTTTTGCTTTGGTTCAATATGAGGAGAGAACACTGCGGCTTACATAATGATGATAAAGGAAAAAAGTTGCTCTCTCTCGTTCTCCCTGTTTTTTTTTCCTATCGAAGTTGTTTGATTACTTAGTCTCTTTATCGATAGTAATATATAACCTATTTTTACGAAAAGAGATGACATAAAGTATCTTGTTATTTGTTTACAAAAGTCAGAGACGGAGGTGGATTAGATTTTTTTTTAAGATGTGATAAAATACATGTATTATCATCATCATTATCATAAAGACTACTAAGCAAAAAAAAGAATACTTTAAGCCTTATGGGACAATGTATGGAAAAGAATGTTCATATTGAACAGATAAGTAATTCAATAGGAAGCTTTTATTTTACCTTGAAAACATGTACTTATCTCTGTTTTGTTTCGTTTTCTTTAGATTCAACCGTGAAAACCAAGGATACTAATCAAATAGTGTTACCAATTAATAAAACAAATGGTACAAGTAAGCGATATAGTTCAATGAATTCTTTTCTTTCTTTATTTCATGTTCCTATTACAATTTATTTAGCATTATCAAAACCTAATAACAATATAGTTTCTGTATTAAAATCTGATACAATATCTGTATTAAAACCAGATGATCATCTCGATGAGTTTTTTGCCAATGCAACTAAAAATTTAAATAATGAATCATCTGTTCAATTGAATACTGATGATCTTAATCAAATAGCTGAAAATACTGTTAGGTAAAAAGAAAATTTTGATAACAATACAATTATTGTTTTTTTTGCAATTTAATCAGATTACAACCACAAGTATCTCGTGTTCGACCTCCACGTCGTCAACAACAGGGAGCCAAAAATCCTCTTCGACAAATTCAAGCAACAATACCAACAGAAAATCAATATACAGAAATACATACAAATCTTTCAGAACAAGAACTACGTCGATTAAAACGAGCTCAAAGTATGGAAAAGCTTTTTTTTTCTCATAAAAAAGAATTCTATCATTATCTCATGCAAACTTGCGTGAGGAAGTGTTTTCCTATTGCTTTGATCGTTATATTGTTAACTAGAAAATACATATAAGAAAATCATTACATATATTCTACGTGCATTCTAACAATCTATTTATATCGTATCTCTTCGAGTTAGATTAACTAAATATTCACTCAGATTGACAACGACCTATCAGTAAAAACCTGGAACTAGTATATAATAACTTAAAAACTGGTGTACAGTTGTTTGTTCAAGGTTTATTTTCATAACAGTCGTTAATCGAGTAACCTTGTTCCATATTGATTACGCTCTAGCAAGACAGAAATATAAACTTTCTTGAAGAAAAGGAAAGATAAATATAATTTTCAGCATTTAGTTTATCTAGACTGCAAATTGCAGATAAAAAACTACAAATTAACGGTCCGCCCCATAAAATTTGACCTTGGGCTAAGTACAATTAAATCACATGAAATTTTCAGGATATGTTAGGATTGTAGTGGAGAGATTATGCTGACGTTTTCAGCCTTAAATCATGACGTTCAAAGGAGATATTCAAGAAACAAGAGTTAGAGATAACTCATTTTGGCAACCTAAAATTCTCTGTGGTCCTCCATTCTATACATTTAACTTTTTTTATTTGAAGGAGTTTGTCAAATTATATTTCGAGTTCATGAAGATGTGTTACATATTCAATAATCAAGCATATAGAATAAGTAATAACCTTCTGGGACCTATGAAGGTCGTCAAGTTTTGATGTTTTCTTTGACTATAGGAACTGCTATTTTCGTGAGATTTTCTACTCTGTACTATTTCAATGATGAATACGTCGGAAGAAGTTACTATCAATAAAGCAAATTTTTCTAATTAATTAATTTCGAAGCAGTAGTGAAATTTCTCGGAATTTTCTTAAGCCTTACAATTAGTTTAAATAGTATTTATTTATCAAACATTTAAGAACAAAACTACTTAGGAATAAGAAATAGTAGCGAATATTTACTTGCTTTATAAAACGTTAGATTATTGTTAGTCTTGTTTTACAAATATTTAAAAAAAAATTCTAATAAATCAAAATAAATGTATCGTAATGTATTTTTTTCATAGTTTCTACTCATTGAGAAAATCATTTATATATCGATTTTCAATGTAACAACTTTTCTTATCATAAATTTATGTTCTTTCTTTGTTTTTAGTTGCTGAAACTGCTGGTGTTGCTCAAGAAGCTTTAGCAAATTTAACTGCAGCAGAAAATTTTGCTGAAGTCAATTTACGTAGAATAGATCAATCACCTGTTGCAAAATTTGGTTTTGAACCATATAAAGAATTAATGCTTATTTTAATAAAAGGACGACGTCAATGTTCATTACGTCTTGTTAATGCAACATATGAATCAATTAATGAAGGTGATTGTTATTTACTAATAACACCATTAAAAGTTTTTGCATGGTTTGGTCGTTATGCAAATGCAGCAGAAAAAGCTAAAACAACAGATTTAATTGACTATTTAAAACAACATCGTGATTTTGGTTTACGTAATGAAGTAAAATATTTTATTTTGGATCAAGCTAAAGATGATACAGAAAATGATAGTCATGCAGAATTTCGTGATATTTTACAAGGTGAAATCGATGATTATAAATCAATAGATAATGTTATTGATGATGATTTTTATGAAGCAAATATAACAGAATTAAATCGTGTTTATCATGTTGAAAATGATTTACTTATGCCATTAGATGATTTATGTTTTCGTTCATTATCAATTAAAATTCTTGATTCAAATGAAGTATTTGTTTTTGATTTTGGCTCAGAATTATATGTTTGGAATGGTAAATATGCAGATAAAACAAAACGAAATATGGGTTTACAATTAGCACAACAATTATGGAATGATTCATATGATTTTAGTGAATGTATTATTAATCCATTTGATCCACTTGATGGTAAATAATTAGAAGAAGAATATACTGAAAATAATACAAAAAGAAACTATCAGCAATATTAGGATATCATGCTTCTATAGTAAAAAGAAAAAAATATTAGTAATATATGCATTTTTTTTTTGAGGTCTGATTAATCGTTGTGGAGACTTGATAGGTTTTTATTAGAAAGAGAAAAGCTTTTACTCCAAAATTTTGTAAAAAAATATTTGGTTCAAAAGATTTATTGAAAGTTGAAAAGTTTTAAGTACATGCTTCTTAGATTTAGAAGAAGGCCGCCATCCATTAAGAAAATTAGTCTTATTTTCCGTCTGTTACTAGGTTTTGTAGTACTGCGATAGAGTATTGTAAACAGGTAAAAATAAAACTTTCAAATTACCATATGATTTCGAAATTAACATTTTTCTAACGGTCTTGATTAGGGAAAAGTATTCACAACTAAATATGAAAAAAACTTCATTAAGCGTTATAGATGGAAAATAAAGTTTTTAAATAAAACTGTTTCGTATGAAAACTGATTTTGTAATTTGAATATTTTGGTACCACTAGAAAAGCTGCGTCGCGTTGGCTACAGGCAACCGTAAATTTCACTAGCTGAGATTATTGCTCGTGGGCGTGGATCTTCTTTTCATTCACACTCACATCCTTTGCGAGCAAATGTCTTGGTGAGAAGCTGTCTTAGACTAAAAACAAAATTAATGTAGAGCTTTTTCACCATCTGACAATATAATACAGGTTCGAAGATAATATTAGATGAAAATGTAATTTAAAATATGACAAAAAGTGTTTAAAAGATTGAATGATAAAATTGTTGAGGTTCAACTGTTGTACCATTAACGATAATGTTCGAGAAATTAAAACAAATTTTTTTGTTGTACAGATTGAAATACAAGTCCTAAACCAGCATTGATGTTTGCCACAGATTATGTCTAGTTTTCATGTTATAGTCGTTAAAAGTCACATTTGATAAAGTAGTATAACTAAACTGTCGATATATTTTCTAGATACTTGTCAGTTAGTGAATTCGATTCAAATCTATTAGTCACATTTTTTAATATTCATTTTTAATATTTAGATAAAAATGAACAAGCTAGTCAAATTGGTACTAAACGACCAGAATGGTGTATATTTGGAAAACAAAATCAAAATGTCGAAACCTTATTATTTAAAGGAAAATTTAATGATTGGCCAAGTTATTTCCAAGAAGTCAAATCGGCTCTTGAAACAGGAAATAATATCAATAAACCAGCATCCACACAACGAGTATGTATTTATATCTATTTTAATTTTTTTAATATTAGTTCTCAACATATTAATATAATTTTAAAAAGAATTTTTAATATAAATCTTTTTAATAAATTTTAGCCACCATCAATTGTTGAAACACTCAAACCAGCTGATGTATATAAAATGCTTGTTAAACAAAATAATCCAGTAAATATGATTCTTGAACAAATTAATTTAGGTCGAGGAAGATATTGGTTTGTATTAATTTCATAGTTTATTTTTATAATATTATATGAAAATTTCATTTCTTTTTTTTTTTTTTTCGTTTTGTTAAGGTATGATCCTATTGAAATGCGTGGTCATCATGTTCAAACTATTGAATTAAATGTTTGGCATGTAAGTGATAATGAACGACATGAATTATCAAAAACAAGTTATGGACAATTTTATTCTGATGATGTTTATATTATTCGATGGAAATACAAATTAATTGCACTAGGTAATAATAATACATTAGAACGAAAGGCAGATATAAGTCGTGATCGTGTTGCTTATTGGATATGGCAAGGTGTTCATGCTAGTCCAAATGAAAAAGGTCTTTCAGCATTAATGACAATACTTTTTAATGAAGAAAAAGGACCTCATGTAAGTTATTTATTTATTCTTTTTTTTTTTTTTTATTTAAAGAATTTATTTTATTTAGATTCATGTTATTCAAGAACATGAAGAAGCAACATTTTTACAATTATTTGATGGTACATTAACTATTCATATGGGTAAACGTAATCAATCGAAACAAAATAAATCACATTGGCGTTTATATGTCTTTCTTGGTGAAATTGATGTTGAAACACATTGGTGGGAATTAAATGTTAATAGTGCTAATTTACGTAGTAGAACATCATTTTTATTAATTAATAATATTGAAAATTTAATGTTACTTTGGCATGGTTATGCAACAACTGATGAACAACAAATCTTAGCTAGTAAATCCGCTATGAAATTACGTGAAAGGTTAGTTAAATAAAATGTGTTTAGGAGAAATTTTAGTGTTTTTTTTTTAATGCATAATGACGTATTTAGATGTTCGGAAGAATTTCATTTTGATGGTCAAAGTGAAGATATTGAATTCTTTGAAATGGAAGAAGGTGATGAAATAGAATTATTTTGGGATGGAATTAATGAACGAAATCATGAACGAAGATATTATTCGTTATTAAATGGTAAGATTAATGGATAATTGTGAGTTGAGATATACAGTATTATTATGTGACGTTTGTGAGGAAGATAGAGAAAGATCCAAATTTCTACTTCCAAACTTTAATAATCCGTTTAGATTGTATTTCGCCAAGCAAAAAAAGTTTAAGATTTCTGTTCGAAATGAAGACATATAAATAATACAGATTGTTTCTTTGACGATCAATTATCCTTGGAAAACAGCTGTAGTGTGTTAGACATTTTTCACTTAACGTACGTAGTATTAGCATAATGAGGCTAAAGAAGACATGTAAATTCCATATTTTAGCACCAAATTAGCTGTGATAACGAGCTTTTTTATAGGTACTAACAGACACAAAACTTTGGAACGAAGACAAGAAAATGAAGCATCAATCAATCAAAATAATTCGAATAACTAATATATAAAACTGATGTTAATTTCATCGAAGGAAATCGTGAGGTTCTTTTCTAAAAATCACAAGAAGAAAATTTATTTTGTACATAATTTCAAAACTATATGTCATAACTATGAAACTAAGAAATGCCTTGTAGGTAGAAATCGTAGGTTCAATTTGAACATAAAGGTTCAGATTTAATCGATTTTGTATAAAAGCTTTATTAAATCACAATTGTAAGACTAATAATCTTTCGCAGTATTTATCTGATTACTTGTCGAAAGGATCTCGAAAAATAATCGACCATTTGTGAGATGAATTTTATCTCATTCGATAAGTTCTATAGAGAGACTAGAGAAAATCTCAAATAAGTTCTGTCCATAAATATTTCTTGCTGAACGATTATCATTTTAATGCATTGTTCAACAAAAAGTCGTGTTCTACTTATGCTTATATCTAATAATAGGAATTCATAGAAAGTCTGATACTTCAATAATGAATTAATTGCATTGAGAATTTTTATTTGTATAAACTTTGAACTCGAAATTGAATTTTTAAGATGATCGAAGGTTAACTATGGTATTTTAATGGAAGCTCACTAAATAATTATAAGTCAAAAAGAAAGACTTGACCATACACAAATTCTGCTTGTTCTGCTCTAATCTCAGTCGAAACTATCGTACACATTAAGATTCAACTCAAAAAATAATTTCTCACTTAGAAAAATTCTGTTGTAAAATAAATTTGATTTTATGATATTGTTTATATGAAAAATGACACCATTTATAGTAGTTTTTGTTTGATTAATAGTCATTTTCTATTTTAAACAATGTTTTTTTTATTCTTCTAGTTCGCTCAAATCTAAAACTTTCGTCAACTATGCGTATCTTTCATTTATCAAGTCTTCATGGTCCATTTGTTGCTCAAGAACTTCTTTATACCCTTCGTTCACCTGATCATATATCACCATTTCCATTTATACAATCTGATTTATATGAACTTCATCAACCAGCTTTATGTTTAATTGATACTGATACTGAATTATATATATGGCAAGGATGGCATGATCAATCTGATGATGAACTTGGTTTACAACTTTTTAATGCAAATTTATTAGCACGTGGTCCAAGAGATATACGTTTTACAACAGAACGTCGTTGTGCTTTTCGTACAGCTGTTGATTATTATAAAAGTAAAAATATCAAAAATAAAAATTATTTTGTTTTGAAAAGTTCGTTTATTTTTTGTTTAGCAAAAACTGGTTCATCAACTATTGATATACCATTTTATATTATTTATGCTGGTTTAGAACCAATTGATTTTATTAATTTATTTCCTAAATGGACTGTGAATATTAAAGCTCGACAACAAAATCAATTGGTTAGTAATTAAACTACTAAATTTTTGTATTATATTTGATTTTATAATCAATGTGATTTTAGGAAGGTAAAAACTTAAATCAGAAAGATTCAATTATTGATGTACTCAATGAATTATGTCGTGAGCAGTATACTATTGAAGAACTTCGAGCTCGTCCATTACCAGAAGGTTTTAACTTTGAATTTCTTTTTCGTTTTTTTTTTTAATTTTATTTGAAATGAAAATTTTTATTTTAGGTGTTGATCCATCAAAAATTGAATCTTATCTTTCTGATGGAGATTTTCAAGTATGATTTTATTTTTTTCTAATTTTTAACTAAGAAGAAATTATATTTTCTTTTTATCATTATAGAGAGAATTTCGTATGATTAAAGATGAATTCTATGCTTTACCCTATTGGAAACAAACCAATATTAAAAAACCACTTGGATTTTTCTAACTCCTTTTTCATCTTATGTAATGTGCCATAGTTATTTATATGCTACTGATTTTCTTCTTCAAAACAACAACGAAGAAGTTAGAAACTGTTCGCCTTTTATATTCTTGTCTACTCACGAACGATATATGTGTGTGTATTGTTTGTTATATAAATATAAAATGGTTTTTTTCTTTTGAATCGATTGTTAAATATCTTACACATATTTCCCCACCTCGTTTTTTTTTTTGTTTTACATCTATTTTTTCACGATGCATGAATATGATCTGCTTTACAGCAAATAACGAAAGTTTAGCTTTTCTTTCTATTTTTACGTATGTGAAAAGTAAGAAGAGATAATAAAAACAAATCAGTTGTCGATGATAGATAATTTTATTTGAATTGATTCGAACAAATGGAAATTTTCTAATATTCAAAGAAAAAGGATTGATCTAAAATGTTCAAATAATAAATTTATTTTTCAATTCGAAAACAATTGAGAGAATCGAAAGTCATATTTTAAATATATTAAAATATGTAACTATGATTTACAGGATGAGCCAAAAGTAAGTGTACCGTAGAAAAACGAAATTGAATATCGCCATCATAACTTGACCCAAAGGGCTGACTTTTTTCTACTGATGATAAAAGAATGTTCACAGTTTATATCGGCGAGGAGAACATTAGAAAGAATCGTTTTGAAGTATCACTATTGGCTTCAAATAAAAAATTATCTCCTCTCATAGGCAGTAAAAACAAAGCAATGTGAATGTTGATGCGGGTGAATGTCTTGTCGTTACCCGCAATTCACATCATCCTCCATATATTTCACACCCTACATCCAGATCCAGACCCCACACTCAAACTCACACTCTAATAAGCGTAGAAAGAGAACGAGGTCGAGTATACTGCGTCGCATTTTAAAGAAACGGATTTATATCGTGCAAACTATTCATATACACTAGGAGAATTGAAAGAGGGAGAAAAGTATATCTGAATGCACTTTGAATACATATAATATTTTAAAAAGTGATTTAATTATTAATACTTTGTCCTAATAATGTGACTTTTCTTCGCTGTCCTGCTTTTTTGCAATGTGTGAGAGAATAAATTTTTTTTTAAAAAGTCAATAGTGATACTTCAAAATGGTTATTTGCACTCTTGTCCATATGGATAGGAACTATGAACATATCTTTATCATCAAGAAAAAAAGAGTCAATCTGTTTCGTGAAACTATGGCGGAAAGACGCAATTCTTTTTTTGTACGATAAAGCTATTTCTAGCTCACTCTATATGTTCGAAATAATCAATATAAAAAATATTCCATTATAATTTGACACTATTCTTCATTAACAAGTCATATATTTACTTATTGTTAATCAATTTTTCTATTTGGCCTCAAAACAATAAAGTCTTAAATCAAAATATTAAATTTCAAATTAGTATATAGATGGAACGATTATTTTATAATAGTTGATTTTTCTTATATAAAACAATAAAAATTGATTGCACTCATACCAATATGAAACCTTGATGAGATTTATAATGCTTCTTTGTTTTTCGATAACTACAGATATGACCAGGCAAAAAAAAAGACGAAAATGAAAATTGAAATTTGATCTTGAGAATAACGTTATTTTTGAAAGTCAAACAGTTAGTATATGCATGAAGTCAGTAAGAAAACTAAGCTTTATTTTTCCTAGCCACCTGTGTAATGTAATTCTAAACTAAATCCACTAAATTTCTCAATGAAAATCGATTGAAATAAATAGTGAAGCAATTCACTATTCCAATACACTCTGGACATACATATTCCCCTTTGACAGTAGATATCAACGATTTTACAATGATGCGATTCATTGCCAATGTCCTGCTTTTAACCATCGTATTTGGTACGTATGTTTCGGCTGTTCGAATTGGTTCATTTAATTTACATCAATATGGAAGTAAAAAAGCTGCTAATGCAACATTAACAAATATGGTTGCGGAAATTATTAATGATTTTGATTTGGCCATTATTCAAGAAATAACTGATGCTTCACTCAAGGCTCCTTATGTTTTACATGAAGCACTAAACAAAATTTCATATTCAAACCCATATACATTAACATTAAGTGAACGTGCTGGACGTTCAGCAACAAAAGAACAATATGCTTTTTTCAACCGTGAAGCTACATCAGGTGTTGAAGTTGTTCAAGCTTATCTTTATGAAGATATTGAAGATAATTTTGAACGACCACCGTAAGAATTAAATAAAAATTGCTTTTTTTTTTGTTTTTATTTCTTGAAATTTTTTGTTTAGTTATATTGGTACATTTAAAGTTAAGAATCCCGGAAAATCTGGTATTGAATTCTTTACTGTTATGGATGTTCATTTACGACCTGATGATGCATATGCGGAATTACTTAGTATGCGTATTGTTATTGAAGATTTTATTGCTAGCAATCCACAATATTTTTCTGAAACATCAACATCATTAACCGATGCTTTAGAACAAAATGTTATTAATGCAACAGTTGATAATAAACCAAGTTTGAAAACTAATCATCCTATTTTAATTGTTGGTGATTTTAATGCTGATTGTGCTTATATTTCACTTAGACGTCAACAATTACTTCAGTTAGTTTAATCTACTCAAAAAACAAAATCAATTTTAATCGTTATATATTTTGTGTCTTTTTTTCTTCTTCTTTAGATCAATCGATTATGTTGATTTCACATGGGTGATTACTAATCGAGTTAAAACAAACACACGACAAACATGCACATATGATCGTATTTTCATTAATGGTGATAAATTCATTGATGCTATCGTACCAAACAGTAATACAACTGTTAATTATCAAGAACAATTGAATATGACATTGGCTCAAGCTTTACGTATCAGTGATCATATGCCAATTAAATTCGATATTGAATGGTAAAGAAAAAAAAGAGACAAAAAATAATCGTTTGTATGCACTTTCGATGAAAAATTAAATAAAATAAAATTGTTTTTCTCGATTGTTCACATCAAAGATGATAGTCATGATTTAACTGAAGTCTATCAATGTAATTTAACATAACATTATTGGCAACATACAGAACAGATCTACTAACAGATCAAGCTAAAAATCAAAAAGTGATCTGCAGGCTAAGTCAGACTGATTGATGTTTCTGATTTCTCGAATACATTCAATTCTATAAATTTGAATTCAAATTTCAATTGCTTACTTAATCAATTTCTATAGAGATAAGATAATAACAAGTTGCTACACGCATAGTAAATTAAAACAGAGAGAAAGTCATCATAAATATTTTTCATACAAGAAAGACTTGAATTGATACAATGTTTTTGATTATATCAATATTGTTTTACATAATCAAAAATCTAGTTATGATAGCAAAAATAACATATAATCAGGCATATAATAAAGAAAGTGTAGGGAATAAGTGATACTTATCATAACAGACAAGGGCATTTATATTTGACAATCAATTATATTGCAATAGCACAAACGCAAAAAATTTACTATCGAATTGTTTAGAATCTAAACAAGTTTTTCTGTTGGTAATAGTATAAGCCCTAAAACACTGAATTGATGTTCAGTTCAAGTATTTGTTGCTGGAATGGAATGAATTTGACAAAGTATTCTTGAATCATAAGGCAATGCATTAACATTCGATTTTCAAAACGTACGAGTCAAACCAGATGAACAATTCTAATAGAGAAATACATAGATTTATATGATTGAATATTTATTATTTATATCAAATGAAAATAATACAATAAAGCTTTGGAACATAAGCAATGAAACATGGAGACCCAAACCTCTCCTAGTTTTAGACTTGATGCATTAAGAGCATATGTAGTTGTCAAGCTTTTCATTCTCTTGCTCAAAAATTATTCTTAATGTGGAGATGAGCCTTTTAGTAGTCGAAAATTATGGTATGCCCTAGTAGTAGTCTCCTCTGCCGAATTGTAAAATCATACTACAAGCATTAAGTGAACTGTTTAAAGAATGTACAAAAACATTTTAGTTTCACTGAAATTTTACAACTGTACGAGCCTTTATCAATCTAAAAAAATACTCTGAAGTTAAAATTTTAGGAAACTTCGTTACTTTTACTCGAATATCTTCATTTTCTAGTGTAGACTTCATCGTCTGCAACGGAAAGTGTTGCTAAATATATTCATCAACACTTTTCTGATAAAACTGTAGGCAAAATCACAGTATTGGACAAGTTTACCAAAAGAATGTTAGTCAAGCAACAAAGTCTATTGAATTTTCTATTATTGAAAAGAGTTTTCTCGACGTTCGACTTTGTTACATCAAATTTGCTTGGATATACGATGACTTGTTTCGTACATTAATGCTAAGATTTTTGAGCATTTTAATTTTGACAATATCGAAATATCTTTATGCTTGCATTCGTTTTTGACATAAGAACGAAAAGAAGAAATTCCGTTATATTCTTCTCTAATCATATTTATTTCTTCTGCGTTGATTATGTGCTTTCAATGAATTAACAAAGAAATTTACTGGATGTTTAATCTTTGAACTTTGACGAAAGAGAAGAAGAAAAGACTTTGAGCTTTATCTAGATTGAACATTCTCCGTTCGCAGCATTCTTAGGCATCAGCAACATATTTTGAAAATAAAATTTTCTGTCCGAAATATTTTCTCTAAAAATTCAAAAGTTATATCGAAACTTAAGAGTGTGGGTATGGATCTTTTTTTCATCCACATCCATGCCTTCAAACTCTATTGATTGATCATTTACATATTTACATAAGATAATAACACCATATACAATTAGTCTAATAATTATACTTATTACTAAATTTAAAGTAATATCCAATCTAAGGTTCTAAATTCAACATAGACATTTCTCAATTAAATATCAGTTTCGATTCAAATATTTTGCTCAATCTCATATTAAATACTAATACATATAAGGAAGAATATCTGATTGACTTTTTTATACAACTTTCGACTAAATTGGTTCATACTTCAAATATATTTATTTAAATTCTTTTTGCCAATCAACAATGTGTTATAATTCGTATATTCATGTGATCCTTTCGATTATTTATTGGCATACCAATAGAATGATTTTCGAAGTCACGCAGTTAGCTATCTCCTTTTGATGTCAATGATTTTTTCGTGCATAGATACTACATAATCTTCTAATGAAAACCCCTAAAAGAATTTAAGTTCCTATTGATATTTGACTAACGTATTGAATTTTGATCTGATACTTTATATATAGAGAGAACTCAATTAGATAATCTTCCACGAAAAAATTCAGAAGTTTCGAACGAAGTCGCTTCGAGATATGCAGTTTTCAAGAAAATTAATGCTATACATACAATCCATGGTAAAGGGTCTATATCTCGAAAGTCTTGTATCTCAAAGAAATTTTGTCCCAAACTTCTGAATTTTTTTCTATAAAAACTAGTCTAATTGAATCTTCTATATGCACTAAGTTTCAGAGCAAAAATTCGATAGCTAAGTCAAATATCAATAGAGATCCAAATCCTTTTAGAGTTTATACGAGAACAGTCATGTAGTATCTATAGGTAAAAAGTCATTGAAATTAGAAGGAGGCAGCCGAATAGGTTCCCTCGTTAGTCATGTAATGCACTTACAGTACATGCTCTGTATCAGAGTAGTTTGTTATCAAAAATAGTTTGGAGAAGTTTATATTATTTTGAATATTTAATCATTCCATTTCTTATGATTAAAAGAGAAATATATCAGTCATTCTTGATAGATATTAGTAAAATGATTTTCCCTAAGGTAATTATTTAATGTTTTTCGTGTTTTAATCAATTACATTTGCGCAGTTCAGTATAAGTTGAAAGAAAAGAAAGAAGACATAGAGTTTGATTATAAGAAAGAATTAACAAACATAATTGAGTGAATAGAGAAAAATACAAGAGTATTATATCTATACAATTTATAACATGATATGAAAATAAATCCTGATTAATTTTGTTTTTTTAAGTAGCTTTTGTTCTCTTGCAACCACGACTATTTGCCTTGCTTGTTGACGTTGGAGCTTTGTCAGCTGCACGACCTTTTTTCTGTTTAGCTGCTGAAGCTTCTATAGAAAAAATTCGATTTAACAAGACAAGAAAAAAAAAATGAATAAAATATTCAACAAACCATCTTCAGTATTATTTTCAACTTCTTCATTTTTCTCATCATTTGTATGATCTTCAAATGGTTCTTCATTTTGTCCTTTCTTTTTAGCATTAGTTTTTTTGCCTGCCGCTGGTGCTGATCGTTTTGTTGGTACTTTTTTTGTTGTTGCAGCCTTAGATTTATCATCCGTTGTTTCTTCATCTTCCGATAATTTAAGATCATCATTTAAAGGAATTTCTTCAATTTCAGATTTTTCAACAGATGCTGCTTGTTTTTTTGATGATCCTGGAGCTTTTCCTTTTTTAGCAGTTGTTGTTGTTGTTGTTTTCTTTTTTGTATCACTTTCATCATTTTGTTCTAAATATCAAGGAAAAATTTTTTGTTTTTGGAAGTGAAATTTTTCTAATTTGTTTTTTTTTTTACCATTTTCATTTTCAACTTCTGGAGCAGGAGTTTTCTTTTGAGCTTGTTTACGAGCAGGTTTACCTTTTGTTTTTTTACTTGGCGAATCAGCTTCATTTTCAACTTCTTCCTCTTCACCTGTACCTAAAATAAAAAGCATATTATAAAAATATTCATAATGACTTTTAATTCATTACCAGCATCTTTTTGTTCTTCTTCTTCGGGTTTCTTATTTTTTTGTGCTGCAGCTTTACCCTTAGCTGGAGCTTTAGTAGAAGTTACTGTTTTTTCATTTTCTTGATCTTCTTCATTTTGTTCATCAGTTTTCGGCATATTTTTAGCTGGTTGTCGTTTACCACCACGACCTGCAGTAGTTTTAGTTGTTGCTTTTACTTCAGCTGATGCAGCATTTTTTTGCATTGTTGATGTATTATTATTTTTCTTTGATGGTTGTTCATCATCATTATCTTCTTCAATTGAATCTTCACCTGCTTCAGATTTTTTATTTGTACGCTCAATAAACTAAAAATTAAAAAGATTGAAAAAAAAAACAAGAATGAATTTAATTAAATATTTACACCGGATGCTTCTTGTTGAAGTTTTTCAGCTTCAGCTTTCTTTCGTGATTGACCAGCTTTAGTATTCTAATGAATAAAAATTATATGATTTTTAAAAATTCAAATTAGAACTTACTGTAGATTTTTTCGATTCACTTACAGCTTTCTTTGGACTTGATTCTTCGGTTTCGGTCGGTTGTTGATTTTCTTCGTCTTGTTTTTTCTAAATAAATAAAACTTTAATTATGTTAACTTAGTAGTTACAAACTAACTTGAAGTTGTTTTTGATCAGTATCAACTTCAGTTGTTGCTTTGACAGCAGCTCCTTTCTTTGGTGGCATTATTATTAGATTAGTTTGCTAATCGATCGTTTAAATTGTGAAGCAAAAAGAGCGACTATAACCGACGATTATATCGAGAATATTTAAATTCAAAAAAGAAAAGAAAAACAACGACTAGTCACTAGTTTTAATATAGTCGGACGACCCTTGTTTAATAACAATGAACAATGATTTAAAATCGATCTCCTCCGAACAATTAAATATCTTAAATGAATATTTAGAATAGAATTATTAAATAAATTTATTTTGGAAATTATTTTAAAATTATTTTACTTATAATGAATATTTAAAAAACCGCGAATTTTTTTGTCAATCGTCTTTTTCTTCGTTCTGAATATTTAATGCAGTTATGCACTTTATTTTTAACGAAGTCAATGAGGAGAGGGTAACCAAGGTAATGACAAGAGAATACATGCGTAATGATTGATAATGCATTGACTTTCTCGTGAAAAGATATTCTATAGTTATATATGGCTGCTTCGAATGGTATTCAAGCACCATCGAGTATCTTTATAGAGCCACAGTACGGATATATGAAAGAAAAAGCTTGTTCCTAATGACCTTTTTTTTTTTCTTTATGTTTCAATTCTAGGTTTACACATGACCAACAACTTATACTATTAAATAATGAAGAGCTTCGAACAAAAAATCGTGAACAATTAATTGAAAAACTTGAACGAGTCATTCAAGAAAAAAATGCTTCCATTACCAAACTTGAACAACGGTAAAAATCAATGGGATCTTAATCGATATATTATGTATTCGATTTCCTTATATTTATCTAGTGAACAATACTTAGAAGATACACTTAAAAAAAGAAATACAGAATTTCGTGCACTTGAAGAACAATTACGACAATTCGAAGAGAAGGTTGAAAATCAGTATTCTTTTGCTTTTTCTGAATATCCTAAAAAGAAAACAATTTTAGACACGAACATTTGAACAGTTACATCAGCTACAAGTGCATACTTTTGAAAAAACAATACGTGATTGTCAAATTGAAAATGAGCGTAGGCATATCGGATGCTTTATTATGTTTTACTAATAGTGAAATTAATCGACTATTAGGTTTGTGTGAACATGTTCATGATTTAACAACACAATTACGAGAAAAATCAGATTATGAAGCTATTAATCAAGAAAAAGTTCTGGTATTTTTTTTTTCTTTTATCTTGAATAAATTTTCATAATTATGTGTTCTTTTTTTTTTATTCATTAGACATTTGATCGTATTGCTGCTGATACTCAACTTTGGCGACAAAAACTTGATTCATACAAAGCAACAATTGAAGAACGAGAAGAAACTATTGCCAATCTTAAGTATAGATTTAATGAACAGTTATATTGAGAATCATGGATTTACTTTTGTTTTTTTTGCTTTTATTATATTTAGAAAGGAAGTCAATGATTTACAAAAGAGAAAACAAACTAGTAAACTATTCATCGAATATATATGAAAATGAAAAATGATCATTGTTTTTTTTTTTCTAAACATAGATGCAGATTTTGAAGATAGTTCATTACGAGTACAAATAGCAACTCTTCAAAATGTAAGTAAATGAATAAAATTGCATATTTAATTAAATCTTAATCAATATTCTTGAAATAGTTATTATTTTAATCAATAACATGTTCTTCTAATTAGGTTTGTTTCATTGTTGTTGTTATTATCATTCGAATGTTGAAATTACAATGACAATACATTGAATTTCACATTCGAATAATATAAAGAATAAATGAAAAATATAACATGTCCATTAACAAAAATAACAAAAGCTAAACAAGCCAAACATACCACTTTATAGTTAATCTAATGATTTGTTTATTGAACAGCATGAATAAAACTGGTCAACGTAGTTCCTTCGGGGCTCAAATATTGAACTCATATGTTCTTTAGTCTCATTGTATCAATATTGTATATGCTAAGTGACTAATCTCTAGAAGACAACAGTTGTTCTTCAAGGAGAATCGATCACTAGGAAAATAATCTATTGCATATGTTTCCGTGTTTTGAACAGATATTTTTTCTATATTTTACTAGTCATCTATATATTTTTTTTTGTTTGCTTTGTTGCTATTCGCTTGTTGTTTTTCATTTTCGTATTCTGTTTTTCTTAATTTAACATTATTATTATTCTAATCGTTGATTTAACTGGCAAACAAGCCTGCTGCATATATCCATTATATCTAAAACAGATCTTAGCGCACTATTACATATCTCGATAAGCTCACAAACACTGATATTGATTACTTTACAAAACTATAGCTTGATCAGATTATGCTTTATATGTTGATCATACGATGATTGTAGCAAACCAATACATCACTGTCCATCATTCTTGACATCTTGAATATGTAGTTTTTATCTGGGCAAAAATCAGAAATTCTCTTATTTAGCATATTCATACACATTTTCTAGCCATTCAAATTTCAGGAAAGGCTTTGGAATTTTCTAATACAATCTAAGTCTTGTTGTTAATGTTGTTCAGCATTTTTTTCATTATTAAGGAACTACCCCTCGCTCGTTGTTAAGGAAAATATACTCATTGACCTATGACCCTAGTTGCTATGTGCAGAGAAGCCGCAAAACCTAGATTTCATATTTACATCCACTCAATGTTTCTACAAATATATAACATGTGAACTCCAGAAAAAAGTTTCGAGACGATATCCTACAAGATTATAATGTAAAACATAATGAAACTATGTGAAATATTGAATAATATTGCATTTTCTTAATGATATACTATTTGTACAATATGCTCACTCGAGGCTATTATTTTAATGAGCAATAATCTGCTCGGAATAGTTTCTTTATTCATGTAAACAATATAATGATCGTTGACACAATTAATAAGGTAACATTTGAAAACGAAACATTAATTTATGTTCATATGAATATTTCAAAAAACTTTAATTAATAATTAAGAAATTCGAATTATGAATATTTTCTATTTTAGACTCTACGTGATCGTGATAATGAAATCAAACATTTAAAATTAACTCTTCGTCAAGTACGAGATAAATTAATACCAGTAAATCTTTCTTTCGCACTAATCAATATATCAATCGTCTGTCCATATTCTTTTTCTAGGGTCAATTATCTCATGATAATCGTTGGAGAAGTTGTAGCGAAGATATTGGACGAAATTTATCCATTGGAAAGTAAGTTATCATAGTTTAAAATTGACAATAATTAAATCCATATATTAGATCACATCGATCGTCATCTCCAAAGAAACGTTGTACATCTCCTCCAGTTCGTGATGATACGTTATCACCTCCATTAGATGTTGAATATTTAAAAACAAAAATTCGTACATTAACAGATCGTTTAGCTAATGTTCAACAATTACTTGTTAAACGTGATGAACAAATTGTTACATTAAAAAAAGTTCATGATAAACGTTGGTTACGTCTTAAACATTTACAAAAACAATATCGTTCAGTTAAAGATGAATTACAATCTTATACTGATGATGAATTATTACAAAAACAAACAAAAAATGATTATTATTATGGTAAAGCTATACGAAAAACTAGATCTGGCTGTTCTGTATGTCATAATCAACGACAAAGAAAACAAACAGGTACAAATAGAAAAATATTTAAACAAGAAGATGATGATAATATTTGGAATGAAGTAACAAAATTAAGACGTGAAAATGCAAGATTAACTAATGAAAAGTAAAATAAAATTTTATTTTTTTTTCATTTATTGTTTGTTTTTTTTTTTCTATTAGTTTAAGTTTAAATGAAAAAATTGATTTACAAGAAGTCGAAATTAATGAACAAACAATTGTTATTGATGAACTTCGTAATGAAATTCGATTATTAAATGATAAAGATGAAAAATCTCAATTAAAAAATTCATCACCATCAATAAATAAATCTAATGATAATCAACAACGTTTAATTGAAGAATTTAATAAAAAATTATATGCACTAGAAAATGAACGAACATGTTTAATATTTGAACATGAACGTTTAAAAACTAATCTTGATTTATGTATTGATGAAAAACAACATTTAATTCAACAAAAAAAACAAACAACAGATGAAATAAAACGACTTAAACTTCGTCTACTTGCATTACAAGATCAAATACATAAATTAAAACGAAATAATCAACCAATTAATAAAAAAACTTCAACTAATACATCATCAACAATAAAAAAACGAATAATAAAAAAGAAATCAAAAAAATCATGTTTAGAAATGTTACTTGATCAAAATCAAAGTTCAACATTTATTGATGATCTTCAAAATGAATCATCAGTTCTTTATCGAACATCACCACCAAAATTCGATAGATTTGATATCAATCCATGGCGACGACAACGACATCGTACGTGTAGTCTTTGTGATAATCATACTCAAGCTTCATTAATGAAACGTAAAACACGATCATCAATATCATCAACAGTACCCAAACGAAAATGTCAGTAATTAAATTTAAAAAGAAACAAAATTTTCTAGATAGAAATCATTCTTTTAATTTTATTTCAGATGGTCCATTAAAGAAAAATTATAATAATAAAATTCGTTTAGCAAGTTCTTGTCATCATGATTCCTATTCACATCATATTAGAAAACCTTCGATACCTTCAACAGCACAAAAAGTTCCAACTAGAGTAAATTATCATTTACAGGTGAAATAATAAATTATATTGTTTTTTTTTTAATTAGATTGGAGCAATGCGTAGACGTATTGAACAATTAGAAATGAATCTTGCTGATGCGAATGAAGAAAATGAACAACTTACTCAACGCTTATCAACAACACTCAGTCGAATTAATGTTATTAAAACAACAAATCAAGTTTGAATTTTTATATATTAATATTCAGTGATTTTCAATGTTTTTATCTTATAGAGACTTATTAATGAATGTGATAAATTAAAAACCGATCATTTCACTCAATCAACATTATCAGGACAAGAAAATCGACGTAATGATTCTGTAAATTCTGATGGTGGTGAAAATGTTGATAATTTACATATACGTCTTAAAAATACTTCATTCGATGCTGCTAGACAACGAAAATTAAATAAAACTTTACAAACAGACAATGAAACACTAACGAAAAATCTTCAATCATTAACTGACAAGTATAGTAAACTAGCTGAAAAAATCAAAAAATTCTTACATATATCTATAGATTGACACATACAGAACGTGATGTAGCAAGTAAACGAAGTTTAATTGAAAATTATAAATCTCGGTTAAGTGAATTGGAAACAAATCTTAATCGTTCAAATGAAAAAATTACAAACGAAGTAATTAATCGAATTATATATTGATATTTATCGACTGTTTTTTTTTTGTTTTTGAATTTTCAATAGAATGATGAAGAACGACTCAAATCATTAACAGAAACAATGGAAAAATTACGAGTTTCAGTACGTATATCAAATAATCAACGCACTAAAGTCTATAAAAGATGACTATTTCAAAAATATTTTTCATTCAAAATCACAGATATATTTCACATTCCTCATGGGATATAGCCATAATTTACCTATGATAACAGAAGGTACATAAAGTTAATAATTGTATGTAGGAAAGTACAATTACGAATTCTTTTGATAGAAACTCGTTGTTCAACATTTTCAAAACATTTATGAGCCGTTGTTTGAATATCAGACAAGCATGATGATGAGTGAAATTGGAATACGTTTTATATTTATTCTACTTATCAATGAAGAAAAGTGATTAACGAAAAATGTACGAAAATATGTACTTTTTGTCGATGAGTCGATCATCGAATAGATTCTGAATAAATTCTATTGATTGACATATGAAATAGGTCAAAAAAAAAATTAATTAAAATCTCGCATTAACCTCATAGCAAAGTTAAAGAAAATAAATGCGAAAACCTCGGATTTAAATCCGAGTGTTATGTGTACTTCAAAAAGTGAAAAGGTATATTCACTGTGTTTTTTATCACTAAATTGCAAGGAGAAAATACAGGCGTGCTAAGTTAGCATGGACCATACTGTATGCGACCCTATCCGGTGACCACTGACTCTACTCTCAGAGTGATATAATATCTTTAGAAATCACAGGAATTGAATTCAGATTCGTGTTTAACTTGGAAAACTGGGTAAGAAGAGTTATTTTTGAATGAATTTGCGTTTGTATCTACCAGGATTACGATCGTAAACAACCTCATCAATCTATAAGAGATATATAATNTTAGTTGATAAAAAGATGAAATAAGGAAAAGGGAATTTCTCGTTCGCATAGAAAAAAATGATTTTTTTCCAGCGTCGAAAATTGATCGCACACAATTTTGCTTCTTTTGAAAACAAAAAGTACAAAATTAAAATAAGCTTTACTTTGCACATTGTAGTTCTTTTCACGCTGCATCTCCTGGTATATTTTGTTTTTCTAAAACAACTTATTAAGTGATGCAACAATGAAATGGAAAAAGGCCGTTTTTTTTTGTCTGAGGGAGAGTAAAAGAAAGATTTTTCGTTGAGATACTGTAGTGTTGTTTTGTCTATTACAATGATGCTCACAGGATTACTTTTTTGTCATCTCATTGAATGTAAGATGCAACACGATCTAATTCATTATTTAATATGTTTGTGATTATTGTTAAACAAATTCGTAACAAGCCATTTGAAACTATTTCAACGTTACATCCCATTCCTTTTCCAGTTCGACGAGAATAGTGACGTTTCCAGTAAGCTTCCAAAATTGTCAATATAGTACGAGAGCCGATAACTGCTTACTATTGAAAAATGACCCCTAAAACAGAAAATCGTTTCCAAGGGTCGGAATGACTGCCCTGGATTATTCCAACATAATTAAAATAGCTATAATCTTGTTTGTACGTCAATAGGATAGATAAGTTTAATAGACTTCAAGATATTTGAGATCTGAAGTTCGTTTACAATTGACAATATTTCGTAAGGTTTATACACCAGTTCTTGTGATATATTTATTCATTTCGTTTGGGAAATAGGAACATAATCTATGGTTTCGACTAGGCTCACTTTTTCATGTAGACAATTTGATACGAGAAATTAACATGTTCAAAAAATGTTCATGCTTCACAAATTAATATAATCTTAATTACTAAAGAAAGAGTCAATATTTTCAATGCTGTTTCTGTTTTATTTTCATATTTATTTATCATTCAATTTTTTCGATTTGCAGACAAATTACTGTTCTTCCCTTATAGTAATCATTATTTTTGAAAATGATTATAGAAAAAATTATGGATAGTTTTCTATTTCTTAAAACAAGATATACTTTTCTGTATTCTCAATTAGACAAAGCCTGCTCTAAGAACATCATAATACATCCTGTTCTTTTTTCATGGAGAAGTCGCACGATCCATTATCATGTCCACTGACATTGAAATTATTTCGTGATCCAGTGGTAGCACAAGATGGTCATACATATGAAAGAAAAGCTATCGAAGAATGGATTCGAAAGAAAGGTACAAGTCCACTAACTGACGAACCATTATCCATTGAAAATTTAATTTCAAATCGCGCAATGAAAAAACTTGTTGATTCTTTTGAGATATCAACACATAGTAAAAATTATCAATTTATACTTGATGTTGATGTAAAAAAAAAGAAAGGTCGACCACTCTTCTCAACAATTGGCAAAACAATACTTCTTGCTGAATGGTTGCCAACTAATGATAATCTACCAGAAATAGTTATTCTAAAAGTTGATGGAGCTCGAGCACAAAAAGAAGCGTCCTTCTATGTTGAACTAAGTCGTCATCCACATATTGTTCGTACATTTGGTTTCGTACGTGAAAATAATAGCAAGACTACATCTAATGTAATTATGTTATTACAAGAATATGCACCTGAAGGAAGTTTATACGAACTTTTAATGGATTGTAAGACAATGCCAAATGAAGATATTCTTATTGAAATATTTTTACAAATTATTGATGCAATGATATTTTTGGCATTCAATAACGTAGTTCATGGTGATTTAGCGTGTCGTAATGTACTCGTGTTTCGTTTCGATGAAAATGATTCGGATAGAATTGTTGTGAAGGTTACTGACTTCGGACTGAGTCTTCATAGCAAACTTTATTCTTTGGTACCAGGTGCAGCAAGAACAACATTAAATATTATCCCAACTCGATATGCGGCACCCGAAATACTTTCATCTAATGTAACACCGAATGATTATACAGAGAAATCAGATGTCTTCTCAATGGGTGTATTAATGTGGGAGGCATATTCACAAGGAGCACTCCCATGGGCAGATATTGAACGCGATGAAGACCTGATTCGGCGAGTTATGAATGGTGATTTACTACCGAAACCATCAAATTGCAGTGAAAAGTATTGGTCTATTATCATTCAGACTTGGGCTCAATCACCAAATGACCGACCAACATTCAGTGAACTGAAACGTCTTCTTACCGAACAAAACAATCATTCGAGTAATTATTCGATTATTTTATTATCAAACTTTTCCTAACGAAGCAAATCTTTGAAAGCTCTATCGTCTAAAAATAGTATAAAGTGATTACCATATGCGCTTTGTTTCAATTGAGAGAGTATCAATAAGTATTATCACGAAATGCTACTAGAAAGTATGAAAAGAAGATAAAAGAACTGATTATTTTTAATTGTTTGCAATTGAAATCAATAGATACATAGCAATAATGGTGAAATGTTATTCAGAAAAAAGCTTTTCTTCCTTTTTTTAAAATCTAGTTTAAATTTGTTCTCTTCAAAGAAAGTAAAACTCATGTGAGAAACGTTCCTCGTTTAAAAATACATTTATTACAATACCTTATTGCTCAACAAAATATGTTAATGATCTGAAGCTAAGCCTTCAGTTGTACAAATCAATGGACTGTTTATTTCAAATCTCGAATACTACACAAAGATATCGTTGAAATCAGATACATTCTTAATGACATTTTTTCTTGTTACAAAAATCCGAAATCGCCTATTTTTTTATTCACTTGAATAAAAGCATATACTACATGCAGTTTTCAGAGTCACTATATAAGAAACCCATCTAACATGTGTAATAGTATCTATATCTTCTTGGATTATTTTTCAGTGATTATTATCGTTTCTCATCTTCATACTATAAACAGTACTCTTCAAAAATTGAGCTCATTTGCTTTCAGCTCTCATGTCCGAGAAATTCTTTTTTTTTTTTCTTTTTAATTAATGCTTTATTTTTATTCAATTTGTATGAGTACAGAAACTAGACCCTAAGTCCCGGTTTCCAATCGTTTTCGCGTTTTTACAAGTAATTAGAGTAAATCAAGTTCCATAAACAGTCGAGTCGATCAATAAACAGTTTGCATGAAGTAATCAATTAGTATTGTGGCGCGAAGATCATTGGCTTTGATCATCGATGACACAGAATAGTGCTCAGGCAGACTATCGAAACTCTAGAATCTGACTCAAGAGTCAGATGGCGATGCCACTCAGCCAGCCTAGGCATGTCCGAGAAATGATAATGACTATTGTCTATCAAATTACATAGTATCTGTGACATCAATGGAATATTCATCAAGATATAGCACAATACACTTGTTTTCTTGTAGTGCGTATCGCAGTTGGATCTTGATACATTGCATGAACGTATACTGTTATTTTACAAACCTGTTCATTCTTTCGATAATATTCCGATCGATGTTTAAAAAAAATAGAAGCTTGCTTTTACGCTTGTGAATTAGTTTTTCTTCTAAAGCATTTCTTTTGGTAGTTATTCAAACGAGAAAACCAATAGCTAGAAGATGCATGAAAAAGGCTAACGAAGCACTATCGTGAATAAATAAATAGAATTAACATACACCGCCTTAGTCTTAATTTTCTCCCTCTAAGACAGACCGCTATTGAAAAGTCGCGTAGCAATGATTTTCAAAAGATATAATTCAAAAATGCCGTCAGAATATATCACTACCACAGTCATTTTAGCTGATGGGTTCATTGTAATGGATAAGTTTTATTGATATGCGAATTTGTTTAGACTCCACACCGCCGTTTTCTCATCGAAACCATAAGCTCGAACAATTTATAGTCGCCAGTGTCGGTAACTCAGAATTAAACTTGACATCCGAATCTTTGACCGATGATGATATGGAAACTGTAAACTATTACGCACTACGCAACAACAAGGTAAAACATACTATCTTTGGCAACATTTATAGATGTAACATAGTTTTATCATTGCATCACTGATATTCTGAAACAAATACCGAAACAGAGGTAGCTAACAACTCAAAACTCCAGGCATCTAAAGGATTCGGATTTTAATCTCTATTGCACATTTTTTACCAACGAAAAGTTACAACACCTAATACCAAAACTCCAAATAATTCTCAAATATAAAAGATTCAAACCAATTCAGATGTCTTCATAATACATTCTTGAATATTTCATACTTTAAAACTAAGTGTTCAAATAAGAATTGTTTCTCTTGGGAACAAAAGCGA